TCCATTCAAGTCAACAATGCTTATAAGCATATGATATGCATATTGGAAAACAAACAAGGAGCGGGGAGAAAGAAAAAGGATTCGAAGACTAATTGGTTGGTATCGAGACAGTTGCAGCAGAAGGACCATGGACCTTACTTGTTGAATTGTGGATAAAAAACAATAATTGGCAATAATAGGATGCGAATGAAAACGAAACAAGGGTAGATCCAAAAGTAAAGGAAAGAAAATGAGCAATAATGGCTGCACACTCATCAAACAGTGCCCAAGAACATTAGACTCTGTGATGGGTAGTGATGATGCCACCTTGTAAAACTTGTCATTTCATTAATAATAGAAGGCTGAGACACAGCATGTGTAATATGCAGAAGCAGAACTAAGCTTAAATGGGAACTTTACATTGTTAGCCAGTTTTGTAAATCTAAATCTTCCTCTTAATAATTCCTGGCCCCCATTGTCATACAAACTAGCAAACAAAGACTTCATAACAGACCTACCAAAGAAATTACTACAAGCATCCCTCTTACAAAAATGTCTCTACTACACTATAAGTTATACATATACCCCTTCTTAGGGAAAAAGATAAAAAAAACGAACAAGTTCACATTGTAACTTAGGAATAGCTAGTGCTAGCGGATAGAGTAGGGTGGGACTTCAAAATGAAGGGAGTAGCACATAAAAATGACTTTTGAGATATGGGGTTGGCAAATAGCATCACACAAAACAAGTGGACCCTTGGATCGCCCATGCCTTAGTTTCCTCCATTGATGATTTCTACCAATAAAAAGGAACATCCCATCACAGTGATGGACCCCAACTCCTTACAACCTGGATCGCCTTAGCTGTTCCAGCGTAGCAGAGTAGCAGCCATGTGTATGGAAGATAACAAACTATGTAGACCCACATCTGTCCTTCACTCTCGAGCCTCCAATGGTCCCAAACCTCTGGGAACAACACCCATACAAACCCTGCTTTCGGTTATAGATTCTTCTGTAATCTCTCTTGTTAAGTTCTATGTACATGTGTATTTTAATGCTTCAAATTATTTGCTTCCACAAACTTTTTTTACGACAATTTTCTTTTCTGTGAAAAATATTCCAAATCTTTTAAAATTAACTAAAATTAAATTTTGCTTAAAAATCTGAAATTTTCATCTATATTGCTTTGTTGCTTAATATTTTTTTTCTTTTATTAAATTAGTTTAATTTTTTAAACACTTGAGTCCTACTTCTTTAAGTTTTTTTCTTTCTGTATTTTTATTCATCCAAATAATAAAAAAATTATCATCTCTCTTCTTTTTTTCTTACTTATACTCGTTCACAGCCATTCTAATAACAGCCTCACCGAATATCTCATGATGAGAAGACTTGTCATTTTTACTTGTAAGTTAATTACTATATAAATATGTAAATATTTTATTACATAGATGAATTCAAATACTGGTATACATTTACATTATTTATTTAATACTTTTATGAACATTAAGTACATTTCATTATTCATTTTTAAACTTTTTAATTTTATGGCGTACTTTAAAAACATTGTCTAAAAAGAATTAATGCAAGAATGAGATTTAAATGCACATAAATATAACCCAAATGCAACGTATTTAGATGCATTTCAAATAGAATAATTATTTTTAATTTTCATACAAACTACCTGATACCCAGGCATTGACATTAAAAAAAAAAAAAAGAGTTGGTATACTTGAGATGAATCCTCAAATTGTGAATTAAGAAAGCACTTTTTTCCTTAAGTAAATTGTATTATTTAATTACCTTGCTTTTAGGTGGACAAACTTTGTCTCTTTTGTGAACTATTCTACCAAGGAGATTAGAATTTTTTTTACTTAACATGCATGTGTGTGAATCTTTTAGTGTGTCTCATTATTTTTTTACTCCTTTCTTGTTAAAGATGGTAATTTGAATATAACCTAAATAGGCAATCGTAACATGTGTGCGTGGGATGACAAAATTATTTACATAATAAATTTGAGAGTTTAAGACCTTTGTCAATACAAATTTATAATAATAAATTTGGGTTTAAATACTTTATTAATCCTGTTTCGTACTTATATAGTATTAAAAAATATTAAATTGAAAATTTAACATTACAGTAATAATTTCCATACTCTACTGTCAGAAATCATATTAATCTGGTTGATAAATTTAAACTCTCACTTCATGAAAGCTAAAAATATATGTTTTCGGATAATTTTTTCATGAAAAAGTGTGTAGCCCTAGTCTTCAATGTCAATCAAACAGACATATAATGTTGTAAATTTGAATACTAAAACCAAAAATTTAAAGAATTGTATATTATCAATCTCTTATTGTTATTTTCACTGAAGTGAATTTTATTTAAAGTATATCTATTACTAATATGGTAATAAAAATAAAAAATTAAATTAAATAAAAACTACTTAAATAAAAGTTATAATAAATACGTATACGTGTAAGAATAAATATACTAAAAATTGAAAGAAGTTCAATATTAATTACCAACGCTGGCACAAACCCGCATCATTATTTGAACGACGCAAGAGCCGGCATGCGTTGTCCTTGGCAGTGTTGAATTGTGTTGTACCTTTCCTGTAGCAACTGGTACGCTCTTTTACTGCAAACAACAAAAAGTCTGTTGTTCAATATTTATGACATAAGGATGATCAACAAAGTTACGAAGACAGTATTTTATGTTGTTCCAGGACAAATCACTCAAGCAATTTGTTTTAAATATCAAATTTCGATGAATTTATAATATCAGTCTTTTTACCCAACATTTTGAGGCAATTGATTAAAGAGTTAATAATATTTTATTTTTTTTGTAAATTACTATAATGAGTGCAAAGTTTATACGCAGGACTCAAATCATTGACCATGTTATCATATATACATTAACCTCTTCATAATAATAATTAATTTATTATAATTCATAATATGGTTTTAAAAACAAAAATTATCAATTATCAGGACACAGATTAAAAGGACAGAGTTCCAAAACTAAAGGCTTATCCGGATATATCTGGCATGGGAAAGTACCCTAAGGGAGGATTGTGGGACCGAAATCCAGAATGCCACGTGGAGTCACGCTAGCAATAAAGAGGGACGTGGCAAACGGGGGTAGAGGGAAGATAGCAATGACAATGCCCGATATTGCATGAACTATAATAGAATAATTTTTAAATAAAAGTTATCTGATTTTATCATGCAATTTTCTATTATAGTTTAATTTAGATTTATTAGAATAAATTTTGAAAAAAATACTAAATTAAACTCAACGAAAAAATCATTTTAAAATTTCAATTACGTTGGATTAGATGCATGTTTTGGCTAACGGAAACTGGATCCTTTTATAATGAGATTGTGGGGGAAAGGAAGGCAGTGGAATGGAAGTTAGAGAACCTTTAAGACAAACCCTTCTGGCTCTGTATCCATATTCACGTGCATTCATTAATCAATGTGGGTGAAATAGAAAGCAAAGCAAACTCTTCCAAAAGAAAAAGCATGATTCCTGTGACTTGCGAGAGAAGAGTCTCTTTCTCATCTCCCCTAAATATGCTCTTCATTATTACTAACTCCTCTTCACACTCTTCCCATTATCACCAATTTACCCTCCCCATTTCTTTCTCCAACTAAGGACATGGTGCCACATTTCTTCAATCTTGTGTTATTATTACAATCAGTTTATCAAGGGATGCCAAATTATGCTTTACTTTCTTCCAACAAGGAAAAAGAAAGTATGAGATTTGCCAAGCTAACTTTTAAGTGCTAGATCAAAGACAAAATATAAAAGGTTTGATTTGGTTCTATTGCTCATAATCTCTCTCGTGTATCGATAATTTCTATCCATTTATCAAATCATGGCATGCCGATAACTGCGGTAACTCCAAAAGTTGTAAAATCAGTATCATCATTGCTTAGCACAAGAGAATACACTATTCAACACAATTTATATAATTAATTATTTTTTAAAAATGATCACGGCCTGCTTTACTATGTGGACATAGATATTTGCAAGGTTTGTTTCATTAATTAAACTCAAAGATCACATGTGGAGATCCAGTTTTTTCCACTTTTCTCTAGTATCATCATCCGTGTTGGATAATTTTGAGTTAATGATGGGCGTTACGCAAAAGAGACAGAAAAGAAGAGTCAATTATCTTTGATCACTGATCAGCCATCGGATACAAAAGTATAAGTCAACCGTACACAAGGGTAAAACCGTAAATTCGAGGTGATCTGAAATAAGTAACCGGTGGAGCTTCTTACCCACTTCGCATATTTTTCGGGGAATTTGCTTGACTTATCTTTTTCCGGTAGTTGAACCCAAGGACCCGTGATGGCTCACCTTCTATATCAAGCCATAATTGTCAACACATCCACAGGTCACAAACTAAACCGTTTTCCTGGGGTGAGTCTATTTTTATTTTTAAATATTTATTGTCACTTTTTTAAAATAATTTTGATATAAAATATTTTTATTGATTAATTAAATTTATAATAATAATAATATTTAAATATAAAAATTTTAAATTGAAAAATTATAAACATATAAAAATGAAAATAGACACTTTTAGTTTTTAAAATTATTTTATATTAAGAAAAAATAGAAGTCATTATTTTAAAGTCAAAAACCTACAGACTACAGCAAGGTCACAATAATGGTATTGAGAGAGAATCTAAATCCGTGGTGTGTTGCCAGCCATGAAGTTGAAGGATGAAAGCTTTTACATTGGGTCAAGGTTGTTAATATCTCTTTCAATCCAAGCCATTTATTTTTCAACTTTGACTCTCTCTTTTTTTTTCTCTTCTTATTTATGTTCTCTTTTCACTTTTATTTGTTTATTTTAATATAATTTTCCTTTTCTTTAATCTTATTTTCTTCAGTTACTATCTCCCAGTACATCAAGGCATGTGAATCAAACATTATTTTTATTCTTTTTCCCACAGTTTTATTTTTCTTCCGCTTATACATATACACACATTCACATTCCGTGAATTTCACACTGGATATGCTTATTTAAAATTCCCCATTTGTTCCTCACTAGTCCATTGCCGTATTCTCTCTCTAACCCCGCTTTCTTTCTCACCCACTCCACCCCCTATATATTTCTCTTCCATTCATTATTAAAAGGGGCAGAGAGAGAGATTATGTGTATCCTTTAGCTGGTGGGAGAAGGAGGAGTGGGGTGTGATATTTTGATGGTCCAAGGTTGAATCTTCTGCTCCAACACCATCATCCACCATCAATGGCTGTCACCTCTCCCTCTCTCAATGCTACAGAGAAGAAGTACTGGTGGCTAACCAACCGGAAGGTAACAATATTTCAATACCTTTTACTCCTATTTTAATGTATATCTACTCAATAACTCTGCTTTCAACAGCATTGCAAGAAATTTTTCAAAAGATTTCACCTTTTTTTAATTATTTTTTTCATTTCCAAATATGGAAAAATCTCACGTTAATATGCGTGTGTCATTGCAGATTGTTGAGAAGTACATAAAAGACGCACGTAGCCTCATTGCAACTCACGAACAGAGTGAGATCGCTTCGGCTGTGAATCTTCTAGACGCAGCTTTGGCTATATCTCCACGCCTAGACGAAGCGCTTGAGCTGAGAGCGAGGTCTCTCATCTATTTACGAAGGTTCAAAGACGTGGCTGATATGCTTCAAGACTACATTCCCAGTCTGAGAATAGCGAACGAAGATTCTAACTCTATTTCTTCGGATAACTCGTCTCAGCAGCTTTCAAGGGAGGGTGTAAAGCTTCTATCTTCCGCGGATTCTACGGTTTCAGATCAAAGTTTCAAGTGCTTCTCTATTTCTGATTTGAAGAAGAAACTCATGGCAGGACTGTGTAAAAATTGCGACAAAGAAGGATATTGGAGGTAAGTAAAAAAATAATAATTTAATTAAATGCGGATATGAATATATCTGATGCATTGGTTTTGCAATCTGTCCACTGTGCACTGTCATTCATTTAAAACATATTTTCTTTATTTTGGAGTTTAGTTTTGAGTAACTTCTCTTCCAAGTTTTGAGACTAGATCGGTCCTACTCTTACTTTGGAGTAAATGCTCCAGCTACGATGAAATGTTTCCAGACTCTTTAAATAATCCAAGTAAATTGAATGCACCATTAAGAGCATAACATGGAGATATAATGTAATATTAAATATTTGGTGTAATGGGGTTATCAATTTTCAACCGTTTTGGAGGTCTTCTTTCAGCGGTGATGTTATTTTCGCATCTCTCGGTGGGAAATGCATGTGACACCGAAACAGATTGAACAAATATAAGATACTATAGGAATATATAGATTATGAGATAAAAAATATTCTTATTTTTTATATTAAAAAAATTTATCAAAAAATTACTTATATATTTTACTTGATAAGTTAACAATAAAATAAATTTAAAAGGCTAACTTATTAGAGTTTTAGCAATTAAACGAAAATAAATACAGACGAACGAATTAATGAATAATTTATTTACTGAAATTGTATTTCGTTCCTAACTAGGTTTGCAAACATGAATTACAGATACTTGGTTTTGGGGAAAGCATGCTGCCATCTAGGCCTAATGGAAGACGCAATGGTTCTTCTCCAAACCGGAAAACGCCTAGCAAGCGCCGCATTCCGCCGCCAGAGCGTGTGTTGGACTGACGACAGCTTCTCCCTCTCCCTCTCAAACCCACCCTTCTCCGCCGACACCACCCAATCCGAAACCCTCACGCAACTCCTCTCCCACATCAAGCTCCTCCTCCGCCGACGCGCCGCTGCACTCGCAGCCCTCGACGCTGGCCTCCATTCCGAGGCCATCCGCCACTTCTCCAAAATCGTCGACGGCCGCCGCGCCGCCCCTCAAGGCTTCCTCGCCGAATGCTACATGCACAGAGCCTCCGCGTTCCGCTCGGCGGGTCGAATCGCCGATTCAATCGCTGACTGTAACCGCACACTGGCCCTCGACCCCACTTGCATCCAAGCACTCCACACCAGAGCCTCACTCCTCGAAACCATTCGTTGCTTCCCCGATTCCCTTCACGACCTCGAACATCTCAAACTCCTCTACAACACCATCTTACGCGACCGCAAACTAGCCGGTCCCGCTTGGAAGCGCCAGCACGTGCGTTACAGCGAAATCCCCGGTAAACTCTGCGCCCTCACCACCAAGATTCAAGAACTCAAGCAAAGGGTGGCTTCCGGTGACACGGGTAATGTGGATTACCACGCTTTGATCGGGTTGAGACGTGGGTGTTGTCGTTCCGAGTTGCAGAGGGCTCATTTGTTGCTGTGTTTGAAACATAAGCCTGATAAGGCTACGAGCTTCATCGAACGGTGCGAACTCGCGGACGAGCGTGATCTCGAGTCGGTTAAGGAAAGGGCGAAGATGTCGTCGTTGTTGCTGTATAGGTTGGTTCAGAAGGGTTATGCGAACGTGATGGGTAGCGTTATGGAGGAGGAAGCTGCAGAGAAGCAGAGGAAGAAGGCTTTGGAAGATCAAGTGAAGAATAACTGTAAGGTGGAGAATCAGAAATTGGAAAACAAAAAGTGCACGGTGTCGTCTCCTTCGACAGCGAATCCCTCGGTTTTTCAAGGCGTGTTTTGCCGCGATCTTGCGGTGGTTGGGAACTTGCTTTCGCAAGTGGGGTTCAACCGTTCCATGCCGGTCAAGTACGAGGCGTTGAGTTGCTGATTCATTCGTTTTTGCCAGCGGAAAGAATCTCTGCTTTGTACAAATGGATAATGTTTTTTAGGCTGCCGGAAAATTTTGTCACCTTCTGTTTTTTTTAAATTTTTTATTTTAAAATTTGCTTTTATGTTCATTTATTATATGCGATGTACAGAGTATCAATTTGAAAGTACTTAACGTATGTTTTAAATCCTGGTTGCTTAGTTTTTCTAAAATGTTTCTGTATCACGCTGATCACTTGAAAAAGAAATTAAATGAGGTATAAATTGTTAATAGAAATAATTTAAGGGATGAAAGGAATAAGGGTAATTGACAAATTAGGCTTTTAGTAAAAGGCCCGGAAGAGAAACACTAGTTGCGTGCCTCGTCTTTTTCCAATGTCTTGTCGCTTTGCATTCAATTTTCCTGGGTTAATGCACCAAGAGCATTTGAATCCTTTTAGTTAGTCAAATTAAAAAGAAAAATGTTTAAAAAGTAAAAATAAATAAATTTTCTTTAAAAAAGTATTAAAATAATTTATTTGTATATTCTTTTTACTCAAATTTGATAAGTAAAATATTTATTCTAGGATAATTATGTTATAATACTTGATAATGTTAGGGAATCCTGATTTCTCTGACATTCCAATAGATTTTCTTCAAATCTGTAGATCCTCCAAAAAATTTGCTCCTTCCCAGTATATACGGTGTGTACCGGTTGGTGTCTGAGCTTTGAACCTGTGGCCATGTTAAATCTGCTTCACGCTTATTGCTTCTAGGGAAGTTACTGTGAACGATAAGAATAGGGTAAAAATAAGATATTAAAAATGTGTTGCTTAAAAAGAGAAAAGTAGAAGGTAGATAGAGTTAGTCATGGTTAGGTTGGGGAGACAAAATACAGAATAACAATAATAATAAATAAATAGAAGGTAAGACATGGATTAAAAATAAGTTATAAGAATATATTGCTTGAAAAATTAGAAATAAGAGAAGTTTAGAGTCTTTTCAATTTATTTTATTAAGTAAAAAATATAATAAAAGAATAATAATTTCATATAAGCTTATTTTTTATAATAATATATTCAGTTTAACTAAATAATATAAACTCTTACTTTTGTTTCTTCCTTGATAATCTATTATTTCATTATTATATAAAATGTTTAATATTAAAATAAAAAAATTAAAAAAACAATTCCTTTCCCCTACATTGAGATGGATATGTTTTCTACACCCTACAAAATTTCTTCTCTTGTTTATAAGATTTTTTGTATTTATTTATTTATCACTTAAAATTTTAAAATAATATTATTTATTTTTATCAATTATATCTTTAACTTAAAATAAAAAAGATAAAAGATATACCAAAAAAATATGATAATTTTAATTAAAATGAGAACATTAAAGTTATTTTTTAATTTTTGTGTCAAAACATTAAAGTGTCAGGTAAGAAAATAAATTGAGTATTTTCGGAAGTAATACTAACAAAAGTCGTATATTAAAGATCTTGGGGTATTATTATTTAAAAACTAGTTTTTAAGTAACAAATATCTTCATAAGTAAGTAAAATACTTAAAACACAATTTTTTTATATTTTTATAACTTTTTAAAAAAAATTATTAACTTTCAGTCTTTAAGACTGAATTTAAGTATCAATAAATAAAAAATTATAAAAAAATACATAATTATTATATTAAAGTTATAAAAATATAATAAAAATTTTTTAATAAATTTCTATTATTCTTAGTTATTTATTCTTTGTCCGTCCTGAGTTTAACAAATTTTTCTTTAAAATACCATATTTTAAGAAATTTTTCATTTTTTACTGGGATGGTAAAGCTACTGTTCCATTTCCAGCACGAGGTTATTTGGATTTTGAGCAGGGCTGAAAACAGTGGCAGGAATCTACATAAGAGAATCCACAGTGGTGCATAGGACAAAGGGTAAAAGGTAATGTCAGTTTCAAATTATAAAATTGGCACACATCAACATAAACAACAAAAGCAAAGCGTCTAATCTGCACTCAATACATGAAAACAAAGGATTAGAGAGGAAACGTCAAATCAACTTTTTACGTTCCCATGACCATTATTGTTCCGTACTGTCAATTCTGGTTTTGTTAGTACTATTTTTCACATAGATGGAAGTGCTCTTTGTATTAGAGGCGAGTTAAGAAAGATGTGAAGTGACGGTGCAATGCAATGGTATTCACTGTTTACTTGTGTGCAGTTTTAAGAGGCTCGATGGGAATCAATGAAAAAGCTTCAACGTCCAAAGCCTAATAATGGTATATCTTGTTTGAGGCGTGCCCTCTCATACACGCAATACCCTCACTACTTCTTCTTCCTTATGTAAAGCACCATTATTGCGTCTCTATGTCATTCCCTGCTCTTCACCCTCCAAGAAGGATCCAACTGTAGCCAAATTATAATTTGAAGGAAAAGAAAATTAAAAGATTAAATTGCTTCTGTCAAATGCGACATGATCAAACTGTTTGGCGCTTGAGCATTTCCGAGATAGAGAGGAGACACCACGAAGCCTTTCAAAATCAGTAACAGTTGGAGTAGCGAGGGTTGTTGTTAAATGCAAATGCATATGGTCCCCTCTTTCAAAGTGTTTAACGACCACATTTGTTTTCACAACGATTGTTTCACAATGTTTGGAATAATTCATCAAAATTTCTTAAAATTATAAGGAATCATTAAGTTATAACATAAAATTATTAAACATTAGTTATTTTAACTTTAGTTGTTATAGTTTTAAAGACTAATGACTTTTCATCAGTAATATTAGAGATTTAAATGAATATGCTGAATAATTTTAAAGATTACATTGGTTATATTCAAAGTATAAGAACTAATATTATTTATCATTGCAATTCTTTTTATTCCCTCAAATATTAATTTATTATTATTTATTATTTCTTTCAAATATTTAATTGTCTCGTTTATATAATTTTATTGGAAAATAAGTATTCACAATATTTAAATAAAACCTCATCTTGATAAAATTTAATATTAAAATGAATTTCATTCATGTACAAATTAAATAGCATTTTTTACTTGAAAAGAGAGAGGGAAAAAAAAATATTAGTTTACTTTACCATTAGGATTAGGTCGCAAATTCAAATATGTTTGGTGTCACAAAGGGATGGTAATGAGTAGGCATGGGTGGGGTATTATTTACACATTTCTATACCCGCGATTTAAAAAAATACTCGTAGTCAATCTCATATCTGCGTGAGTATGAATATTATTCTCCATACCTGCATACTTATCTTGTATCCATTACTCGCACTTGTTCGAAGAAAAAAAAATATTTATAAAAAATATATTTATATAACTTCACATAAGTAGTATAATAATACAAAAAATTAATATGTAGTTGCTGAATAGGGTACAAACATAGATAAAAAAATAAATATTCAAATATCATAGGTGCTAAATATATTTTAATATAATAATTTTTTAAACTAAAATTCTTAGAAACAATAAGCGAAACTAAACACACAAGCTAGTTATTTGTCGGCGATAACCCTATCTTGTGTGAGATTCAATCGATCGGCAACGTTAAAGCGACAACGAAATAAATATGCACAGTGAGTAACCTTTTATTTGGAATTACTTGGAGACCTCTTATGGCGGCATTGACAACTAACTCTAATGAATAACGTTTCATAATTGTTAAGTTTTAATGAGACAGACATTGAGAATGAGAGTAGAGTTAGAATAGAGAAGTTCAAGTATTAACAACGAACAGTGAATACATAAAATATTTTTTTTTTAACTTTTGAATTTGAAATTATAAGAAAAATAATATGTTTAATTAAAATAATATAATATAATTTATATATATATTAATACTAATATTTTTAACTCATACCATACGAAAGTATTTTGTCAAAAATACAAATTTTTGAAAAATTATTTTAATGAATTAAATGTTTATGATATATACAAATTTTAAAAGAAAGAATTTGAATAAAAGATAAATGGTCACAATAAAATTTTATAATAAAGAAATATATGTATATATTAAAAATTATACTTTTTTATCCAAAGAAAAAATTAACAATAATTTTTTTATATTTTATATCTTTTCAAAAACTTTTTTAAACGTAAATAAATAGTAAGAATAATATTATTTAGATTTAATAATTATAGTTGTGCTTGTAATACATATGTTGCATAGAAAAATATTATTTTAAATTAAAATATAAAATTTAAATATTATCAATAAATAATAAGTTTACTATAATAGTATGTGATTGTAAAATTTATAAAATATTTACAATATGTTTATTATTTACCATTCACTTTATGATTTAAATATCAATATAATTTTATTAACAAAAATATTTTATGTTTATCATATATAAATAATATTTTATAAAAAATCAATCTCATATCAACTGTGTAATAATTAAATTGTATTAACCTAATTAAATGATATAAAATAGTAAATAATTTTTTTTATTAAAAATATAAATCAAAATAATTTTTTGTTTATTTTATTATTAAATATATTTTTATATTAATCTTATTTAACTTCATATAAGTAATATAATAATACAAAAATTTAATGCATAGTTGTAAAAGAAAATTCAAATATATATATATATATGCAAGTATGAGGTGGGATGGGTACTTATATATTCATACTCACACTCATCCTTATTAAAATTTGTGAATTTTTACCTATACATATACCAATACTCATATAATGAATAAATACCCTATTTATTATGGGTAAATTTTGCGAGTATCCATTGAATATTTTACCCATTACCATCTCTAGTGTCACATAATAATATACTACCCACGTATCCTTCTTATTAGCTACCTGTAGTAAGTGCTTCCCATCATTCGTATATAAACAACAAAATATTACTAATTCTGCAAAAGCATGGATTATATAGACGTTAAGCTTTAACGAGTGTTCTTGAAGTGTTCCTCTGAATGTGTTATGTGTATTATTTGTTAATTTAAATTAATCTTTAATATTCGCATTGAAAGCATAATTTAATATCGTGTGCCGAAAGAAAAGGTGCATCTCACGAGGGCACCATTTATGTTCTTCTTTATGCGTAAGCCCATCTAATGGTACATCAACGGCTGTGTTCCATGACTTCCATCTTGGAATAACCTCCAATATCATTTTTTTTATAGGACCTGTTCTAGTTCTTTTGTATGAGATATAAAAGTAGGAAAATGTAATTGATTTTAAGCGACTAAAATGTGTTTTTTCAATTGAAAATTATAATTATTATATAAAAATATAAACATATACTAAATAATTTTGAATAAAAATATTATATTTAAAATACTTCAAATTATTTTTAAAAGTAAAAATTAATAAAATTGATAAAGTTATCAAAAATTGAGAAATACTATCAATGTTAAGAGTTAATTTAATTCAATACAAAATGAAAACAATATTTTAAATTAGCTTGAATTAGATTTTAAATCCATTTTTAATATCAACCCTATTCAATCTAAATTAAGCTTAGGAACACATACATGTATACAATTTTAAGTATCATGTCTCTTACACTTATTTGAATACATATTAATGAAATTATAACATTAATTTTATTTTTATATTGTATAAGAAAATTATTAAACGAATTGAAGTATCATGTTTCTTTTAAATTCTTTATTCTTTTAAATTTTTTTGCTAATTAAGTATCTTTAAAACTTACTGAGTATATGTAAACTTATAAAAAAAATATTTATTTTTCATATTAATTACTTTTATATAAGAACGTTATACAAATCTTGGTTTAGTTATCTTTTGTATATAAAAAATATATATATAACATATTAATATATAGCTTAGAAGAAAAGAAAAAGTGGAAGGGCAAGCCCCATGTTTCTCCCTCAATCCATACCTAGAGAAAGGCACAAACATAAGAGGTGTTTGGGGGAAAAGAATAACACGTGATGTTTGAATGAAGGGAACATTGAAAAGAGAAGAAGTCGTGGCCAGATATATAATAATGCCAGTGGCACCATGTGCTGCTTTCATGTGTCTTCTTCTCTGTCCAAATAATCATGCAAATATAGGCTCTTTTCTTCAGCTCTTGTCAAAACTGGGTGGCATTGCCATAATGTGCTGGATGAATTATCCAACAGATTCTTTTTACATTATCTATTTTAGTTATGAAAAGGGTTAATCTAATTTTTAAGATTGAGTTTAAATTTCTAGTAATTTTTTAATATTTTTAACATAATATATATATATATATATATATATATATTAAAATTATTATTTTTATATGCTTAGATTCAGTTTTATAACATTAGATAAATAAAAATATTTAATTATTTATTCTGCCCAATAATATAATCGAAAAAGCCACAAAGGAAAAGGTAAAAAAGAAAATATGTGTTTTTTTCTGAGTAGACAAGGGGAATCGAATTTCATTGCAAGTTAGAAAAAGTGTATTGAGATCTGAGTCTGCAGTGAACAATCTCTCTTTACAACTCATGCTCAGTGTTTTTGATGTCAGTATATGCTAACTTACTTATATCTGAAAGGTAATTGGTAATGGCTTTGAATCCTCTTTAAGCTGAAGGACAGGTGTGAAAAATAACCAATAATTGCTTTGAAGTCAGATTCCATTTAATAGAATCTCAGGATATGGCCATATCATAATCATAATGTATTGCTATATACTTCCTATTAATCTATCTGTTACATTATTTAAGGGCAAGTAGACCACAACACATGCATTCAAATTACTTATAGATGTTATTATTTGAAATTTCCGTTAAGGATGGAGAATAGGTTGGACTTTAATCTCTCAAATCCTACGCACTGTAATTGACAGACACATGAGATGTGCCATGTGTCTGAACCTCAAAGTCTCAAAAATAATAGAATTATTGTACCATCTAATTAGCTATGGTTACTTTGTGGGACGAGAATGGAAGCAAATCATAGCTTTTTGGAATTTCCATCTGCTTCTGTTGTATGTAGCACGCCTTTGTACTGGAGATTGATTGGTCACTTACTTGCTCATGTTAATGTACTTTCCACTTAAAATTTGTGGGAAAAAGAATAAATAATTGTACAATGATGGGGTTGTGTGATCCCACGTACTCGTTTTAGGTTGAAAAGGTAAGGCCAACAACATTTCCTCCTCTTATTTTACTCATATATATATATATATATATATATATATATATAAGAGTAAAAGTAAATCTGCCTCTCGAGTGGGACTTGTCTTCTTTAATAATTAAAATGAAGAGATATATAAAATAATAAATAAATATTTATTTAGTGTTGATTAAATTAAGTTGTTTTATAAATATAATTAATTTTTAATCAATTATATATAGATATAAGTTTTTTGCTTTAATAAAAGAGAGAAGCCTCAAATTAAAAAAAAACTACTATTGATATGCTATTCATCGGGTGGCAGTGTTAAAGAATTTTCCTTTTGTTTAATTTCTTTTAGACCAAACAATGAAATTGAACATTCACATAAACAGTCTAGATATCATCTTTTGTTTAATAAATTCATGATCATTATTTGATACTAACGTAATTCTCGTACTTGACTACTTCGTTTAAGGATAAAACTTAAAATTAAATTCATGCATATTATTGCTAGTTTATAGCAACAATTTATTTTGCGGACAATTAATTCTGTAAATGTAACTATGAGCCACTGTTAGCATGCTATATCTTTGAAATGAGGCAATCTGTCCTCCATAACAGTATAAGTTAAAATATAAATTATAGTTTAGAGTAGTAGTTTTTCTTTCTTTACCATAATAGTATGAAGTGATATATTTTGAGAAAAGGCAGATGGTTCTTTCTTTGCTTTCATTTTGGGGGGGGCTTTTAAACAAGGCTCATAGAAGGCTAAGGGAAGGTGTGTTTTTTAAAAATAATCTAATGCTATAAAAAGTAAATACAGAGCTTGACATGTTTTTTCGTTTCTGCTGTTAGCACGTGGAACAGTAGAAGTGAATTGGGTGAATCGGTTGATAAACAATCGCTTTTGCCCTTGTTAATTATTGGGCTTGATGGTGACTGAACTTAGTCATCCCCAAAGGACTTCTGCAATCATATGGCCCAAAAATTAGAGTAGTGTTGGGCCATTGTCTGTATTGCAGGATTTATTTTCTTTTTTTTTCATTTTTCTTTTTAAACCTCTAGTTATCAAAATTTATGTTTAGTTAAGGGATAAAAATTAAAAATACATCAAGCCAATTTTTAAATACAAATTTTTAAAAGTCATTTCAAACCTTTAATGATTATCTATATTTAGATAAATAAGTTAAATTTAAAATTAAAAAATTAAATAAAATTCATGTTACAAAACCTAAATTAATTAATGACATTTTTACTTCTACCCATATAACACAACTCAAAAGGTTTAAACTTTGAAACACGTTCTTTTCCTTTTCTTTTTGCATGTTTGCATTTTAAACCAATTGGATATATAATTTTGGTTTTAATATAGGAGTAATAATTACATATACAATCTTCTCGTGTGCATGCACATACAAGCACCGTTTTGATATTACTTATGAAGATTACATGAAAAGTCCCAGTCTTGTCAAACACGTTTTTGTCAAAAACGCTGAAATTCAGACAGTTTGGCAATCTCTTTTGCCATTAACCATCGAATCAATAAATACCGTACTGAAACATATCTTAAGTCACAATAATTTGTTAATCACTAAGGATGGTACAAAATTATTTGGACAACTATAATCCAGAGACCAAGGTTGGTACAATTCACGGAAGTTTTCTATACGATGACTGGCTCGAAAGGGGGAGAGAAAATCACTTACTTTTAGATAAAGACAAGGTGCCCTTTTTCCTTTTATTAGAATTGTTGGAGCAGTTTCGCGAGCTACAACATTTTGGACAAAACCAATCCTCCTCAGGAATATGTGTGAGTGAAGGATCGCAGCAATCAATATGGGTACCGACCCCACAGCCGATGGAACCACTTTCATCACCACAAATTAGCATTACATCACCTCTATCCCGAGATCCACATACTTGACAAAGTATATCATCATCATTAGAATCCTCAGGAGCAGCGAACTCTTCAATAATCTCTTCTGCCCTACTTTGAAGTTTTGCGTATGACCTCTCTGCCCAAGCATGAGTGCCATATAATACATGTCTCTCAAGGGAGAACCCTGGCTTGCAAACATACTCGACCAAGTAGTCCGCCAAAACACAAGGTATCTCATGTTTTAAGAACTCTTGGACCCACAAATCAACACGTGGCATACCAGGGCTAACTATAGCATAGTCAATTTCGGTACCAAAGAAACGGGTATAAGGAGGAGAAGTTGCTAATATTGTTCCATCTCCAGCTTTGATCGCGCGTTTCAGAGTATCCTGTAAAACAATTAAGTCGGATCACAAACATACGTCATAGTTAACAAAAAAGCGCAGATGAAATGGTTGGAAACTTATTGTCGTTAATAACCACATAACTTATGTTTGGACCAACAAACTGCATCACAATATAAAGACATGTCGTAAAGCCTATATATAACATTTCAGATGAAGGTCATTGTAGTATTGGCACGTAGGAAAAGAATATTTAAACGAAATGAAAATTCAATAAAAAACATACCAAAGGCGGGGCAATGCAATCGCCATATATTATGATGCGCATTCCATAGAAGGTGCCATGACCTGTTCTTTCTTTCAACAGCCGCCATTTTCTTGGAGCCTCCATATTGATTGCGCCATCCTCACTGAGGCCATTCTTGTGCCACTCATAAGGCTCCTCTGAAAGGAACTTCCCTGCCTCGCTACTAGCAGTTAAGAAATCAGTTTTGAGAATCCACCTGCATTCAACCAGAGATTAACTACATGGAGAATGAATAGTAACACCTTAATCCATTATATACATAACCAAAGAAAGCCAAACTACATTGCGGGGAATATGAATATGGAGAATGAATAGTAACACCCTAAATTCCCTCCATTCTACGAAACTCTCGTGTAAGGGAAAGGTTACAACAAAATTTTCCCTTTCCGATTGCCCTAAGTTTGAACACTCATTAGCAGGGGACGTGCTATACGATCATAGTTTTCTTTACCTTCCTGATGCAGCAGCAGCAAAAAATTTCTCTGTCCTACGTATAGGGTCTGGGGATATGAAGTGAGTCGCCTGATATGACCACTGATGAGAATCCCGGCAAACCCTTCCTTTTAAACGCTTGATTACATGTTGAAACTCCTTTCTCTGTAGGCGATGCCCACTTAATATAAAACATACGGCTTCAGTTTTTGCTCTTGCATTCGATTCTGATCTAGATGGATTCAGCCCCAATTTGCTAGAGTTGATCTTACCAGGCTTTACACTAGATTTAATAGTTCGATTGCCCTCACTTCTGCCCTGCCATATATCTTGCTCTCCATCAATTGGTCTATTCTCCTTCTCCTCTTCAATAAAATTCTTCGACTTATTTTTTGGTACAGCTGAGGTGTCATTTTTATCAGCAGGAAGGGACATTTCTACCACGATTTCTATTTCTGGCTTATGTACCGTCTCATTAGGAATATTCTCCCCAGATACTGCCTCCTCAGACTTCGATAATTCCTTGGAAACTGTGGTCGTCTTGCCTCTACCAGCAGGACGTTTTTTTGCTTGATGCTTTAGTATTAATTTTGAGGATGAGTCTACAACTGAAGGTAGCTTCTGTTTTTCAGTTTTATTTGTGCCTTTCTGAAAAGGCATTGCTTCTTCGCATTTTGTCACATGGCAAATAACTTTTGACCCCTCTTCTGTTGCTGTGTTTCTTTTTTTCGAAAGAGGAATTGAATCCTCATCAAAGGCCATTCCTAACTCATATTCACATTTGTCATCAGGAGCTTCGGTTTCATCATCCAAAATGTCAGTACTGCCGCCAGCATCTTCTGCATATTTACTAACTTTTTCTTGCTCTGTTGTTTTATTAACCCCAAGGATTTGGGGAGAACCTTGATTCTTCGTGGCATCACAAGTTGCAATCTCTTTGCTTCCACTGGAAAAACTAACGGCTTCAACTAGCGGGATAGTTTTATTCAAGGAAACTGATATTTTTGGTCCAACAGTGGCACCTGCTCTAGGTTTAGAACCCAAAATTTTCTTGCAAACTGACTTCTTTCGAGGCGGTTTTCTAATTAGTTTAACACCTTTGCCTAAATTCAAATTAGTATGGCTAGCAGATTCCTCATTCTGTGACTTGTTTCCTGGTGATGAACAATCGAGATTTCTAGCGACATTGTGTTGCTCTGCTTCATTATCATCAATCTTTTGCATTGCAGAACCCGTGATATCAAGCTTGCCGTTAGTTTTAGACTCACTTAAACTCTGAATAGCTATTTGTGGTGAAGTCTGATAGACATTATCACGCTGAGCAGATTCTGAGCTAGCATTTCTTGAGAATGGCTCGTCAAATGCCGGTGAGTTGGAGGTAAAAGCTGCAGGTTTGGAAATTAAGCACGTGTTTGAGTTATTAATACAATCTTCTTCAACGGGAAAATAATCGTCAGCTTCCGGTGGGTCATCAGCCTGTGGTGTCACATTTAATCCCTGAGATTTAGCATTTGCTGATGAAACTCTTTCAATGGACAATCTTGCATTAGCAGTCATCTTCCTTGATTTTAACTTAGTAGAAGAAGAAGCTTTATTTGTCCTCTTCTGAGGCAATAAACTAAACGGATCATCTCCTTTAAAAAAATCATTTCCATTCCCAGAATTTTCTGCTCTAGATTTTATTCCCTTGCTAGCCTTTTCTACCTTACTAGAAGAGTTTACACTGTTGTTGCCTCCTCTGCCTGAGCATTCATCTAAGATTCTTGGAAGAGTAAATTCCCTTTGGTTCTTTCTAGGATAACACATAGCTCTAGGCTTTTCATTTGAATTTGCTACTCCTGAAGCACTTGCCGAAGTTGACCGCAAGTCACTTGCCAACTGCTTAGACTCCAAAGAATTGTCAGGCAGATCATGTTGCTGCTCGGATGAATTTGCATTTCTAGTAATGCCAAGATCCTGGCAGCCAAGTTCCTTGGGAAAATCAGCATTCTTGGATTCACTGGTCTTAACATATGTGTCAGGTAACTGACATGAACTAGAATGCCTAGAAACATTAGGAACATGACTGTTTATCTTTGCATCATCAACATTATGAAAGCTCAAGTCTTGATCAGATCCATTCTTATTTCCTGGAATGGTTAGAGAGTCTTCGCCATGCTTGACTTCTGGCAAATCCTGTGGACCCGTAGAATCTGGGAAGGCAGTTGATGCTTCTCGTGCTGATCTTGACAATCCATGGGTTGTAGCTATACCACATTTCAAACTAAGGGGATTTTGGTTTCCACTTCTTCCCCCTGATTGCCCAAGCTTGGAATCTTCAGCCTCTTCCTCAGAATCCTTAGCCTCCTCCCCCGTCATCTCTAGTTCAAAACCACTGATTAAAAAAGAACAAAAGTTGAGTAGTCAGTTGAAATCAATGAGAACTTTCAAAAGCTAACGGACATAAACTTGTAATGATTACATATCTACGGCCAAAAGAAAAGAGCAACTTCATCACACATCTTCAAATACAATATGAAATGCCTATTACAGTAATCTGCATTTTCGATTTTCATATTTTATGCCTGTTATAATTATTCACCCAGATGACATTATGTCAGTGAGTTTAAATTGAAACTTTATAAATTCCCCAATTTAGCAAGTGCATAAATGTAAATCATCTTCAAATCCCAAAGAATGTCAGAAAGGATGAGCACAAGGTGCATTATGCATAATGACATCATCACATAAAAATGTTGGGAAAAGCAAATGTCATTCTATATTCCACTCAAATACAGTTAAGCTATCATTTCTTGACACAAGATTATTTACTGCAATCATTATCAAGTTCATCCAATAACATGAAACAAACCGTAGACAATCTCCAATTATACAGCAAGAGTATGATAAATATACAGGCAGAGAGAAGAATACTCCCCCCATTCAGCAACTACGAACATAGCAGGAGAAATACCACATTTGCCATGCTAGGATGTGGATAAAAATGTATTCTAAATTTTATTTGTACTTTCACATGGTACAACGCCTAACCTCTTGTTATATTTGTCTTCAGGAAGAAGCATCCATTCCTTCAAGCTGAAGAAGAAAACATTCACTTTAGATTTAGAGAACTCCAGTTTTTTTTTAATTCCAACAAGTCAATTGAAGAAGCTTAAATAGACGAGATTCATTCATATCCATTTCAAGTTAACAGGAAAAAGACGTACATACCAATCTTCCAACCAACGATGATTGACTAGCTTTATTGTGCCCAATCTCTTGGCAAGCTCATACTTCTCACCTATATATACTTTGATGTTGACGTCAAATTTCAAAAGGAAAAAAAAAAGATAATGAAATGAACGAAATGAGATACATCATAAAACAAAAGCGGAATAAACGTGCAGGTTACTGTGTCTGAATGTCAGAAAATTTTAGAAGATTAAACAAACCTTCAAATTTATAGCATATGAGGTGAGTAACCTTGTTTGCCACCAAAGGCTTCGAAAACTCTGCACCCATCAGACCGACCATTGTCTGAAGAGGAAAAATAAGGTAAAGTAAAGTATGGTTACATAACAATGTGCACAAACTCCTTGAAGAAATCAATACAATAAAGTATAACAAATGCTCACCATAATGTCATCCCTATCCTGGCGAAGATACCCGGTCAAGCACACTATCAAATTTTTTGCACCCGGTATTCCATTTAAATCTTTAAGAGGTCTGTACATAACCTGCCCAGTGGAAAACATAATTTTCTGTTAGAGAGTAAAATTTCTAGAAATTCATCCTACAAAGAAGCACAAGCATGAAACCAGTCACTGGTTTTCAAAATATCTAGTAGAAGTTCATACGATTTATGGACACTAAATATGAAAACAAAATTACTTGTTTCTCTCATGTTTTGATCCATACTTCCATTCAAGCATAAACAATTTCAATCGTTTCTAATCTTTTCAATGTGGAATGTGAAAAAAAAAAGTGTAAATAAAAGTATATTAGCTACTAATCAAGCTTATTCCTCTAGGGGAGTTTGCCACATGAACCAAACAATGAAATCGACCCCTTCTTTTTAGTTTGATATAAAACACAGGTATTTTCTATTGTAAACAATAATGTTTAAGCCGGATAGAACTATTAGGGGCGGTAAAATTCTTCCTCTAAATATTTAACTCAATTCAATTCACTATAACTTCAACTCGAAACCATAGGTTAAACTGAAACAACTCACTTTTAGTTGATCCACATGCTCAATGACAATGCAATCGACCTTTATCAAAACTAAAACTAGATATTCAACAAATCTATTTAGAGTAAAGGATTTACTGTCCCAAAGTTCTCTTCGGTTTTTCTATACCTCTTTTATTTATAATATCTTCCAATTGAACCACTGTTTTCATTAAAGCCTTCAATATCCCACTAGTTTGTTAAATGTAAGCAAGACACCTAAACCATGCAACTTATGAGCAACGGAACGATGTAAAATTAAAACATTAAACAAAAAAATAAAATAAAAGGAATGCACAGTACTTGAAGGCATTCCAATAAAACAGGAATTAAGATAATAGAATAACAAACTAACCGAGGCAGCATCAACGGGCATTCCAATATCGGCACTATGATCAACCCACAATGCAGTGACGAGTGTCTTCCCATCATTTCTAGCAGAAACACACACAGGATCATCCTACACACACAACACAAAGTTCTCTCCCTTCAAGTCAAGACCAAGGATAGGGTTAAAGAAGGAGGAAATCGAATTCAACTCACATTTACAATCTTATCAACAATAACATGCGTGCAACTCCCACCGTACTGCCCTACATCAACTCCACCGCCATTCACAAGCTTAAACCGGATCTAAACAATCACAAATTGAAATTCATCAAACAAATAAACCTTCCACGTCAGAAAATAAACAAAAATAGGAAAGGGAAGAGAAATAGAGAGAGAGGTACCTTGGTTTCAGTGGCAGGATTAAAGCCAAAGAGAACGAAACGAACACCGCGAAAAACTCGCGAAGAATAACTCGTTTCCAACATTTGAAGAGAACGAAGAAGTGAAGAAGGAAAACAAACTTGTCGAGGAAGACTTGAAATGGTAACCAGTTAGAGAGAAGAAGGTGAAAGCTGTTTTTAATTTATTTATCTTTTTGCGAAAAATAAAGCGAGGGAACTTTTGATTTTGGTTAGCGGGACAATGAAATCCAACGTGAAATGGGCTCTCCGGCCCATTAAAGTTGGGCCGGACCGAACATTCCAGAAAAAATCTTGTAAACAAAACCAGTTATCTATTTCTATGAGCGCTTGTTGGTTAGGTTGGTAGGTATAAGAATTAAATGTAACGATTTAGTATAGTACAAAGTATCTGGTTTCCTTCAATCCTTCAACAACCTCTCACCATTAACACTCACTGAGTTCAGTGCAGCGATCCATGGGTTGGCTCACTCGGTTCATAACCGCCGTGGCTTTCTTAGCCATGGGAGTGATATTCTCACCGGAGACATTGGGATCAAAATCACCCGCACTATCCACCTACCTCAAACTGGCTCACCTCCTTAGCTTCTCCACCGCGTTCGGCGCTGCTCTATGGGTCACCTTCATCGGCGGCATCATCATGTTCAAGTAAGCGTCTTTGTCACCCTTGTACTGTGCCCTAAATTGTGTTTGATTATTGAATTGTTTGTTTCAGGAATCTTCCGCGGCATCAGTTTGGTAACCTGCAAAGCAAGATGTTTCCGGCGTATTTCTCGATGGTGGGTGTATGTTGCGCTATATCAGTGGCTTCCTTTGGCTATCTCCACCCGTGGAAAACTTCCTCCACTACTGAAAGATACCAACTTGGCTTCTTGCTCTCTTCCTTTGCTTTCAATCTTACCAACTTGTTTGTCTTCACGCCCATGACCATTGAGGTAATTTGTTCATTGACATTTCTGAATTTCCCTTTTGTTGGGTGCAATGTGCACTTGTTTGGAATGAAAACTTTGGATGCTACTCAAATCAAGTGTATATATGTCAGCTTCCTATGTCAAATTCTATTTGCATGTCGCTCCTGATTAGTAACATATAGTAGGATTGAAATGTTTTGGATAATTAGTATTAGAGGGATGAAGATGATTATCTTAGGTTGGGTTCTATAGGTGGTTTATTTTGTGGTGAAGCTTGATGCATTTAATGGCAGATTGGTCGAGAGATACCTATCACTTGGGTCACATTTGAAGCTAGTGAAGACCAAAGTGGCACATGTCTGTTTTCTTATGCGTGCTTAGGAAAGCCGATATGGCAAAATCATAATGAATTCCTTAGTCGAAATTTTGTGCAAGTGCAACTAATTAGTTGTTCACTAAAAAATCTAAAACCTTAAGTGGTTTATCTTAGAAGCTTGATTAATTTTGATATTTGCCAGAATATTGAATATGCATAGGTAGACCATCCAAATCTATAATTTCTGCTCATCTTAAATTCTAGGTAAGTTGGCTGATGGTTTCTTACCTTTAAATCTAGGAGTTCTTTCCCTTTTACATTAAAAAGGGAAGACCTATAATCAAACTCAATAGTCATTATGTTGATTCTGGCTTTTATAAATTTTTAACTCATTATTTTTTTTATCATATTGTCATTACCAGTTTAGCACTGTGTTTCTGCTCTTTCCACTTGTTGTTGTCTGGAAACTTGAGGATTTTGGATTGCTCACGAGTATATTTATAACATTTTATATACTGATCATCGTCCCCATATTTAAAAGAAACAGCTATTATCCAATCATCAGTAAATTTCACAATTTGGAGAGATAACATAAGTCTCCTATCTGCTCCCTTGTTTCCTCTACCGCCTCACATGAATCATATTTTCAATCAAATATCTGAGTTATGACAACATTGTACGCCGATAAGCTGCCAACACTTACAGTACCTTTTTATAGTGTATAACACAGCCATTTATTTGTTCTGATGCAGATGATGAAGCAAAGGCACAAAGTGGAGAGAGAAAATAATATTGGGGAGGAAGTTGGGTGGTCCAAAAATGTGCAAGTTGCAAAGTCAAACCCCAAGCTTGCAGCCATGAATAAGAAGTTTGGTATGATTCATGGATTATCTTCCCTTGCCAATATAATGTCGTTTGGAAGTCTTGCCATCCACTCATGGTACTTGGCAGGTAAAATTGATCTCTGATTCAGTGTCTACTTCCCATTCTATTTAAGATGGTTGACCTCGTTGTGAAGAACTATATTAAGTCAGGATCCCAGTGTTCTCTTTATTGGAACCAGTTACTTGTTTTCTTGGCAAGTAAAAGAAGTCTGGAATGTCTATGCAATTTATGAAATGTACTGTTAAAGTATTACACTATATCGATTGGTCAAGAGAGTCTCATGGGTTGCCATGGAAACATAATGTAATCACCCTACCTTGCAAGAATAAATTAAGTAGTCTCTGCACCTTGCTGTAGGCAAAGGTAACAAAGATAATCGTCTACAGCTGCCCCAAGTTAAATACATTTACACATTTTGCATTTACTTAATTGACCTTCCTTTTTGCTACCTCATTGTGGGAGGGATTACATTTTGCTACTTTCAGTTCAAATCCACAAATTACCAAGCTACTTGTACTTGACCATTGAGTGGCAATGCTGTGGCCTATTTTAAGGTTCTCTCAAAACGCGAGGATTCACCTTCCGTCTTCCCTGGTGAAATGCTTTAGTTGTTAGGGCATGTTCATAATATTTAAAGTGTTGTGCATGTGAGTGTATGTGCACGTGCTTGAATACAGTAGAGTGAATAGTAATGCTAGCTTAATGGCCATTGACCCATGTATGAGTTTTGTCAAGTTTTATGTTGACTACCTAACTTAACCCTCCTCCTTTATCTGGGATTAGGACAGGCTATGACATCATAGGCAGAGTTAACGGCCATCCACCCAAAGAAAAAAATAAAAAATCAGTAACTTAGCTTTAGCGTTTGTTTGTTTCTCCATTTGCAATGAGTTAGGGAGCAGCAACTTTGTTTTGCTTTGAAAAAACTGAGTCTTGACGAAGTCTTCATGCATTAGGTGTTTAACCTTCATTTCGTTGAAAATTACAAGCCATTAATCACCTTTTTTTCAAATTAATTGCCAGTTGAGCTTGGCTGTGAATTGTGATGTCTTGTTGATCTATGATTGTGGGCACAGTACACATTCAATATCGTATGAGTACTTGTTTGTGATGGGCAGATGATAGCTTTGTTTCAGTGAGTATAATAACGAAGTAGAAAGTTATTGTCCGCATTACGAGAGAGAAAATTATGAAGTAGAAAATTCTCACGTTCGTTCAAACGTTCATTTATCTTATTTCAATGAAAATTCAACACATACCAAAAGAAGCCAGGGGATGTAAGAGATCCATCTTAAAGAAAATGCTTATATTTATTTTTGAAGATATAATTCGCAACTTTATGCTTTCTGTGTAAACATTTCTTTCTAAAACTACACATTTTATAGTCTAAAATAAGTTGGAGTTTAATGGGCCATTTGAGTTAGTTTTAAAACATTAATCACGGGATTTCATGATCCAGCATCTTTTAGAAGAAATTGTTTTAACTTATGTGAATTGAAAAAAACATTTGTTCTTATTATCAAACAAATCGCAAATTCGGAATAATTTTGCTGTATGACAAAGCTTTACGCATACGTTCAATGATATGTCGATACTTCATTTATCCTTGGTTTGGTGCTCGGTACCCAGTTTTACTTGCTTCTTAGCACTTGTAATTTAGCAAGTTTCTCTCTGAATCAAGTTTAGCCATGAGCACGGATTTGGAGAGAAACATATGCTTTATCCTTGGGGTTTGGAATTTCAAAGAGAAATATTAATTTACAAATAGATTGTTATATTTTATTGACGAAGGTATCTAATTTTAAACAGTTACTCAAATTAACTTTTAAACAAAGGTATCTTATTATAAATTATTATATTTTAATTTTATATTTAATTGAAATTATTTTTATAAATTAAGATTTTTTTGGTCCAAGTAAATATTTTTTAAAAATGCTTATATAAACGCACGCTTAAAGAATCTGATTATTTAAATAATTATGCAAAATGTCTTATTCAACAAATGCTTTGTGTACTACTTTGGAAATAAAATGAACTTGATGGGCTATTTCCATGATTGTTACTAATTGATCATCTCGTAGTTATTGGGTTTTGCTTTTCAATTGAAATTTTTTCAATAGAATCTCTTGCTTGTTTGTATCTTCAACACAGTTTTAAGACACTGAAGCGTAGTCCTCCGATATAGACCAAGATTAATCGTTATTCCGAATGTATCTACTACAAGATTAATTATCAACAAACAGATTTGGACTGCATACCAACGAAATCATCAATGTTTTGAATCTTTACAACTATTTGCATGACGCTACTAATAAAAATATCCAACTGTCATCGATACTACGAACCTTTACAACAAATAACAAGTGTGTAGTGACCCACCATCCGCATCAATCAATCAAGAACAATAAAAATGTTGCCTTGTGCTGAGATAACATCTAGTCTATCCATCCAAAATACTATTGAAAAGCAAATTATTATTATCATCATTATTATTAAGTTGAACTATTAAAGGGGTATGGTTGGCTATTTGCTCTTGACCCTTCAATAGCAAGTTAAAAAAAATTTCCATGTATGCTAATTCCATATATTTGCTCACCACTTTGTACCAAAAAATGGTAAGAAGGAAAAGTGGTTGGCTTAACCATATCCAAATCGACGCGTAGTCAAGTAACGCCGCCAAAAGCGCAAAAATTGGAAAATTAGAGGTGTAGGACGTAGAGAGAATAATGCTTTGTTGGATGGATAGACAATGGAAAGAGGCAATTGGACTTGGTGGGGGGGACTCGTCCTTTTTTGTCTGAGTGTGAAAATATTAGCCGTATAATTCAGACTAGAACTTGTTGAGTAGACGAAAGAATCTGGTTCCAAGCTTGTCGGCTATTTTTGGTGTGGCATGTGAATCAGCATGTGCATAAAATGGATTAACCGAGTCCAAACAATAGAATCTGGCTCGTTTTCATGAATTGGCAGTGTCTTTCATTTTCTACCTATCTTGTAAAGTAACGATTTCTTCGTCCACTCTTTCAAGTTACAACTACCAACGCCTTTTCTGAATACGCACGTAATGCATGGGGACTAATTTCTTGGGCTAACGCATTATTGCTGATCACGATGTTTATTGACGAGACCCAGTTTATGGTGTGTCCACAAATAACGAGTTTAATATCTTCCTCACAAAGGTCAAGCATGAGTAAATAACTATTTTAATTTCTCAAATTACTACAAATGACATTTACTTCAATTTTTTTAGATAACTTTGATGGTAAAAATAGTATTTACTCGGCAAGCAAAATTATGCCTTTCCTTCCCTAATTTGCCATGCCCACAACTACCTAAAAAATCGAATAAAGCCTCACCTAATTTTTGTTGGTCCAACCAAACACTCAAGTCATTTTACTAAAGTACTGGACCAATAAAAGCATAAATTGAACGCAAAATCAATTGGATTTGTAAATGTTAATTTGAGCAATATTACAGTACAAGGACCAATCATGGGAGACACTCAATTTTGAAATCAATGAATAAAGAATCATCTAATGACCTACTTACCATGTGCTCTTGCCCTATACGACTGTCCCCCATGATAAATAATGAATCATCTTATATTCAATTGAGGTTAATTACGCTGTATGTCCCCAAGAATAACAATCTAGCAGGGAATAAGAGCAACACAAACAAATGCATATGTTGGGATGCAACAAGCCTACTGAACCTTTTCAAGGACTCTCTCCCCGTTTGTATCATGCCAGAGAAGGGGGACTGGCGTTGACCCATATTGACCGATATCATGGACCTCCCAACAACAATGCTGGCATCAATTCCACGTGGTAATACAAGAGGCCACCACACCTTGCGCCGTTGCTCTCTCTTTGTTTTACGGATCTGGTTTAGTTCTTGGCGAATCACAGTTCTCACAGACCTTAAGTAGGAATTCATGTCATGATCTCTTTGTATACTTCCTCCAGATCCATAAGAAGACCGGTCACTTAATATCTCAAGTGGATGGGGTGAGTTCAAGAAGCCCATCTGAGCAGCTCGGAGCTGCTTGTCTGTGTCATTTGATTCTGACAAAGGACCACACAAAAGATATAGACCACTCCCTGATGGCAAGAGATGATGGCTAGGTGAAAATTTCTCATCTGGCTGTAGAATCAGCAGATTACCCATTGGTGCATATAGTAGCTTCTGCAATAAATTTACAAATAAGAAATTCGGAGGCTTATATATATAAGAAATTGTTTATCTACTGCAGTACAGAAAATTGGATAAGCAGGACTTCACCTGGTTACTGAGACAAGGATGATTACGGAAGTTCCCATTGACAGCCTTCAATAGTTCTGCGACATGGTTAGGATAATTACACGAAAATGCTCGTGGTACAATGTCTCTGTGCATTGTGATTGCCTGAACATGACTCCGAGGCAAGCCAAGCTTTTCTAGCAGACTATCACCTCCACACATGATGGATGGGGAACCGAATGTTACCACAGGAAGTAGAGAGGAGATTGGCACTTCGTGCCTTATTAACAGCATGAGATTTACAAGTAATGCCAAGCTTCCACCAAGAGAATGCCCGGTGAATCGGAAAGTCGCACGGGAACCTCGAGATTTTAGGTGAGCATGAACTTCTGGCAACATCTGTTGATATATCCCTTTAGCAGCCTCGTATATACCTCTGTGCACAAGGACATCCAAATCCTGGGAAAAAAGTATGTACATCATCATCTCAATTTCAGGATAGAGTTAGGTACACGTTAAGAAAGATTCAAAACTATTTATTTATAAACATAAAAAGAATGAAATTTCCCTTTGAGAAGAAGGATGTCATGTGATCAAACTGCTTTGGGCTGCAGCATTAACAATTACCTCAAATTTAATCGGCTCAAAAAGTAGGTTTGCTTGCCATGAAGCCAGTGTCTCAGAACCCTACATATTTATTTAGAAAACAAAAGTGAGAAAGAGCACATAAAAAATTGGCAGTGAACACTCGCATATATCACCATCTAAATAGCATAACACAACTAAATATTGCGAGCAACAATAATAACTATTTTATCATATGTTAAGTTCTAACATATTACAGCTAACTTGGTAGCTGTAACCAAGAAATACAATTCACACAGCCTAATGCAATAAAATGTCCCCAATTAATTTCTCCTACCTGAATAACAAAAAATCTAGTACCACTCTGGTCATCATCACAGACAAACCATTCGCAGGGTGTTGAATGTGCAGAGTTTAGATCATCTGCAACAGCCTGCTTTACTTCCTCCTTTGCTGCAACCACTGCTGTCACCGAGTCAGTAGTCGCCATCAAAGATGCCACCTCTGTGTTTATCATGTTAGCACTGTCAGGGCTCTCATTGCTTCCTTCATGCGAAGCTTCACCAGCTGTGGCATTTGAGGATTTGAATGGAAGTATGCTCCTCGTCTGAGTATGCAGATAAGAGGCAGCAGACGCAGCAATATTATAAGCAGCATTTGCACTTATCTTGTATCCACTGTTCTTCGGCTCCTCTCTTTCTTCTTCTTCCTTCTCATCATTTTCAACTTTATGGGGATTTTTTTCAGCTGTTGCTGCCAATTCCTTCTTCTCTATTGATGAAGTCACAAAACGCAGACCATAATGTTTTAAGAGTTTCCCTGGCTACATTATCAGAGCCAAAATATATATCAGCCTTTCACATGCATTTTGTTAAAATCAGATGCCAAGATCTGTAAATCCATTTCAGAATTTATCATATGAACAAAAATCAATAAGAGGTTTGCAAAAATATGTTCTAACTGTAAAATGTAGTTGAATCCTAAGTACATGATAGAAAGAAACAACCCCACCTACATATTCTCCTTGCAAAACTATTCGCTAAACATCAATCAGATCATATAAGTGATGAGTAATCCAAAGTAGTTAATTTGTTATAAATTACCCTCGCTAATGACAAAGTACTAAGATTTTGTCCGAGTTAAATGAAGAAACTTAGACACAAATGAAACAAGTGTCATGGCAAGGCATTTCCACCAAAACATTATGATTTAAAACCTAAACCTTCCACGGGCTTTTAAGAAGTTAGACGTAATTAAGACATAATGAATCTCCAAGCATTCAATGGGTTTTCGGAACAAATCATCCAGATCAGTTGACAACAAGGTAGATCTGAGGTCCCAACATTTTATGAATCAAAGTTTAAAACCTAGCCAGGTCACGCACTCACAAATAACAAGAAAGCAAAATAGAAGAAACATGAAACAGATTAGGCAACTACCAAAGCAAAAGCAAAATCGGAAATAGACAATAAAAGAAAGATCTCAGTGCAACTCAGACTCATACATTGATTTTGGGTATAGAATAAGCCAAGTTCCCCAAGTGTGACATCTGAGCATACAGTCTTGCTTCAGCTAAAGACACCCTCCGTAGCATTCTGGAAAACGAGTCTCTATCGAATTGAACCTCTTCTTTGCCACAGTCACCTTCATCTTCATCAACCCTGCAACCATCACACGCCTCCTCTTCATCCTCATTCGTTTCATGAAATTCATCATTAGCCGCAACATCCTCTTTGTTTCCCTGCTTCCCCTTCCACGTAGACCTCACATGCAAAATCTTCAAAACCCAGTTTCCTCTCTGCTGTTCCATTCCGTCACCCTCTCCGTCATCTCTAACGGCCTTCCCTTCGCCGTTCTCAACCAAAACGGCGTCGTCAAGGGCCAGCCCTTTGTATCTGCTATTCCCAGCTCCCCGAGGCCAGAGAGATTCCAAAGGATATCTAAAAGAAAATCTCGAAAACACCGACTTCTGCGGCGGTTTCTCCGCCACGGAACGCCCCACCGTGCTCACTTGAGAAGGATTCGCACGTGCGTCCAGAGATCCACTGATAGGGATCGTGGGAACTATCCCACTTTTTAAACACATAGTTTCCATTTTCCTTCTTGGTTTTCAGACAACACAAACTTAACAGTGTTCACAACGATGATGTTTCTGCTTTAGCGTTGAGTGTTGAGCGTTGAGCGGTGAGCAGTTGGCTTCAATCGTGTTTAAAACGAATAGCAGAGACAGAGAAAGAAAGAGGAGGGAGCATTTAAAGAGATCTTAACCCGAAAAAATCACTTAAAAAATAAGACACAGGTGACCGAATTTATCACAATTACGTGATTATTGGGTTAAAAGGCCCGATTTGGGGAGAAAACGACGGCGTTTGTTCGAGTCAAATAGTGTTTAGACGCGACGGCGTCGTTTGGAAATAGTGGGACTTTACGTGTTTGGTTTGAGAATTGCGATTTGCGAGCAGGGCTCTGTATTGGTCTCCGTCACGTGTATGTGGCCAATGTGTCGGGTAGTGAGAGCGTGTGTGTGTGCGCTTTGCATTTTCGAAGAAAAAGCGCGTGATTCTCTTGCATCTACCAGAGTTTCAGATCCAAGTGCCACGTCATATGGTTCAGATGAAGTACACGTGTACATCTAGTGACGTGTCCGTAAGGTTTGGGCTTCCTAAGCTCGTATCTTTCTGTTCCGGAAGATCGCCCCGTGCGTGTCACCGTTATCATCTGCTGCCACAGAAAACGCCACCCCCTTCACGCCGACGGATCAGAACAAAACTAAGACAGAATAAGTAAGAAAAATATGTTATTTAGGTCAATCAATTTTAACATATTACTTGTTTCAATTAATAAAATATTACAATAAATAAATATGAAAATACCTCTATTAAAAATACTATAACTCTTACGATAATTAAGTGATAGTTTATGTACTTTCAATAAAACTATTCTTTTCCTTGATCTGTATTTATATCGTTAGACACATATAAAAATATATATGATTAATGATGAGTTATATGAAAAATATTTTCCAATTATATTTCGTTAAGGAATGTCATAAAAGTGTTGTTTGGAAACAAAATTAAATAATACTAAGAAGTCTTTCATTTGTTTTATTTTCTTTCAGGGATCTCCATTTTTAGAAATGTAGGAAGTTTAATTTCCTTTTTAAGATACCTGCTTTTATACTAGGTTGCAAAAAGTCCACGAAAAGCAAAGCATTGAATATAATTAATAATCTAGTTATGAAGTTAGGTTATGCAGTTAAGAAAACGGTGGTCACTGTATTTATGCCAACTAAAACCTATTGTCAACCCAACTACGACCTATAATAGTTATGATCGTGTAAATTTTTTGGGTTTAACTATCTGTTTAGGTGAAAGTATGGGAAATGTTATTCTTTTTTGTATTCTTTATTTTATGCACTCAATTAAAAAATAAAAAAATATATAATATCAAATTAATTACAAAAATATATAAAGTAGGATGTTCATGACATTTTTTATTGACGCTTTCTTTCAAATTAAATTAAACAAACAATATAATAAAAGATCTAACGCCTCTATATAACACATTGTTATTAATTGAAATTCAGTGGAACTCTTATTTAATCAATTTTAATCAAGTTGATGATAAAAAGTATATTGTTAATATTATTTATGTCAACGAAATTTATAATAGAATTTTTTTAAAATGAGATAATATTTTTTTGTTTATACAATTGAGCACTTTTTGCATTTTTGAGAAACGTGTATCTTAAGCACTTATATTAAATTAAATTTTAAAAAATAATTATTCAATTAACTGTTTGACCAAAATAGATGTATTTTTTTAGATGAATTTATCTTGCTTATTTTGTAACATTTTGTTTTCAGACAAACATATTTTAAACTGATAATTTATTATATTTTATTTTTATCCTTGGCATTTGAATAAAATTTCTTACTTACTTCCCTGTAATTCCAGAAAAGTTCTCACCTTCATAATACCTATTTTTCTTTCTAGACATTATTGTATACCTACTTTCACTTTTGCCAAGATTGTGTATATGAACTTTGACAAGATTACATGATTTGTCGCCGTTGGTTTGTTGTAGAATGAAAAATATATAGTTCTGACTTAGCAAAAACAACATATAATAAGAGTGTTTTTAAAATAGAAACCAAACATAGTCTTATTATTTTACAATTTTGTATTTTGATCACAGTTCTTTTAAGAAAGCTTTGTGGATTAAGAGTAAAGTAAAAGAGTGAGATTAAGAGAGTGTTTGTTTTTCTTTTTAAAAATATTTTTCTGTTTTTAAAAATAAAATTTAATATAAATTTATATTATACCTACCCTAATACTTCCTACTATCAATTATTAGTTTATCATATCTCCTGTTACATGATCTTAACATCACTTACGGTTAAATTAAAGAGAAAATATTTTTTTGTGATTAATTAGTGTGCTTTGTACGTTTGTAATTCTTTTAAGTAGTAATTTTGTTCGTACACTGTAAAAGTATTATTAAATTAAATATTGAAAAAAATAATTAAAATATATCATTTAATTACTTTTGAAAATTATAAATTTTGCAAATTAAAAATAAATAAATATTATAATTTTTAATAAAAACTATATTATTTAATAATTAATAGTCACAACTTATATATAAAAATTGATTAAAAAATTTAATAATGTTTGGAAGGAGTTTTATTCAAACTGTGTAAGATTATAGCAGATGATAATTTTTTTTCTTCGAGTATTTAATATATATTTTATTATTAATTAAAATAATAAAATATATGCAAATTATATTTTTAATCTAATAATTTTCATTCGCAGGCTTTTTTTTAATTCAGCCAATAATAAAATATAAAATATGCATTAAAAGACTCTGCCTATTATCTTCCTTCTCTTCACTTTTCCCACTCCTGCACGGTTCGCAACTTAGAACTTCAATGTTGCTTCGCTTTTGGCTCTCAGGTGACTGAAAAATTCGCGAGTTCTCATTCTCATTGAGGCAAGGTTTCATTTCCTCTCCGATTTTGTTTTCTTCAATTTCTCTTTTATTCTCTCTCAAGATTCCAAGGTTTTACTCACCTTCCAGAATCCCTAAGTAGCATTCTTATTGTGTGAGATTGATTCGTTTATAGTTTCTTCCCTTTCAAAATCCTTATTATGACTATGTTTATTACTCGTGGATTATTGTTGCTTTGAATAATTGTTTTCATCTGACATCCAAACCAAAAAGTCGCTTGGTTTAAAACCTTTACATTAGGGATTGTAGTGCCGAGTTTTCAGTGTAGAAAATTCAACTGTTACCACTGTGAGTTTTATTCACAAAAGTTTTAAGTTGAACAATTTGTTGCGGCTTTATTTAATTGTGCTCTATTTGGTTAATTGGGTCGCGTCATTCAGAAGCCTCATGGTCCTGCTTGTCATGATATTAAACATATGGAGTTATTTTGTTCAGTATAATTCTTGCCTTCCTGTGGAGAAAAAATGATAACTGCAGTTTTGGTGTGGGTTTTTATCCCCAAATCAAGGGCTTGGTTGTGGTGGGTTGGAAGTTCATTTGAGGGGTATGGGGTTGCCTAGTCTAGTGTCTCTGGCATGCTTTCCTCATGGTGGAAAATGTCATTGTTTCATTTTTCATTCTCTGGGATTCTGTGTGCAGAGCAGAATCCTCGCATGCGGCACTGGAAGATGCAAACTTTGTGTATTTTCTGTTAGTTTCTCCTTTTCACTAATTCCATCTACTCACTGAAGATAACAGTGTAAGCATTGTGCAGCAACAATGAGCAACACCTCTGCCGGAACCTCGTCAAAAACAAAAGCATCATCCTCACAACCATCAGAAACTTCATCCAAGCGCAAAAGAGGAGTTTTCCAAAAAGAATGTTAGATTTTTTTTATTCCAATGTTAATATTTTAGTCTAGTCATCTCAATGTTTCTTACTAATCTTTTTCTTGCGTTGCTGTAGTGCAGCACATGATGTATGGCTTTGGAGATGATCCTAATGTAAGAACTATTCCATCCTTTCTTCTCTCTTATGTACTCATTATTTTTGTTTGCCTGGTTACGTAATCATTTAACTACCGGATTTTTTTCCATGTAAATTTTTAATAGTAGTGTCCATTAACTTGAACCTTTTATCTTGTTTGCCATTGCAATTAGCCACTTCCTGAAAGTGTAGCGCTTATGGAGGACATTGTTGTAGAATATGTCACAGAACTGGTAATAATCTTACCTTTTAATTGTTCAACTAAGTCTAAGTCTGTATGATCTGGAGTGGTTAGCTTTGTTAGCCTTATGCAAATGTTTCTGACTAGGTACATAAAGCCCAAGATATTGGATCTCAGAGGGGGAAGCTATCAGTTGAAGATTTCCTCTATTTGATTCGCAAGGTATTCCTTTCTTTATGAAAATGGTGAATAATTATTATGAAGATTAAGAATCTGGAAAATCGTGAATTCTCTGTATCTCTTCTCGAATACTGCATTAGATCCAACATTACTCCCCTACATCATTAAAACACATTTAAAAACTTTTTATCTTTTTTGTCCCTTTAAACCCTTTTCTTAAAATGTGCAAAAAGTTATGTGTTAGAAGAGAAACACAACTGAATAAATGAATTAAACAGGAATCTTGCACAAAATACTTGAAAATTCCTCTAAAAACACTTGCATGTGCTGGAAGTAATCTTTTGAGTTGAACCATTTTTTTTATAAGTACTTATATCCTAACTTATTCAGCATCAGAATTTCCCAACACAATTGTAATCGAACACTTCCAGTCTGAAACTGCTTGTTCTCATATGCTTTTATGAGCATTTTGATTTCAATTGCTTTTAGGCATTAGGCATGATATACAAAAGCCTGCTGTGATGGATTAAGCTCGTACTTGGGAACTTGTTACAAATATCAATAACAAGTATCAATCAATCTTTATCCAATTTAAATTTTATTGTCTGTTTTTAAAAGTCTTATGTGGAGAGCACATTCTGAAGCAGGACAATCATTAACTTCTACTAGCCAAACTCTGTTAATTGTCTTAAACTTATAACCTGTAAACACTCAGAACAAGGGTTGTCCGAAACAGCTTGTTTGGTCAGTTCTGATTTTCTAATTTTATGTCTAATCTGAGTTAGGAACTATAATCTCGCCTTGAATCATTCCACTCACTGCTGCAACAATGCAACTGTGTAGTACTTAACTATTCCAAGTTTCTAACGATGAATATTAGCATTATAAACTCTATATTTGGACAAGCCGAGAAATCTGATATTTTTGGTGAATATATACTACCAATAAATTAAACAATAGGATCACACTACCATCATATTTGTTTGCAGATTGTAATCTGGGGTCCAATAAATTATTCTATATAATGCAGGATATGCCAAAACTTAACCGATGCACAGAATTGCTGTCTATGAATGAAGAGCTGAAACAAGCAAGAAAGGTTTTTGAATCAGACGAGGAGAAACTGAGGAAGGTTTTTGAGGTTGATGACACAGCTGAAGGATGAACTATGAAGATTGTTGAAATGCTCCATTGCTGCATTCTCGATTGGTGCCGACTGCCGAGCTGGTCTCACTTTGTTGGTTATAATATTCATGTTTTGAGGATGCTCTAGATATGAAACTATACCCGAAGGCCATGATTGAATTGAAACTGTTTTATCTTCATACGTGAATATGACGTGTACATAATAATGTGATAGAAGTTTCATGAGAAAATATAACTACCAACTCGTTCCAGCAATTTACTGGAATTTAAAGCATACGTTATGCTGCCTTCAATGCTCAGGACCAAACGCAGCAATTCACAAAGATGAGCCAGTGATAGAGTTATAACTATATTAGGTTAGAGATTAGCTTGGAGTATATAGGACATATCTTCTCGGCCGAAGGTGTCTCAGCAGACCCAAAAATATTAGATATGTGGTTATGGTCAACTCCAAAGGGCATAAAAGGCTTGCGTGGATTTGTGGGATTGACGGGTGATTATAGGCGTTTTGTAAAAGGTTAGGGTGAAATCATTATGCCCTTAACCCAGCTATTGAAAAAAGAATCTCGGTGTAATATTGAAGCACAACTTGCATTTGATAAGCTGAAAGGTGCTATCACAGCTTTGCCAATTTTTGCTGTTCCTGATTTTTCATGTTAGAAACTAATGCTTCGGGCAAAGATAAATTTATAATTAGTTAACGTAATAATCTATATCTCAATTTTATATATGAATATTTGTTTAAAAGTTCTTACCTAGTTGTAGTTGATTTTTCTACTGAGTTTTTGATCCATTGGTTTTGGAAGTTGTTTAAATTGGTAACGTAAACTGATTCTTGGTCAAATTAGTTGAATTGATCGGTGTAATTTGATTTTCAAAACCATAATGTTTACAAACACTCTTGCATCCTGAATGTGGGGTGGGCGGCTATGAGAATTAAGTTATGTTCACTTTAAGGAGTCATTTGAAGTCTGGGTATTCATTGTTGACGGTAATCATTACAAAGGAGTAAATAACAAGTTATTGGTTCTTTAGCAGCTTGAAGTTCTTAATATGCAAGTTATCTGTCTTTTTTGTTTTCACGTTTTAGTAGTATTTTATTTTAAATAAACGCATGTTTTGAAAGAAATTTGATCATTTGTTCAAAATATTTATTTAAATTAAACTAAAAATAAAAGTTACTTTTAAATGATATATATTTATCACACTAGAACTTTGAGTCGTTCTCTGCATGGAAAGAAAGTCCACAAATCATCGATTTAAATATGTTCACCATTCTGAAGGAAATAATCAAAAATCTATTTGGAGGAGAAAAAGTTAGAAAAAAAAAATATTATGCTTTATTGGACAGTTTTATTATATCTATTTGATCAAAACCAAAAGAATTAAGGTTGTGTTGAGAAAAGAAAAGAATCCCTCGCCGGCTAAGTGTGTTGATTGACGACTCTTGCTAAATGAACCTAGAATGACTGACCATTCCTTGACTTTCGCTATACAGAACAAAGTAATACTCATTCCCATCGAATAAAGTCACATAAAATCACAATTCCGGCATGTAAAGTCTACTCTTTTTCCAAGTTACACCCACAACAAATAGCAATTACAGTGACACAACCGTAGGTTTGATTTCATTATCAAAGAGAAAACTTATTTATTGCAAACCACTAGCATCTCCTTACTACTCATTTTAAGAGATTGATCAACCATTACCGAAGGCTAAAGGAGGCATGAAGAAAGGGACTTGCAATTGAGCAGAGCACTACTGAATGAGTACTATTCGCTCTATAATCATTTCCGATATGGCATAAATTCAATCCAATGTAAGCATGTCTTCTCAGCTCGTGTTACAATTTAATTTTCATTGCATCGTTACTAAAAAGAATAGCGTGCCATGAAGGCACTGGAATTCACAGGGTCGAGGATTAGCTTCCTCATCTTTGTGTGAGGAAAACCTACCTATTTGTTAACTAACAAAATCGGGGGACAGGCCTGGATAATCAAGGTTTACTTATACCGAAGCACCTAATCATGTTACATTGAGGACATAATAGGAGAAATAAAATGTATCCTATATTCTAATCAAGAATGGCTTTTATATTCGTTTTCTGCTCCTCCGTTAGTGAGGTGGGGAATAGAACCTCAAATGTGACATAAAGATCTCCTTTCTTTGTGCTCATATGCAGTAGCATGCCCTCGCTTTTGAACTTCCTCACTTGCTTTGGGTTTGTGATTCCCTAATGGTCAAAAAAATTGTCAGATACGTGCCTTTTCTTATGCATGCAGTTATATATCATATTAATGCCAATTACGAGCTGCAACAAGGATGCTTCATGCTCACCTTCGAGCTTATGTCCACCAGATGCTCATCTAGGTGTTTAATAGTCTTTTCAAAGCCAACAAGTGCTTGAACCTGAACATAAAGTTTTAAAAATAAACTTTACAAGGCAAGTAGAATTTTAAGGAGACCAATAACAGACAAGTTAACGGTTTGCAAAGTCACAAAAACATTATAATTCAACGTGTTATGCTAGTCAGTAGAATAAAAGTATACTGTTATTACATGTCTTGAACATGTTCAATATAGCTAAGGAAAAAAGTATAGATCAATTAATCGATAAGCATACAAAATTACAAATTATTGCAGTATTTACCAGAGTTATAGTGACAGTGGTGTGCAAGTCATTGCCTTCCCTTCTGAAGAGCTCATGTGGTGCTGTACGGATACGAAACTGCTCATATATTGTCAGCAAACTGCACATCGTAACATGCAAACAAAACAGCTATTGAGTAAACATGAGAAATAAGTTACTTACCCTTAGATCTCCGGACTCTCCATCAATTATGGGCTCACCATCCTCATAAAATCGCACTTCCTGTGAAAGGATAAAACCGATAACTGTATCATGTGAGTGCGTTTTCAGCAAGCTTCCTTGGGGCGTGTAGTTTTTTCTTTCAATTGTATATTTTATTAACAATTACAAAAATCGCACATGTATTTGTTTATACAACACTCTAGTGTTTTCATCGTTTCCTTCAAACACCACCTTAATTTGTGTATTTTCAGCTTAATCTAGAACACCCTTCAAATTGGAAATTGGTCTTCTACATCTAATGTTTGGCATTTCTTCTAAAAATAGAATTTTGATGAACTTAGAACAATCCCATGAATTCTGTTTCTATCTAGATCTCTCTATTTTAGGCAAAAAGAACTTTTGTTGGACAACTAATCAGCTTGACACTTTGTTTGAGTTCCTTGATGAATAGGACTAAAAAATAGTACCAAAAGGCTCCACTAGTTGACTTAGAATGAAAGATAACATCATTCAGTCAGGTTTGATACATGTACTTAACTGTGTTTAAGCAATTAAAAAGTTACATTTATTTCTTCATGCAAGATGAGCCGGTACTTTTCAAGAGTGAAATCCAAAATTATTTTAATTTTCTTGTGGTAGCCTAAATTGAACCACTGACCTGTTTTTGTTCTTATGGTCATCAGAAAATTCAGAAAAAATGTGTTTGAAGGTCTTTTCCCCTTATTTTTAGTGCTGATAAATAGATAAATGTACAAACTTGTAAGCTAAGTAATTTTTACCAGAAAATGTAAGATGGAATTTTAAAATTTAGTATACAATTCAAAAAACAATGGATTGATTTTGAATCAATTCCAATTCTAATATAATTAAAATCAGGCTCATTAATTATATTTTAATTCCACTTTTGTCATCTAATTAGTGTATTTAGAATATAGAAGAAATGTGATTTGACATACCTTATGAATTATGATAGGAACCTGAACTAGCTGTGTAGACCAAAAATTGAAGAGAGTGATAAAGAAAGTTAGAGATGAAGTTGTGTTATTTCTGCTATGTGGAGATGCAAGGAGATAATTCCATTACAAGCAGTGGCCCCTTACCGCCGAGTAACTCAATGAACAATTATTTCAACCGTTCCTGCTTTTGACAACTCCTGCTATCTAAACATAAACTCCTAACTAACTACTCCCGCGACCCATTATGTTAACTAACTAACTAGCTGTCCTAGCGTTTATTCTTTTGTGTATTCATCTTCCAAACCTTAGATCCATGATAACACCTTATAGAGCAGAGCTTATATAGAAAGGGATGTAAGACATGATATATTCATAATTACATATTGCTTAAAGCCTTTATATATAAACCTTAAAGGATTACCTGTCCATCTTCCATGCCTTTCTCAATATCAACAGTGATGAAATAACCATCTCTTTCATACTTAACATTGGGACATTGCTCACAGACCTGGACAGGTAAACTAATAAATAAGAGTGAAAATTTCCAGATATTTTAACAATAGGAATGAATGTGCACATATCCCCTCCCCAGAATAAAAGAGAAGAAAATTGTCTGAGCTTGAAAATTAACTAAAAATTTCAGGTAGGAAAAATGTCCTCAAGCATGAAAAGATCGAAAACAAGAAAAAGATCTATTCTTTCAACATTTTTAAAGATGTTTACCTGCTCTGTCATCTGTTGAAACATCCCGGGACCTATTTGCTTGTGATAAACCTCATTTCTACAGTTACAGCGTCTCTTTCCAGGTGCGGGCTTTAAAACATTTTTCTCCCTCCAAACCTGATAATTACAACGCAAGAGCCAAGGGTCACAGAGACACTTAGAAGTAATCACTACTACCTGAGAAACTTTATACTGCTAACAGAGCAGAGTGCTTGATAAATAGATGATAACTATGAGATAGTTTACAACTATGCCTTACTAGTGGTAAAGTATGTGCTCGGTGAATGTACTTCAAATATGAATTGAGATGCCCGAGATAGAACAGAACAGGTAATACGGGACATGCTCCAGTTATTATGTGGAATATGTGTATGACATGACTCAGGCTGAGTTTGATGAACACACAAGTTCTGCTTAGCAGCTCCAAAATGAATTCTGCTCTGCATCTAATATTTTGTTTCTGATTTTCTGTATTGGCTGATCTAGCCAGACAAAATGGGTACTTTGCTCTTACCCTTTTTTAGTTCGTCCAAGGAGAGGCTCAAAATAGGCCCTACAGGGGAAGGGGAGAGGAGATAAAAGATTGGGAAAAGGATGGAGGCGCGCACACAATTCATGTTTTGCAACTTAACCAACTGACCCAACTCGAGGAGACACTTTGCCATTACCATATAAACCATGTACATCGTCAAAGTTAATTTCATTTCCATCTATAACCAACGCACAAAATGTTACAGAAGTTGAAAAATTGTATGACATGCATATCAGCCTAACATTATCTTAACGCTGAATGTATCTCATTAACAGATACACAAATTTAATGCACAGAAATGCAATCAAAAGACTAGCTAGATATGAACACACCTTCAAGGAACCTCCCATGTACAAATCTTCCAGTGTCGCATCCAATTCAACAACCACGTCATCACCTTTCACAATTCTCTCTTCCTCTTCCACTGGACCTCCCCCGAAGAAACTGAAACAAAGAAACATAAATTCAATACTCAAAATCAGCGCGTCTCACACACACTCACTACCCACGTGCAATGCTATTGATGAAACAGTTACACGTTGAAACCTTCAATTCTATAGGAAACAAAGCACAAAATTAAAGTTAATGCGACTCACGAACTGAAAATATCTTGGAAGTTCATTCCCATTCCACCGCCTCCTCCAGCAGCATGCTGTTTCAAACCTTCTTCCCCATACTTATCGTAAATGCTTCTCTTCTCGCTATCGGAGAGAACTTCATACGCTGATATACGATGACAATTAATTCAACAATTAAAACATTAACAGGCTAGATTGATTAAATAAATAAAATCATAGTTTAATTAATTAATAGCAATATACCATTGTTAATTTCCGCAAATCTCTTATTAGCTTCTTGATTGCCAGGGTTCTTATCGGGATGGTACTTCAACGCGAGTTTCCTATACGCCCTCTTTATCTGCTCGTCCGAAGCGCTTTTCGGGACTTGAAGTACGTCGTAATAGCTCTTTCTGTCGAAAATATTCAAAAATTAACGAGGAAACATACATTAAAATTCGTGAGCATCGTTTGTCAAATTGGATCATTCTGGAGAGAGAACAAACAGAGAGAGAGAGAGAGAGAGAGATAGAATATAAATACCCCGCAATGGCGTAGAGAGAATAGCAAATAATAAGGCATAGGAGGAAGAAGAGGTTGACTCTTGGATGAGCCATTGGGTCTTGTTTGAAAAGAAATCAAATGTGTACAGTTATGAATGTCTTTGTTTTGGTGCAGTGAGAGTGAGAATCCTGAAAGTGATTCCGCAAAATGAAATCGAGATTTGCAAGTGCAGCGTTCTCCTGTCCAAACTCTCCAATCCATGGTTACCCTTTCTGTGTTCCAACCAATCCTACATTTACACGTTGCACATTCTCTATGCTCTCTCCCACTTTTTCCCACTTCACATCTACTAACACCTTTCATCATGCTCAATTCGCAGGAGAACACACTCTTTGTTGCATTAACTCAATTTTTGTATACTTCAAAGTATTTTTAAAATTGATAAGTGAAGATCAATCACTTTATTTCTAAGTGTACTATGTATTTGTTCATGTTTTTATTTCTTATAGCATTTGATTTATTCATGTTTTGAAAAAACAAAAGGTGAATAAAAAATTAGTTATACGGTTTTTTTACTATTAACTACTATTCTTTGAAAGAAGATCCTTTGCACTTATTTTTAAGCAACTAGAGATTTCATTCCTAAAATTATTTTATTTCATAATAAATATTTTTAAATAACCACAGTTTCATAAAAACCTCAATTCATTTTATGAAACCCCTAGTACTGCCGCGGATTCCCCCCTTATTCTTTTTATACACTTTTTTTTTTTGGTTAAACTTATTCCCTTTTATAAACTAGCACTGGGCTTGAAAGCTAGCCTAAGCCCAAGTCTGACCCGTTTAGCAATACTCACTGACACAAAAATGTAAAGATGTTGACCAAATAATAATAATAATAATGTAAAGACAAGTTTGAAAGAAAAAAAGTAAAGACAAGTCGACCAAATACAAAAACTGTAAAATCTCAAGCATTTGAGTTGAGGAAAGTGTCTAACCGAATTTGGTCATCATACCTTAGCCCTAATCAACTTAGTTCGCTACACAAACATGCTTGAAAAAGAAATGGAGCAAAATAAATAAATTATTGAAAACAAAAAGCTGTTTTTTAGGCAAAGTAAGTTTGCATAGAGTAAGTTAGTGGCCGTAATGCATAAGCTTCTATATCATTATTATTATTAAAAGAATATAACACAACTTGTTTATATATTCAATTCTCAGTTTCAACATCAAATTGGAGATGGTTGGTTGGCTTCAAGGGGGAGGCTGGTTAATTAGTTAAGGTCGATACGGGTCCAGAGTAGTGTTGCTCCATTCACTTAATGCATGCCTTGCCTTTGTTATGATACTATTTATGTGACTTTCCCATTATTTTCATTAACGATGGATTTGTATAGGCAAGTAAATGAGTAATAAGGGTGGAGGCTAATGGAGCATAAAGTAATGAGATGCAATAAGAAATGAAGAATGACAAGGGAATGAGGAAGATTCCTTCGTTATCTATGTAAGAATGTCATTGTAAGTGTAGTAGTATTATTGAAGAATTACTAACTAAATCACGGCTTCAAATTGCCTGAGGCAATATATAAAATAATCCTAGGGGTTCCGGAATTCATGAAGAGATAAAGGATAAACTATATATCTCATACATTACAAAGTTGAGTTTTAAAGGGGATCTTTTAGCCCTTAGATACACATATACAATTGGTTGATATATTCAGTGATGGAGTAAAAGGTGATCCACACCATGGAATTTAATCGTAGTCGTCTAAATGCAGCAATTGGGATAATCATACAAAGCCTTAAAGGAGAAAGTTGGGACAATTGTGGGAAGGATTCATGATGATATCTTAGTTTCCCAAGGGAACCACGAAAATTGTGAGTAAGTGCACATGTACATATACATCGGAATTCTAAGGTCTTTGAAGATTGGAGTGAGCGCTAGCTAGGAATAGGAAGGACGTAGTTACTTTGTTGGATACATATCCAAATAAAATATTACCACAATTCTCCACTGCACGAGAAAAAGATTACATGAGATTGCAATAGAATATTAGAAAAGGACTCTGATAGACTAAAAAAGAACATATGTAGTTAAAATCATGTTGTCATGGTGGGGTTCAGTGAACGATAGTAGATAAACAGGAAGAAAATATTTTTACAATAACTCTTTCACAAAGCTGTAGCAAGGAAATGCAAAGCAAAAAAACAAATTGTAAATCCGATCATGATATGATTATGGGTCCACTGCTAATTTAAGAGAAGGACGGAAGATAATAAGAAAATAACAAATAAGAATATCATGGCTGGAGTGTTGAAGCATATATCATGATGTGCATTCTTCTTGGAGTCGATGAAAAGGACACAAATGGCACTAAGAGGCAAGCTCCATAGAAGTCATCATAGGGAGGATGAAGTGGCTTAATTTGTTAATATTTTCTTATATCTTGTAGAAAACAATTTCATGGGGAAACATCCCAGTAGTTGTCAAGGAAAATTTAGTATCCTTTCATGCTAGAAGTCCACATCCATGTTAAAGTATACGACAAACACCCAACATTTCGATACTAATTTTATTTGTAAGAAACATCTTGATTGACTTTAGCGCAAGAAGTAGCATTTGCGTCTCAAATAAAAAGCATAGCACTTAATTCTATATTATGCGTGTTTCCAAAGTCGTAGGAATTACTTCGATAACGAGTTTCTGTCGAATGGATTGAAGTTTTTTATCCTATACTTTATTAATTTGACAAGATGGTGATCCTGTTTTGACCAAAAATGCTACTCAGTGCAACCATTAATGGATATATGAAAACTAATTTATTTAAATATTTATTTAAAAAATTATCAAATAAAAGTTTGTTCACAAGCTAAAAGATAATAAGTATGAATTATACTAATGGTTACGGTCTTTTAGGATTTTAAAGAATATAAAAAAGTAAAAAAAAAATTCACTCGTAATAATTTATACTATGCTTTGATGAATATTCATTATTTAAGAATATATTTTGTTAAAAAATTTCTAAGAAAAGTTTATTGGATAGAAACTTTAAAAAAAGTATATTATTTTTAAATTAAAAATAGATTTTATAAGTTATTTACATGCTCTTTTAAATAAGTTCTTATATTATTTAATACTTTTTTTATGTGAATTTTACTCTAAATTTAGTAATTGAATGCTTTATTATATAAATTATGTCTATAAATTTGTATAACGTATATTTTTTGAATAATTAAAAATAAGAGTATTTTGATTATATTTGTAGAATTATCTAATCTTTATAAAATTAAAAATTATATATATATATCACATTGTTGTTGATAAATTGATAGCACGTGGTTTATGTGAGAAAAATCGTGAGACATCAATACAGCGATGACATACGGTAGGAAATAGGAAAGGTTTACAAAATACTCGTCTTTATATATTTTGTTAAGTATGAAATTTTTGTCAGACTTATTTATATTAAATATTTTTTTATAATTATAAAATTTATTAATCTAATTAAATAGGGTGATATTGACACCTTGATTATATATATTAATTTTTAGATAAATTAAAAGGTTACATACATGTAATTTTACAAATTAATATTTTAAAAATATGTTATATATAGAAATAAAATAATCTAACAAAGTATGAATTATTTGTATTTGTATAAATTTTTATAAATTTAATCTAATTAATTAAAAAAATTTAATATAACAATCAAGATAATAAAATATAATTTTTACCCAGAATCATTAAAAATAACAGTGGAGTTAACCCTTTGGTATTATGTTGATTTGTTGAACAAATTTGGTTACATTTAACATTTTTCTTAATAGAAAGCTGCTGAAAAGAAGTTTGTGGGGAGCGAGCATTTAAGAATTTGCATGAGTAATTGAGGATTTTTGTAACAGTAGCATCCACGTGGGTGATGGAAGCCCCGTCACGAGGTTGGGGATGGTTAAGCCACGACTGTAGCATTCCTACAAAGCCAACGTGGCACAATCTGCCACCACAAATACGTCAAATTCAACAGCCCCACCTCTGTGCCCCTTTTCCAGTTCTATAAATTCCCCACATTATTTTCACCTTGTAACACTTCACCCAGCACGAGTAGCTCGTTCGCAAGTTGCAGCAACAAAACATGCACTTGCCCTTCTCCCACTTCTCTCTGCAGTCTACAGATTAACGAGTGAGACATCCACATGTACCAAAAAATTCCCCATTTATTTTATTATTTTTCTTTGGTAAAAGTTTTACTGTTTGTGCTTTTTTTTCTACTCCAGCTATGGGAAGAGCTCCTTGTTGTGAGAAAGTGGGGTTGAAGAAGGGGAGATGGACAGCAGAGGAAGATGAGATCTTGGCCAAATATATTGAGGCCAATGGGGAAGGTTCATGGAGGTCATTGCCCAAGAATGCAGGTAACAATTGTTCTCACTTTGCTTCTTAGTTAATAGTATTATTTTTAGCTTGCGTAATTATAATTAAGTAGGTAATTTTTCGGGGACCATTTTCCAATTTGATCTTGACTATTAGGTTTGAACTTCCAACTACAATTTTGTTGCTGTATATTCTTTGTTGAAGAAATTATTCGTGCTATTAATTAATTGTGTTCTTTCTTACTGTTATTTTGGGGTTTGGAAGGATTATTAAGGTGCGGGAAAAGTTGCAGACTAAGATGGATTAACTACTTGAGAGCTGACCTTAAAAGAGGGAACATTTCTGCTGAAGAGGAACACACCATCGTAAAGTTGCACGCTTCTTTTGGCAACAGGTTAGTGCCCGTGGCATATAATTGAATATGTTACTGAAACAAAAAAGTATATATACTGGATCACATGCAGAAAACTGATAAGTGACGAAATGGACCAAATATGCACCCTAGAGTAGTAGTATTCGGTATTACCGCAACTTCTTTTCACAAAATATTAATTTCCATGTTAATTGCCTTAATTCAGTTCATTTACTTAGATTTTGGATTTTTTTTCACATTTGTTTATTTATTTTAGATAAATTTATTATTTTTATCACATTATTTTTATATTCTTTCTTTGTTTATTCATCATAAATCCTATAAAACTTCCGCAGATATTTTTAATTACAAACTAAACCTCAGTTGCCAACATTGACGCTGCAGATATTTTTACAATTATGTTGTTTCAAAATTAATAAAAAACTAAAAAATTGACCTCTGTGTGTGTTTGTCTTTATCATTTATTATAGAGATCGAGAGAGCTCTATTGACAATCTCTGTCTTTAAATTAAAGAGTACGTACTTATATATATATATATATACCAGAGTTTAAGATGTAAAAAGACAGTGAAACGCTCTTACTTGTCGTAGACTCACTTGTTAAGCTGTCAATATATGTCTATTACGTGTGCGTAAAACTAATTTATTTTCAATAACTTGACATCATTTGTCTTAAATCGAAATTAAAGCGAGAATTGTGAGAAGACATTCAACAGTGTTTCGTTTGATGTTTATGGGACAAATTAAATAGACATATAAAGATCTAGAAATATGTGTTTAAAACGGTAGTTTTTAGAGTTAAAAAAATACATGTTTTACATTATTGAATTTATTTATTCTTTTTGAAAATATAATTTTCTATAATTTAAAAGTTACTCAGGTGAAAGTAAAAAATATCTGTCTAAAAAAATGACTGAATCTGTTTTTTTTATTGACAAATAATATTTAATAAGTTTAAAATGCATGTGTAATTTTTATTAAAATAGAATTTAACACATGTTTGAAAAAAAAAGTTACTTATTATTTTTTATATGTTTGGAAAAAACCAAAAACTTTATATCCTTTCATTATGATATTTAGTATTTTTGTTTGATTGATTATGTTTTAAATTTATAATCATAAAATATCATTAAGTCAATTCTTTAATAACTTAATAATTTACAATAAAATATAAAATTAATCAATTCAGCTATTGAATTATTTTATATTATCTTCAACAATTATGTATATTAAATTTTATATAATTTAAATATACTATCTAAATTTTAATATCTATCTATATTTTAAAAGATACTACACATTAAAATAAAGTGTAATAAAATATAGTTATTTTATTTTATTATAAAATTAGCATAATGAATAAAAAATTTAAATTTTATAAAAAATTATTAAATAATATAAATGTTCAATTTTTCTCTGTGTGTGTCATATTAAATAATGGCTAATTATTATTTCTTTGTCATTCGAAAACCTACCACGAGTTTCACCTTAAATCACATGATTGGATTGATTGCATATATAAACACTCCAATAATACGATCACTTACTTAACACCATATCTGTTTAGCTCTCTCTTTGCATTACATTACATCATCTATAATATTTTTCCCTGTACCTCTTAAATGTCTACCAAATATTCTCCTTTAAAACTATTAACATGTCTCTAGTTTTTGACTTTTGCCGTTCTCCAAAACCTTTACATGCTTTCACCTTTTTTTAATTATATCATGTAATAAAATATTTGAACATACGTGGAAAGACATACCATAAAAAAAAACATAAATATAATAAATTTTGAATGATAAAGGGTAACAAGAAGACTGTTACGTTACGTGGAGGCATACAAATCCGTACGTTTGCGTTACCGCCGTTATGATTGAATACGACAGCTAAGACCTTTTTTTCATACCATGCATACTGTCGGCATTTTCCACGCATTCTCGCAACATTAATAATAATAATAATAATATATTACTTTTAATACAGATAATAAAAGTTTATTTAAAATTAAAAATACAACATGATATAATATATTAATAATATTAAATATTATATTTTTTTATAAAAAATTAATTTATTACTTTTGGATTGTGCATCAGTTAAACACATAATGAAAAAGTTATAATTAACAACAACAACAATAATAATAATTATCCCCTGCATGCATGAGTCTAGTTGTCTAGGGGAAAGTTAATTGGGTTGATGGTAAGCCTTTCTCGATTGGAATGGATTAATTTATATTGGACATTATTTTTTAAGGTTAATTATATTGATATCCTTACGTTATTATTATATATCTTTTTAAAAATACATGCTTTTCTTATTTATCTGTCAAGAAAATATAAATTTTAATTTCATTTATTCATGTTAAAATTTAAAATTATATCAAGTGTTAATTTTTCATTAACATTTTTATTAATAATGTAACAATAAATAAAGTTTTGTATCAATTGAATAACTCAAAATTTTGAAAAAGATATAATAAGAAATTTAAAAATTAATAAAAAAATAAATGTATTAAATTCTTTATATTATATAATTTTTTAAAGCAAATAAATTAAAACAGAAACATTAACATACATATATCATACCCTACTTTGATGCAAGAACCGTTCATAAAGTTTTCTTAAATTATTTTTTAAAAAAATGATAGGAACACTAACGACAACCCCCTCATGTTTGCATTTTCAAATATTTATTCACAAAAATAATAAAAAAGGTTACATAACAGTGACGGGAATGACGACATTTTTTTGGCATTGATGATTTTAGGTGGTCATTGATAGCAAGTCACTTGCCAGGAAGAACCGACAATGAGATAAAAAACTACTGGAACTCTCACCTCAGCAGGAGAATTTACAGTTTCCCCAATACCCAACCAGATTCTGGGGTCATGCTCCCCACACCCAAACGTAAAGGTGGTAGAACCAGTCGTTGGGCCATGAAGAAGAACAAAAGCAACCCTCAAAAGGGTACCCAAAGACCTAAACAAAGTGTCACCCAACAGAATATCGAAAGTGAAGTTCCACCGCCATCCACACCATCACTAGAGAGAGAGGGTTTAATGGAAATGGAAGATGTTGGTGAGGAAATACGGGAAGAGGTGGAGGTACATGGAACATACGAGAAGTACCTTAACGGTGTGAAAGAAAGCGGCGATGATGACGTTTTAGGACTGTGCCAATTGGAAGGCATTAATGGTGTTAGTGGGGAGTTGAGTTTTAGTGACATATTGGACAGTTGTGTTGAGGAAGAAACGTGTGGGGTTTTGACTTTAAGTGAAGAGAGAGAATGCAATGACGTGGTGGGTGTTGGTGTGGAAAATGAAAGACACAATGATGATGATGCGTGTCACAACAAAATGGCTTCGAGTGAGAGTAGTGCGAATCTTAGTTGCAATGGGGATATTGGAGAATGGAATTCTTCCTCTTCTGTGACTTTGGGTTTGGAGGATCGATGGGATTGGGAAAGCGTCATAGAGTTTAATAATATTGAGTCCCATATCGCTTATGATTGGGAGCAAAAAGAAAACTTGCTGACTTGGCTGTGGGAAGACGATGATTGGGAAAGCGATGGAAAAAATTTGGGAGAGACAGATCCTCAGATACAAAACGACGTGGTTGCTTGGTTTCTCTCTTGAAGAAATAATAGAATAGACCTTTATTTAGTACTTTCCCCCCCTTTTTCTTTTGGACAAAATTTATGTTTTTTTTATTAGAACTAGAGTTTGGTATTAATATTTTGTGATTATTAACCGTAAATACCGATGTTTATTTGAAATACATTTTTCATTTGAATTATAAAATAGTATGAAAAATATCTAATTAAACTAAAAACAGTATAAAAAATGTAATAGATTTGGAGTAGATATCAGATATGTAATTAGACATAAGTAAGTAATTGCAGTCACTTTCTTGTTGTTAACATTGAAATATCGCCACGCACCGATTATAATGTGTTTTTGTATAATTAATTTAAATTTAACTAATACACAACTCAAATACAAGTTTTATTTCATCATTTAAATATTAATATATTTTACACACATAGAATCTTTTAAAATAATAAAATAAGAATTGTATCAGCAAACTGAACTAAATGGTAAACAATTTAGTATTATTTAAAGAATGTCTCGAGTTTAAGTTTTTGTATGTGAAAAAATCTTAAGTAATAACCTTATTTATCACATCTATATATGTGATTAAGTCAATTTCAAATTAAACTAGATAAGATACAAAAGAAAAAGTAAGAATTATACGAAAAAAATTAATGTAATTGTCTCACATTTTAATCATTTTGAAATTTAAAAAGTTATCTTATATTTTAAATGTTGATATGCTTTTATATAAAGTGTTCAACTTAGGTGATATACATTTACCATTGAATTACTATTTAAATATTATTTTATAATTTATATTTTATTATATTTTAACAGATAATATATTATTTAAAATGTAAGTAAATAACTATCTTAAATTATATATAATATTTGAATTATGAATATGATATAATTTATGTAATTTTTTACCTAGACAATCTTTATAATGATGTTACAAAAAATATTAATAGTTTGCTAAATAATTTTTTTTAATAAAAAAAATATTATTTTATTAAATTTCATACTTGATAATATTTAATTTTGGCCCTATAATATTTATTTACCATTTTTCAAAATAATACGCTTTAGTGAAATATGTCTACACGTACATGTTTATTTTTCTACAATTTGATATGAGTACATTTAATGTAAATTTTTCGTGTTTATATGATGAGAATATTATATGATTTAAACAATAAAATATTTTATCCGGTGCATTTTTTATACTATTTTAATACAGGTAATAGTAATAAATTTTTAAAATTAAAAAATTATGTAAATTTAAAATTTAAATTAATATCAAATTAAAATTTAATACATGATGTAGAAAAAAATTAGCTTAATAAAAAAGTTAATTCTTTTTTTAAATACTCTTAAAATTCTCTATTTTAAGAATAATTTTAAAAAATATTTTGTTTAAAAATTAATACTCACAAATTATATGAAAAATTGATTAAATTAGATTAATTTTAAATTGTCATTACATACAAATAGAATGTATGATAAACTTATTTTAGTTATAATTTTTTATTAAAAAAATATAAGCTTGCAAGTGTCGAACATTGCCATCAATACCTACTGGATACATGTTTTTGTTTCTATTATTAATTTGTTTGAATCGTTACTGACTGATTTATTTGTCAGTGTTTTTCCGTGGGGGCCTTCTTCTCTGAATCATGATGACTAAAAGGATGTATTCTAAATTAAATATTTATTTAATGATTTTACTGCATAAAATTTTATAAAATAATTTTTATTATATATAAATAAAACTATTTTAATAAAATATTATAAGATATATCTTAAAATAAACTAAAAGATTTTTTATAAATTATAAATTATTTTATCATGTTTCATTAAATTCTTTAATCTCTCCGTAAAAAACTAATTTGTCGAACAAGTGATATCCATTGACATTACATCTTTAAAAATGAATCTCCATTTTGTCTTAAAAAAAAGTATTATTTGATGGAGTTTATAGTCGAGATTATCAAACAAGCTTCAATTGTATAAAAAATCATAAGACAACATTTCTTGTTTTTCTTTTCAACAAATCCTTATACGAAGCTTAAATACATTTATGATTTTTTTATTTGTGTAAAAGTTTAATCTTATCCTTTTAATTTATTTTTAAAAAGCTAACACTTTTAAATTTTAATAATAACATAATCAATTAAAAATTTATGACGTTTCAATTTTTGTTATCATTAAAATTCAAAAGCTTATACCGCAACAAATTAGAGAATACACTAAAAATATATTAAATTTCTCTTACAACAACAAACCATCATAAGACCTAAATTAACCAAAAGCCATGAATACATCAAAGCAAAAAAATAAAATAAAAAAATAGATCCAATGATAACCCCTACAAAAAAATTAAATATTTAAGAAAAAAGTGCAAAGGCATTAACTTCTATTAGACTTCATAGTAGAGATTCTAGTATCTTAAAATGGTCCGCTCATCCTTATACACGTCATAAGCAGGCTCCATGGAGAAAATCATTTTCCCTTTCTTCATCGGATTAGGTATGCTTTGAAAGAATAGTTTTATATAATATTATTATTATTTTAAAATAAGTCAGCTTATTGAACTTAAAAAATTTATTATCAGCTCAATTTTTCACTTTTTAATTAAATAAAATAAATTTAACCTACTGTAAATTTAGTATACCACATGAGAACATCTAGACATAATGACGAAGAATCTGACTAATTTTTCGTTCCCATTTGCAAACGTAGTCAAGCAGAGTAGGTCTCTTACAAACTCAGATATTATGACTAACATAAATGTACATGTCCTTGCGTCTGGTTAGGTCCTCGGATGTTGGAGTACCCTATTTATTTTTGTACAATTAAAACAATGGTCCAGACTGTGACAACAAGGCAATCATGACACCAATTTGTTTTCATATAAATAATGACATGAAAAGTTATAAACCTAATTTAAATATTACAAACTGCATTAAACAAACTTATAATCTAAATATGCAATATTTTAATTTTTAATATACTTTTATACCCTTGAAAAAAAATTATTGACACTATCACACACATAATATCTCAATTTTGATAATTTTTAATAAATATTTATAAAAGAAAATATTTTTACAAATTAAATTAACTTATATTTTTAAATTTTAATTTTTTTCAAATTTAGGATATATAAAATAATTTTAACGTATAAAAAAATTATTTTCTTATAAATATTTTCTATAGAGCTACTTAAATTAGGCCCACCTCCATGAGCTTAAGAATTATTATGTGATGTGTACTATCACTATTTGCTTACAGGTAATGCGGCCGGCTACATATATATATATATATATATATATATATATATAATTCATCGGAACTAATTATTAAATAAAAATATTTTTTATTATTCTAAGTAATTTTTTTATTATATTTTAATAAGTTATTAATTTAAAATTAAAAATCTTTCATATTTGATTATAAAATAGTCATAAAAGTATTTTTTATTATTTATTTTAAAAGTTTTAACAATGCTAGGGGAGTTCTTACATTGGCGTGTGCATTAATGAGTTGGCTTCCTTTAGTCCCTTTCCTAGTTTAAGGAACAGGACCACTTCACAAATGCAAACTATACTCCAAGTATTCCTTTCTAGAAATGTCCCATTTTGTGCTGATTACATTTTTGCCACGTAAATTATAAAAAGAAAATCATTAACTGTTCAAGTAGGACCATAAATAAAAATAATTCAAACGATAATTGACTTGGTTAGCAGAACACCTAATTTAATGTTTCCCTTGAAAATGTTAATTTGTAGGAACAAAAGAAGGATGGATGGAATTTGGTCTGAAAATGCTCCAAAAATATATGCATATGGGAGAGTCTATACACAAAAACTGTTGAAGGAAAACCCATTTGCTGGAAGATAATATTAATAGAATTCCAATCAAGCTTCAAAAGTTTTTGATGTAACAGTCGGCAAATCTTGTGTGGCTGTTAGAAAACAAGTGATATGTTGCGTCCTATGCATGACAACAGGAAACTTTTCAGCTGTAGATTTTTCAGTCAGGGTGTGGCAACGAGCAATATATTTTTTTTTGGCTGGGATTAGTTGGCCCTCAAGGTTGAGTGATGCATAAGAAATAAGGATACCAGGTGTATTTTGATGCAACAAATGATGTGTCTCCAACATAAAGTCAATTTGGAGGATGCTGTGGTTGTATTAAGAGTTCTATATAGGGAAGGGCAACTGGAAATTGATGATACAGTGTTGGAGGAAATTTAAATCATGGATATTCAAGGCAAAATTTGTACTAGTAATACTTTATTTTTTTTTCTGATTGACAATTATAATTAAATTTACAATAATTAAGTTTGTATTGTTGACGGTATATTGATGGAATATGTTGTAATTTAGACTGTATAACAAGTACTTTTTTTTATTCTAGTTAATATATTCCTCTGACTGATAAAAAGCGAAAAGAGAATTGAGTCTTATTTCATTCAAACAACCATACGCAATGTTTCAAAATCTAAATAATGACAAATTACCAAATGAAATTTTAATAATTAACAAATAACTTCTTTGTGTTCTAAACATTAAGTTGGTAATTTATTATTTTTATCGGCCATCTTTGTTAAATGTCAAACATGCACGTCATATATAATTTTCCTTTTCCTAGTCAAGTTAAACATATCTTGATCACCGTTAATCCCCAGTCAAGGTATGTGTATCTATATTTTATTGTATTGTGGATATACTTAATTTACTATAGCTAACACATCAAAGTATACTAGATGATAATAAATAAACTTAACTTCAACATAATTATTGTTGCTTATGCTTTCATAAACCAAATTCTGATAAAAAAAAAAAACTAAAATTGAAACTTGATGGGGCCTTATAAATATGAATTCAAAAGCAACCCTTAAGTTTTAAACTATGTTAGAAAAAACTTTTTTATCATGCTTCTTTTCATCATTTTACAGTACTTGTAAGCATTATATATTTTACTGCTTTAATGTGTTGATATACTTGTTAAAGTGTCGTGATTCATTTTACACTGCTTGTTGTATAAAACTCTAATAAGTAACTATTTTACCGTGCTTTAGTAGGTGTTGTTACTACAATAATGCTTATTGAAACGAGTGTTGTAACAGGTTTTATATTATGACAGTTCTTCTACTATAATACTTGCTTCAACAAGGTGCAGTAAAAAGCACTTTTATATTTTTCATTATTTTTCCTATTAGACGATCAATATTCAACATAAATATTAAATAAATAATTAATTCCTTTAGAATCTTAGATGCTGTTCATTTTTCTCAAAGCATTGTAAACTAAATTTAAAGCGCTTAACTAAGCAAGTGCGTATAATTAAATATAAAAAATAAATTATATCTGCTTATAGATTAGTACAATTGGCTTCGGTGATTTTGTAGGTTGTTAATTTAGTTTGCCTTTATTTGATAGAATACGTTTCGTTGGAAAAAAGGTCTCTGGAAAGTGTGTGATGGGATGGCTCTAATTGTTGGAATAAAAAGAAATGAAAAGTAGATGGTCTTAAATACATCCTATCGGTACCGTAAAAAGCTCTCGTTAACAACCATGAAAAGTCCTAAAAAGGTTAAATGAGCGGCAAAAGTAGCTTCATCAAAGTAGAAAACACACGTTACTTTTTTAGTCAAATACTTTGGGAGTTTTAATGCAGTTGGGCTATCATTCTTCTGCTACCAAATTGCAACATGAATTTATGTGGGCTGCATATGCCACCCAATGTCAGAACAGAAGATGGAATGACAAAAAAAAAAATAAAATCAGAAAATGGGCATCAACATATGTACGTTAGTGCGTTTATTCATTCGTATTGGATGATGCATTCAGCTTATGCTCTTCCTTTTAAATTTTTTTACTCTTTAAAACAACGGTTTGTCTAAAAGCAACGTTCTATATAGTAAATAAAACATAAAATTTTATTAAATTTTATAGTATTATATATATAGAATGACTTTTTTTTTATGTTAAATCAATAGCTTCTACAAATTTAAAATCTTAATAATATAATTGTCACTTTCTCTGAGTTTATTAAACCAACTTTAACGTCACCAAATGCTATATGGGGCAATTTTATCTTTCACTTGAAACTTGCACCCTCAGCATAGGTGGGGAGGGATCGGGCACACCAAACTTGAATTCGTGTTATTATTTAAGCTGTGACTCATTGCTTGAATAGAATCAATTAATATATTTCATTTGTCCTCAAACTTTGTGTAGAACATGTATTCAAGTTAATTCGTTGTTTAACAATAAAGAGTGCATCATATATGTATAAGAATATTAACATTTATGTTTTGTATAACAAATAAATTACAGTCAATTATGTTTTTTATGTGTGTATATATACATATGTTTACTTGATATGTCGTTAATTATGTAAAATTAAATATTTTTAGAAACAATATTAATTTTATTCAGTTTTTTATAACACTATTTTAATTATTTTTCTCTTTATCACATTTTAAATTTTATCTTTTTTTTCTGACTACAAGTATGAAGTATGGTGTGAGAAAATGCGATTAAATCAATATTATTTTTCCAAAAAAATTCACGTAAAAATAAATGCATCATCCGTACACAACATAAAAATCTCACATGTCTAAACTTTACACGTGGCTCAGATAATTTGGACAATGACACGGTGTTCCTCTCATCGGATGCCACATCAACAACAAAACGTCATAGGTGGGAAGCAAGCTTGATGTGCTAGTACCGGAGAAATGCATAGACGCTATGATTTTATCGAGAAGAGACGCAACAAAACAATGCCACGTGACTGAAACGGTGCGCATTAAGCTATTGCATCGGAAGGGGTTTCCTATAAAACCCTGCACGTGCCGTAGCAGTTGAGTTGAAGTCCAAGAGAAAGAACAGGGAAGAAGATGGAGAAGAATAACCAGATCTGGAGCAGGAGCATCGCTTTGGGAGCGTTCGCGTTTGCCTTGCTGTTCCTATCGGTCTCAGCAGACGACGTCGTTGTGCTCTCTGAAGAGAACTTCGAGAAGGAGATTGGTCAGGACAGAGGAGCTCTCGTGGAGTTCTACGCCCCTTGGTAACTCACTAAACTCCTCGATCCATTCTTCTCTGTTTCTTTCAACTATTGCTTGTTCCATCATTACTTTGAATTTTTAATATTATCAGTGTAGGGTTTCTTACTTTGCTTCGGCTTCTTTATTAGATGATTCGGATGTTATTGTTATTATTTTGTTTCGTTTCGTTTCGATCGCATGTGTTACTTGCTTTGAGCGGTTCAACTTGTCGTTGTTTTACCATCAGTTGATTTGCAGTTAATGATGGTGCGATGCGATGCCGTTTTCGCGTTTGGTGCAATTTAGCTCCGCTGGAATCAATTTGAAGCATTGTTTGTTTATTAGGGTGGCGATTTAGTGTACTAGTTTAGTTTGTTCCTCTCAATCTCATTGTTAGCTTTCTAAAAATAAGTTAATTGAATTAGAACCAGTACTATCTTCATTTATTTTCAGATTCAGTACGGCTCGATTTCAATCTTTCTTTCCTTTAATAAAATAAATGGAGGATTGTATTCCTCTAATTAAAAACCGAGGGACTAAGGGTGAAATTAAGCTTACGATAATTAGACTGTCATCCTTTTAAGCATTGAAAGAGGAAAAGAAACACACAAGGTGTGACGATGGATATTTTTAGGATTCTTTTTTGCACATCAAATTAAATTGATTCTTATTCATAATTCTTATGTTTGGGTTATGCAAAGAATTGGAGTGTAGAATTACAATTCTAAGTGGAATTTTATTTTCATTTTAACACCTCTAATTATTTATGAGTATTAGAGTAAATAAATGATCCAAAGGTGGTGGCGATGTTGATGGCGGAGAGGTAAGGAGATGGTGGTGGTTGAAGTGGCGGTGATGGCTGTGAGGGCAACGAAAATAGGGAAAGTAATTGCACCTTCGAGGGTGAGGTAAGGAACTATGATTCAGAGGGCAGGGATTAAGATTTTGGAAAGGGTTAATTTTATTTGAATTATAATCCGTGGAATTGGGCATCTTGGATTGTGGTTTCAATTCGAAGGTCAATTCTAATTTGTAGTTCCAATTGCATGCCCTATTCAGAGTACGAACAGACAGTAATAAGCCCCTGTACTTTGGTGTACATAAATTGGCTGGTAGCTGATGACTAGTCAGTGACTTTATAGTTTACAGTAAAGATTATATATCTCAATGTGAATTTTCTTGGGTTAAATAAAGGCTATTTGATTTGTATTCTTTTGATTGAATATAAAAAAACATGTTGAATAGAATGGAAGGGGAAATATACAGGGAAGAGGCAAAGGTATCTTCCATAAACAGAAAGGGTTAAAAAGAAAATAGAGAAAACAACTAATTACTACTCCTCTAAACAAGTAAAGCATCATTGCTCCCAAACAACATATACAACAAAAATATTTCATTTGTAGGAACTGTACCCAAAACTCCAAAAATGTTAATCAATCATTCTATGTTTAAAAAACTTCTTGCGCATAACTCTTCATTGTACATACTACAAAGTATTTTCCTTGTGTAATTTACTGCAAGCATTACTTCATAATTGGGATTTTTTAGAAGTTTTTTCTGTGGTTTTGTCATTTGCTATCCAAAAATTTAAGATGCATGCTAATATGTCATTATGTGTACGATCCCTCCCTCTGTTGTCATAATAGGTGTGGACACTGCAAAAAGCTTGCTCCAGAATATGAAAAGCTTGGTAGCAGCTTCAAGAAAGCTAAATCCGTTTTAATTGGCAAGGTCAGCATCCTAGTGTTTCTCAGCATTGAAACCTTTTAACTGAATAATTTGTTTTGTATTATTTTTAAAATTTTAGGCATTTTATCTGTTTATGGATGTCTTTATATTATATTTTATTGGTAATCCACTCTTATTGTGGAGCATGTTGATGTTATGTACCTGTCCTCATAAAGTCATATCCACGAAGTCTAAGCTACAGCTTAAACATTTACTAAGTAATCCCTTGGATTTTCTAGCTCCACTGTTCAACTCTTAGTTGTCTTCTTACAAAATGAAATCTCCTCTCATGGTTTCACTTCTCACAACATATGCACCTCTGTAGACCTATATTTAGTCTACAGTAATCTTAAGCTAGAAGACATACTTTGTGAATGTCCTCACATTTCTTGTGCTTGTATGTTTCTATGGTTTCTTTTTTGCCTTTCTCATTGATAATTCAATAATTTCATTACCCATTAAATTGACAATGTTTACTTTTTAATGTGATGTAGGTTGACTGTGATGAGCAAAAGAGTTTGTGCAGCAAATATGGAGTCACTGGGTACCCAACGATTCAGTGGTTTCCTAAAGGATCTCTGGAACCGAAAAAGTGAGGATATTTTGGCTATTTTGAACATAATGTTGATATGATTTTATATCTCAATTCATAGTTATTTATCTTACATTTTCTCATCTATCATTCCTTTTGCATTTAATTTTTGATTCTGGAAATTTGTCATAGGTATGAAGGGCCACGCACTGCAGAATCACTTGCTGAGTTTGTCAATACAGAAGGAGGTACTGCTTGAGCCTTTGAAGCCATGTGTTTTAATATCTATGAAGGAAAAGGCATTGAGATATTAACCCATTACTTCTACGAAATGTAGTATCTTGATTCAGACATATCACACATTTTGCACCAGCATTTTTTGACAAATAAAAAAAAATTATTTTCTGTATGATAGAATATCAAGCTACTAAAATTTAGGTTTCATATCTCAGAACATTACTGTCTCCCTAGATTTTGTAGCTTTTATTATTTTGGATAGGCATAAGCACAATCTGGTTTTCCCTTTGTCATCTACTGTACGATTCTGGCATGTAATTATAATTGCATTTTCTAATCAGGGATTTGTTTGCAGGAACAAATGTGAAGATTGCTACAGTTCCTTCCAATGTAGTGGTGCTAACACCTGAAAATTTTGATGAGGTTGTCTTGGATGAAACCAAAGATGTCTTGGTTGAGTTTTATGCACCATGGTACTCCCCAAGAATTCTTGTGTTTTTTCTACTTTTATATTTAATTCACATTTTTTGTTTTGGACTAAATTTGGTAACTTAGTTTGTGTTACTCAGCGTGTTGTGAAAACTCTCATTCTCTATACTGCTAAATTTGTTAAACTTTTGTGATTCTGCCAGGTGTGGACATTGCAAAAATCTTGCTCCTGTAAGTGGATCTTTGAAGATTCCTATTTTTCACTTTTAAGGTTGGGGTCTTCAACTTCTGTAAAATCAATCACGTAAAAACCTGACTATGCTATTTATTCCTTCAGACTTACGAGAAAGTCGCCACTGCATTTAAATTGGAGGAAGGTGTAGTTATTGCAAATCTGGATGCTGATAAATATAGGGATCTTGCTGAGAAGTAAGTTTTATCTACCTGATCTGTTGCATGTTGCATTGAGTTCATTCATGTTTGTCTTTTCTATCAAGTCATAATGTGATGGGATATATGAATCTATACCTGTTCATGGTCTACATTCAGCATAGGTAAGATATGGACTATAATATAGAATAGCAGGAAAATATACACATAGGAACTGAAACAGGTGGACAATGTATTATTCCTGCTGATAAGATGACACGAAACTAATGTGGTTACTCTGATTAAGAAAATGAAAACATTCAACGAAAACTATGGAGGTGGAAGACTATAATATGATAAATAATTGATGTTTACTGGAATAATATTTATGCAGGTATGATGTGAGTGGATTTCCCACCTTGAAGTTCTTCCCAAGGGGTAACAAAGCTGGTGAAGAGTATGGAGGTGGAAGAGACTTGGATGACTTTGTGGCTTTTATCAATGAGAAATCTGGAACGAGTCGAGATGGAAAAGGACAGCTTACTCCCAAAGTCAGTGATTCACATCAAAGAGTAGAAAAGCTAGATTTTTTTTTATATAAAAAAGAAAACATTTTGGTGGTGGACCTAGTGGTTTTGGCAGGGGGATGAAAGGTGGAAATTGTTGCATTTGGTATCTTGCTCATACATTTGATATTTCTGTGTAGGCTGGTGTAGTAGAAAGTTTGGATGTCTTGGTAAAGGAGTTTGTTGCTGCCAGTGAAGAAGAGAAGAAGGCTGTCTTTACCCGAATGGAAGAGGAAATCGAGAAGCTTAAGGGTTCTGCCTCAAGGTAACCTGAACATCATTCTTCATGAATATATCTTTAGGTGCATTTGATTTTAATAATTAGCTTAATGTTTGCTTTATTGTATTGCATATAAGAAGTAATACGCAATCATGCAACTATTCTTTTTATCATTAGGTACGGGAAGATTTACTTGAAAGCTGCCAAGAATTCTATGGAAAAAGGTTCTGATTATGCTAAGAATGAAATCCAGCGCCTACAGCGCATACTTGACAAGGTAATATTCCCTTTCTGTCGAACCGAACCTTGAAGTTTTATTCGTAAAATAATTTTTATCACGGTTGAACTATCAAGTCTTACGGGAAACTTTGGTTGCTTGAAATATTATTCCAACAAATTATGATTATTTTATGATAAATTTAATTATTTATATATAAAGTGAGATTAAGAAGTGAATGTATAATCACCTTACTCCTTTGCCCGTTTCGATTGGTGCAGTCTGTTAGCCCTGCGAAGGCCGACGAGTTAACTCTTAAGAAAAATATCTTGTCAACATATGCTGCTGCTTGATTTATTGGTGCCATTGTTAAACATATCGTCTGGAAGCTAGCCATGATCCCCCGTAGATCCTGCTCATGACTGTTTCACTTTGATATTGGTAGATTTTCAACAGTGCTTAATTTGAGTCCGTATTAATTACCCTATCTTGCATGGCGATTTTGGGGTAAAGAAGATTACCATGTTTTTCCCCCATTGTAGTCTCTACTTGGGCGATTTTGGGAAAGACGATTACTTTTGCCATATGTTTCTTTCGTCGGCTGATGATGATAGCTATAAATTTGTCACGTGACTTTAGTTGAATTTATTACATGACACAATTATCTATCAATACTTGTTCTAATTTGGTTTATATAAAATGATCACAAATATCTTAAATAAAATAGATGAAAACCAATAAATGAATTCAAAGAAAAATTTTGAAGCCAGAGGACTGCATGGAATATTTACTAGAGTGGTCAGGCACAAGATTGGGGTATACATAAAGCTGGAAAAATTCTCATAACACAAAAAACGACACTTTCTTGTGGGCTAAAACTATCACAAGTGACCATCTCACAGTGTAAACCAACCATTCTCCAACACAGCAATTAGCCTTTACAATCAGCTGCTTTCCCGCTGGAGACCTGCCAGGCTTAAACCATCCTTAAGGAATACCCCTTGACGAACCCTCTTCAATATTCTCTCTCGTCAACCAGGGATTTCATAAATGAGCATGACCTTTCCTCGGGATCGATGTTGGGAGCAGGCTCTTGGCTGGAGCCAAATGGAAGGTCCAAAGATGCAGAACCAGGAGGCTGTGTTCTCATTTGCACAGATCTTAGAAGTGCTGCTCTTCTTAAATCAGCTGAGTGGCATATGTCACTCGGAGATGATGGAAAGCGGCCTTCAGAATCTGATCCTCGCTGACGGGGTTGGGAGCAAGTAACCGCGGAGACTGTAGAGCCATGAGAAGCATTTGAGCTTGAAGAAGGTGCTGACGATAATGCATTCTGTGGTCTTTGGTACCTGTATGGGGAAACTGGACTGCTGGGAAGACTGTCGGGCTGGGATGAGCAACTGTGCACGGGGGTCTCGCAAAACCTTGAGTCGTCTGAGTCTTCTGACATAGGTGAATATTGTAAAGACATATCATCCCTGAAAATAAATTCAACAAAAAAAGTATATTCGAAACATTTGCTAATTATCGGAGAACAGATACGAATTTATTTCAACAAAGATTATTTGAAGTTCACTGTTGGTGCTGGCAAATTACCACATTCTATAAAGAGAAAATGTTTACTTATAAATCTCCTAATTCAGAATAAAATACAGTGAACAAAAATAAACACAACAGCGACAGCACTAGAAAATAGTAAGATGGGGTTAATAACATCATGAAAATCGGTTCCTTCTTTTGTTTATTTGATGTCATAATTTAAATGCCGTCCGCGGTCTGTCATTAATAGAACCATAAACTCAGACATCTACCATATGAAAACACGTATAGGATGATCTTATACGTATGGGATCATAGCAAATTTTCAAACACAGGATACGAAAAAACAAATAGGTAGAGTATTTAACAACAAAAATGTTTTTTTTATCATACATGTGTGTTTTACGTGTATACATTTGAATTTTAAATTATATCAATACAGGAAAAATATGCATATGGTATATATAATATAACTGCAAGAGAAATCAAGCAATATGCCTACGGACCAAAATCACTTAACACACATCTGGAAGAATTCTAGTCAAGACTCTGCAGATTACGTTTTTTGCTTGTTCAATCTTTGTCTTCCCTCTCCTACAAAATAAAAACAATCTCCCAGCTCTATTTGTAGCTTTTTATTTTTGAATCAAAGATCCACTTGTTTGAGTCTGGCGATTTTTGAAAAAAAACAAACACAATCACGTGTGCATCTGAATCTAGACTGCATGCATCAGCTTTTGTCTATCCAAGACTGATAATAGCGGCTATGGCCAAAAAGTAACTGGTTGAGAATTCTAATTCATACTTCTACCCATTAGTGAGGGGGAGCATTTGTCAATGAAAATGATGGAATTCCCGTGGTTTTCGAGGTTATGCTTAAAGAGAATCAAGAGATTAATATTACCAAACTATATGCTGTGACAGTCTAAATCCCCAAAAAACAGGGTAGAAGAATTATTCAGGTGCTAAGGCATACATAACAGGTTTGCTTGAAAGAAAAACCGGAGAATGGATCTGTCAGTATGAAAATATCGATTATGGGCATTGACTACACACAAATAAAGGCTTTCTACCCACCCTAAGTTTGGAGTTTCTTTGCAACCAAAACCATAATGAGGAAACCTTCAGTAATGCTCTTTTATTCTAGAATACAACATCCTCAACACTTATGCACATCAAAACAAATAGATCCATCCCCTCCACCCCAGTAAAAGTATACAACAAAGCATAATGCCTACAGTTAAAATAATTTTTAGACTCTGCAGCTGCAATTAGAGCTACCAACAGAACTATTTGCCGTATCTTAGCTCAACACATACTGCTAGAATGTTACAAAATAAACCTCATGCACGGAAATAGCTGTTCATAAACATCCAAACTAGGAATAATACTTGCACAATAAAAGTGGCCATGATTTTACCTGAAAGAGAACATGTTTTCGGACCTAGCTGGAGATTCCATGAGATTATCAGGAAGTGAGTCTCCAACTGTCAATCCGTTGAGACTGGATGCCATTATCTGGGCAGAGGGAAACAAAGAATTAAGTTACTCTAGTTCAATTATACTTCATCTCATCTGATTGCAGCATAACATACATGAAAAACTTAATACCACACGGTCTCAATTTAAACAAGTATGTAAATGATCATAGCCAGCATATCATTCTAACAAAAAGCACCTTTTGAAATTTTGTTTCAGCTTCGACCTTAAAAAAATTGGGTTTCAGCTCAGTTATGTTATGCAAACAAGCAATGTGAAATTTATAAAAAGCCGCCCAAGCCAAGTCTCTCAAATTGAATAATACAATAATAAAACAACCAGTTATTCACAAATTAATAATAAGATTCACAATTATAAATTAGTTTATTGAAAAAAAAAAGATAATATAAACGCCAAAACATGGAAATCCCATGACAGGCCATTTCACAAGAATAACCACAAAAGGAGTAAAAATTATAGCTTTGCAAAGGAAAAAACAATTCAGAAGTTAAGTTACAGTTAAAAACATTAGAATAAACAAAACAATAATAAAACGACAAAAAAGGATGACAAATTAGATAACGATGTAAGTGACCTCGCTAAGGTAACGTTTGTGAGAGCGAAGATTATCGAGGTAAACTTCCTCTTCCGGATCTCTGGTGCGCTTTCCACTGGGCGAAGATGCTGAGGGTGAGCCTCCCAAATTGGAATCAGAACCCATAGTTTGGGGGTATTCAATGTCGCAACCCTAATTGAATGTGGAAAGCGAGAGGAGAAGGTTTAGGCTTGCGCTTCCGTCTTCCGCCATAGACGACACTGTGAAACATAGCAGTATCAGAGTTAGTTTGGCCTCAGAAAAACGATCGGAGGGAAATGTAGCGTGTTCTCGCCGGTGCACTTTATGATCGTAGACCCGCACCTTGTTTCTGACACGTGTTCCCAACCGGAAACTAATCCTTATGAAATACTATAAATTTAAAACGGGCGTCAACTAGTGTCATTTTCACCTTTTTTTCTAATAGGAGTAAGATTCTACGTAATAAAAATTAATAATTACAATGTCATTTTAATGAATTTATCATTTCAAAATATTACACTTAAGAGAGGGTTAAGTTATTTTTTAAAATAAAAATAATATATTTGTATATTCATTATTAACAATTACAAGTAGAGTTAGTAAAATGCTCAAATCCAACAAATTTTAAATCTGAATTAAATATAAGCTTTTTAATTCGATGTAATAAGTTCGATGCAAATTAAGTAAGTTTTTAAAAACTAAAAAAAATTGAGCTTTACTTGTTTTAATTACTGAACTTAATTTATATTTGAACTTTTTAAGTTTAACCCACTAAAATCAATCCAAACAGAAGATGTAGCCCATTTTGCTAGTTTTTATTATAAATTTATGAAAATTTTTGAATAATATTGTGTCAAAATAATAGATTTTTATAAATAAATAATTTATAAAATTAGTTTATAACTCCGACAAATTTTTAACTTATTTAATAAATTCATAGTGTGTCTAAATAACTACTTATTTAAGTACTTGTGAAATAGAAAATTTTTAAAATTATAATTTATGTAATAAATTTAACAATAAATTTTATTAGGATAAGTTAAAAGCCTTTTATTTGATAAGTTATGTTAAAAATATTATTGAAATAAGTTAATAATAATTTATAAAAATTATGAATTATTTTTATAGTTATTTATGAGTTATTTCTAACAATCTCTTATCGATATATTTTGTTTTTAAATTTTTATCATTAATTTTATAATATATTTGATCATTCTAAAAAATTAAAAAAATTCTTAAATAAATAATTATCCAAATACACCACTAATCTAATATTTGAATGAAGAAGAAGAAAAAAACTATGGGAAGACCCCACATTGAATATGATTCCCTTGAAAACAAACAGATAGAGGAAAAAGTTGATAATAAAATAACTTTTCTTGGGAGAAAAGTAGCATGTAAATATGAAATATAATGAATGGCCATCAATCATGATTCTCGTTAAAAATGCACGAACACGTTTTTTCCTCCAATAAGCACTTAGGGGATCTTAGGATACAAAGCGAATATATTGACCCCTCCCTAAAAAATCTCCGTCGGACAAAATAAAGTAAGCGAATCGTTCTAAAACATTTCTTTTGATTCATTGCCAATCTCATTGGAAATTAAAGCAAATTTGCTACCCATTTATAATAAGAACTAATTGTTTCGTTACTCAAAGGAAAATTGACTTAAAAGACTTCCTACCCTTTTCCCAGAAGAACTTGTTACATAAAGCTACCACGTGTCAATATCACTACAAGACCAGGCTGTTTCGGAATAAAATCAAACACTTGTTTCTCATAATAAATAAATTAAAGTCATAATTTTTTACTAGATAAGAATTAAGCCTCTTATGCTACAATTTTTAATAATATTTTATTATCTGAAAAACAAATTTAAATGTATTTGGTTTTTTATATACATTTTACAATCATGATTTTAAAAATTATTAAATCATAAATTTAATAATTTTAATTATAAAATCAATGCATATATTTTATCAGAATAATTTAAACAATAACAAAAAAAAATGTTCTTACTAAAAGAAAAAAGATTAGTTATGTGCAAAAAGTAGGGAGCGAGGTGGACAGTTGTAGGCGCAAAGAGGGTATAAGTATTGGCGTTGGAGGCACAGAAGAAGTGAGAGCTTAGGTTTTTTAAAATTGGCTTTGGAAAGGGACTGCTAGCATCAGCTACCTCACACACAGTACTCAACAAACTCCATAACCGTATAAACCTTCCCGCTCTCACATAAACCCAAACACTTAACACTCATTTCCCCAAATCACAATCACAGAACCAAATGAAATACGTTTTGATCAGCGGCGGAGTGGTGAGTGGCCTCGGCAAAGGCGTTACCGCCAGCAGCATCGGCGTTGTGCTCAAAGCTTGTGGCCTTCGCGTTACTTCCATCAAAATTGGTTATCTCTTTGCTTCAATTTCTTTTCCGTTATTCGTTTTTCTGTAACCGAATAGTAACTTGCAACTGCTTCATGCAGATCCGTACTTGAACATCGACGCTGGCACCATGTCTCCTTTCGAGCATGGAGAGGTTTTCGTTCTCGACGACGGTGGAGAGGTTTTCTTCTTTCCGTGTTTGTATCTCTGCATGCTTTGATTTTAACGTGTTATGGTCTCTGAGGTGGTGAATCGAATTTTTCGTGTGTTTTGGGTTTTGACTTTTGAAAAGGTGGATTTGGATTTGGGAAATTATGAGCGCTTCCTCGATGTTACGCTTACGAAGAACAACAATATTACCACTGGAAAAATATACCAGGTGCATGCTTGCTTTGCTTTGTGTATGGAAGTGTTTTTTTTTTTAACTTCCGTGGCTAAATTGTTGTGTTTGGTTTCGTTTCGTATGATCATCAGTCTGTACTTGAGAAGGAACGTAAAGGGGATTATCTTGGGAAAACTGTTCAGGTGATACACCACACGTATGCGATTTATCTCTTGCTTGTTACTGGATGTTTACTTTACTTGTGTGAAACTGTGGATAATAAAGACCGGTTTACTGAGTTATTGGTGTTTTAAACTAGGTGGTTCCACACATCACTGATGCCATTAAAGACTGGATTGAAACAGTTGCTGTGATTCCCGTAGATGGAAAGGAGGGCCCTGCAGATGTTTGCGTGATTGAGCTGGGGGGCACTGTGGGTAAGATTTTTATTTAGGAATGATACCTTGTTGAAGTTGCGTTGTCCACTTCAATCAATAATGTGAGAGCATATTTGTCTTTCTACAGGCGACATTGAATCTATGCCATTTATCGAGGCTCTACGGCAATTGTCCTTTCAAGTAGGTATGGCATTAGCATATTTTGTTATGAAGCTAACAGTAGTCAATATAGTTTTCCCCCTTTTGTATAATGCTGCTGTGTGGTTCAATGAAGTTGTTAATTGATAGTTTCTTTGGCTCTTAAATTTCTTGTCATTGTTTTTCTGTATGGCAATGAAATGTTATCTTGATACATAATAGTAATTTAATTATAATACAACTTTTACAATTTTATTCTCATGATTTCTTGTCAGGGCGTGATAACTTCTGTCTCATCCATGTTAGCCTGATACCAGTGTTGGGTGTAGTGGGAGAGCAAGTACTACTTAATTACTTGTGCATTACTGTTGCATACTTTTAGTTTAGATTGATTTATTTTATTTTTCTCATGTTGAGTGCAACATTATGCTTCCAGAAAACAAAGCCCACACAACATAGTGTCAGGGAACTGCGAGCATTGGGATTGACACCTCATCTTTTAGCAAGTCGCTCTGCTGAGGTATATCAGTCCACCATTTGGCACCTGGATGCACTTAAAAAATGTTAATTTGTTAGCAATGTTTGCTCCAGTGTTTCTAGGTAGTAGTAGTACACAAAATATCTAGCTTGCTCACTTAGTCTTAGAATGCACACTGTATTACCATTTTCTTATTTTATAGCCAAGAGAATTTTTTATGTGAACTTTGGTTACAAAATTCAGGTTCTTCTTTTATCAATGAATACAATTACGATCATTCTTTTCCATCTGGTTATCATTTAATATTTGCTGTATTTTTCATCTGAATTGACCTTTACATTTGGTTCTTTCATTCTGCAGTAAATGTATGTGTACATGTTATCAGAAAATGCTCTAGTGATGTATGATAACCTACCAAATCAATGATGATGTTTACAATGTTGTTGAATATTGTTGACCTTATTATCCTTTTATGTGTTTTGGTTTTATACATACTGGAAATTATTCATATTATTTTGTTTTTATCAATTCATTAATCTATTATTCAGGGGATGGGGAACTGTAATGACATTTTTATTTCAGATTGACCTTTTATTCAATCTTAATGAAGGTCTAATTAGCACACAGGTGCATGTGCACACACATTAACAAACTTTTTATTTTGGTTTTCAAAATTGTTTATACAGAGTTTAGATATTGATAAGAAGGTGGTGACTGTACTGCAGCAAAGTATGCTTTAGTGATGAGGGCAATACAGTGATGGGTACAGTGAAAATAAGTATATGTGATATTGGGCTTGATCATAAACATACTTGCATCCCTCACATTGCACATATAAATATAGCAACATGAAGCCCGATTCTCATGCTTTCTCAAGCCCCTTCTCTCTCACCTTCTATTCTTTCATGCCACAGGGTGTGTGTCTTTGTGGTTTCCAAGATCAAGTGCTGAAGCTGAGTGCCATACAAAAGCTACATATGATTATGAGCTAATGTGGCTTTCACATTTATTATGCGTTATGTGATTTGTCATTTATCATGTGACATTGGTTTTTATCACGCTTCACCAGTTGGCTATTTTAAAAAGCATTCTTGCCTCAGTAATTCTATATTTAGGAAAATGTGGTTATTACTTTAATTTCCTTATGTCCATCTTTACTTCTCACCAAAGTAACTTGAAATTTGGTGTTTTTCAAATGATTCCTTCTGTTTTGATTTTTGACAGTTGTGTCTTTGACGCTTGCTTGGTTATATTAGTTGCTGACATACTTTGTTATTGAATATGGCAGCCTCTTTTAGAAAGTACCAAGGAAAAACTCTCAAAATTTTGCCATGTTCCTGTAAGTTGTTGGTGAACTGAGCTTAGTTGTTTTCCAATGCAAGTTTTATTTTATTAGTGATTGATCTATATTTTGTGCATGGTTTTTCAAGGTTGATAACATTCTGAATATCCATGATGTACCAAACATTTGGCACATTCCCCTGCTACTAAGAGTGGGTCTCTAATAAATCCTTGGTTCCATTAAAGCTTGTGTTCTTTGGTTATGTGTTGTGTAACTTTTTTTCTTTATGATTGGTTGCTCTTTTCAGAACCAAAATGCTCACCATTCAATTCTGCAGCAGCTAAACTTACTTAGGTGAGTTCTTGATTTTTCCTTTATTTTTATCAATGGCAAAAGCTAAGCAGTATCACTTGTAAAATTTGCCATGAATACACTTTGATGTAGGATAAAGCCCAAGCATAAAATCTGTAACACTCCATATATATTGGCTGAGAAAAGGATGGCCAAGAGATATGAAACACATCCTCGAAAGGGATGTTTTCCAGTTAACAATAAAGGAAAAATAGAAGAAAATTAGAAGCTGTTATATCAATTAATGAATTGATTCTGTTACAGTCTTCAAACTCAGAGTGGGATGAACCATAGTTAAAAAAATCAATGCCCCCTTTTTTTAATAAAATAATCATTGCCCATAGAAGTCTAATTGTTGAAAGGTACCTTGAACAAAAAGAAACTAAGGGAATTTAAAATAATGCTGTATTGTACCATATCAGAGTACCTGAACAGTACTTATGCTACAATTATCTAGACAGTAACACTTGCTCTAGAATTTGTCTTATTCTTTTTTTAAATTATTGTTCAAGTCCCTTGGATGTGACATAACAATGTTGTGTTGAAAAGGATGCTGGAAAAAACATGTTGGTAGCATTCCTCAAAAGTGCAACAAATAATTGTAATTTACTGCATTTGTTCTCCATCTGTTTCCTTTGGCTTGATAATCACTTGGTATTGTGGTTTTCTGGTTGATGTTAAAATGGTCCACTCCTTATAAAAGATATTTTGAAAATATGAAGATCTTGAAATTCTTTAGCTTGATACCTATGTTTTTTTTTTGGAGAAATTTCAGCTCATATTGTTGACATCTTTTAATGTCTTGAACTAATGAATAATGATTAAATTTTGTGCAAATTATGAATGCAACTGATCAAACCCATGCTATCAGTATCCTGAAATATCTTCAATCTTCAAAATAATTGCTTCACTTTGAAAGCATCCATTCCATAGATCTTTTGGAATATCAGGAACTTTCTCTCTTGTTCTAACAAAACCAGTTCTGTCAATCAGGTAATGTCTTCAATGTCCAAATGAGGGTAACTGTCTTCATTATGATCTTCAACTAGTAAAGATGAATCAGCCTGAATATCTTCATTTTTTTTCCTTATTCAATAGTGTGTACTAGAATGTTATCTGGTTGCCCATCATGGATTGGAGGAGAATTCCAATCTACAATGGTTTTATCCTCTAGACCTCATTACCTATTGGTTATAGAAATGGGACTGCCTTTTGGAATCTTTACATGAGCTCTGACTTTATCACTATACAAGTTTCTACCTCTTGGGTAAGCAGCTCCATCATTCTTTGTATTTAGGCTACCTCTTGAGTTTGAGTAAGTCCATGAACACATGCACTTAGTGCTGCCATAACTGATATGGATTGGATCTAGCCCTGGCCCAACATTTGGACAAAATCCCTCAGTTAAAACCTGTAAAGCTCAAGATATTGAGAGAGAGCATGAGCAAAAAAGATCAGAAACATTGTGAAAAGTTCTTCACTTTTGTGGCCTTCAAAGTCAAACCTTCTCAAAGAAATGCTACAGTAGCATGGAGTGTTAACGGCCATTGTGCTTTGGTTGCGTGAGCAATTGCACTGCAATCTTACATATGATTAAGTAACACCTCCTGCTGTCCTCCATCATAACTTGAGTGGGACCAGACATATCTTGGCATTCTGAATATAATTGATCATACTTGGGCATGCTGGATTTGTTGTACTTATTTTTCATTTTATTTTATTTTTTGAAAAGTAGTCATAATTGGAAAGATGAAGGTACTTCATTTTTTTTTCAGTCAAGCTACGCCTCCTGATTTACAACAATGGACAGAGATGGCTGAGACCTATGATAATCTTACTGAATCTGTTAGTACTTTACTTCTAGTTTACAATGCTTTTTCTAAATTTATTATAATATATAGTGCATGAGAGTGAGATCACTTTGAAATTTACAGGTTAGGATTGCAATGGTGGGAAAGTATGTTGGTCTAACAGATTCATATTTATCTGTTGTGAAGGTGAGTTATATTATAAAGAAAAATTGAGTAAAAGATTGGTATATTACCGTGTAGCTTTCAACTTGGTTTTGAAAATGAGGAATCTGCAGACAACATGAAAATAGCATTTAATTTTTTTGTTGTATATATATCTGGTTCTTTACATAAATCTGATGCCATTTTCACTTGCAATAATCTGAATTTCATTCTTACTATAGCCTTAAAACTTCTATTTCCTATTAGTAGCATGCTTTATTGTTTTACATAATCTAAAGTGTAACACCGACCCACTTGGATTGTAGCATGGTGGTTTTTTATTTAACCAAGGAGTTTTTGGTTTTGTTAGCCATGTATTATGAGTCAATGAATGGGACTGACTGCTTCTGTTATATGATTATGTCATTGAAACGCACTGAATAATTTTGTTATTTATTTATCTGTTTATAATGCCTGATTTTTTACAGGCCCTTCTGCATGCTTGTGTTGCTCGCTCTTTGAAACCATCAATTGACTGGATTGCAGCTTCTGACCTTGAAGATGACAGTGCACAATCTGTAATAATTTATTTTAATTTGCATGCAAATTACAATGAAAGTTGGTTAGTTCACTATGAAGGTAAGTCAAGCTTATTGTATTTTGCGGTTTTACTCTTTCAGACACCAGAAGCACATGCTGTGGCCTGGACGACTTTGAAAGTAAGTGCACAGCACATGCAATTTATGGAAATTTAGTCTATTATATGTGACAAGCATGATGGGCAAATGCTGGGGCATTTGATTTTTACATTATGTGATCCTGCTAGACTTTCTTTTTCAGTTGGGGAAAAAGTAATGACATGCTTTATCTATGATGGAACTGTTGGACCATCTTTGAAATTGGATTCATGTAATAAAAGGAAAGATGTTTTGCTTTTGAATCTAACCACGGCCATATTTTGGAAATCAACACATGTAGAATGCAGCTTGTGTGTTGGTTCCTGGGGGATTTGGAGATCGTGGTGTGAGAGGTATGATGCTAGCTGCCAAATATGCCAGAGAGAACAATGTTCCTTACCTGGGGATTTGCTTGGGAATGCAAATTTCTGTAATTGAGTTTGCTCGATCAGTAAGTAACATTTCTGTCTATGGCATGTTTGGTTCTTATAACTAAATATATTTTTGTAATATAACATTCATTTCATAGGTTTTGGGTTTGGAAAGAGCAAACAGTGTAGAGTTTGATGCTCAAACACCAAATCCAGTTGTGGTTTTCATGCCGGAGGTATACATGTCTGACCCCTCCCTACTTTTCCCTATTTTTGTGTGTTTGTAATGTGTCCATGTCATAAACAGGGTTCACGAACGCATATGGGGAGTACCATGAGGCTTGGATCTCGAAGAACACTCTTACAAACACCTGATTGTATCACTTCCAAGCTGTATGTGATGTAGCTATCCCACTAGGTAGTATTTTAATGATAAATGAAATAATAAATAAAAAGCAGGTTACATATCACTTAAATGAAATAGCCCATCTTTTTCCCTCCATTATACTGCTTTTTTACAGTAGTATCAGCATATATCAAACCATAGGCTCCTAGTTTCGGGGCCTGCTGTTAGTTCTGAAGGAATGTGCCAACGAGGTCTGGTTGTTGATAAAGTATTCAAGTGCTTGATCATTAGAGGATAGTTTGAATTCAGTGGAAATTTGGACTGGTTCACAATTTTTTGTGATATCCTAATTTCAAAGGGCTTGGGATTCAAATCTATGGTGTTCTACCTTCAATGTTAAGGGGTTTCCAAGGGGAGGGGGTAGCTCATATTGCATACCCATTGGTCTATGCATACAGTCTCCCCCCACACTTCCCTTTCCCCACAAAAGGGGGGAAAAGGAAAAAGAATAAGAGAATCTACAGCAAATGAAGGACTATAACTTTTTTTGAATATCTTGCTGCAGGAATATATATTGTTTCCCTTTGTAGCCATTAAGAATATCTATCTCTGTGTTGTGGAAAATTTTAATACCCTAGTCTTCACTTTATTCTTACTTTGAGCCATAGCCTTTTCGATTTGTTGATCCTTCCTTCTGTATGTTGGATTTTGCTGTTCGGTTGGAATCAGACTCCAACTTGCAGCTGCTTATATGATCAGATGTTCTCAGCACTCATTTTTCTATTTTCCTAATTGCTAGGTATGGTAATTCAGAGTATGTGGATGAAAGGCATCGGCATAGATATGAGGTTTGGCTGTGAACCTTTTTGGTGACTGCAGGATTATTTTTTTTTGGGAGACAGGTGTGGTACATTTGTTATTTAGCATTGACATTATGCAGGTAAATCCAGATGTTATTGGAACTATAGAAGAAGCTGGGCTAAAATTTGTTGGAAAGGATGAAAGTGGAAAACGAATGGAGGTAAGTTTTGCGCTTGGGTATTGTTTTGGTGTGAATCAATATTAACTAGAACCAAGGTTGAGAATCTCTCAGTTTCAATTGAATGTGTTGCCTTTGTTATCCTGCTTTTGTGTTTTTATTTTATTGCTACACAGAATTCACTCCTTTTATCACTTGTATGTTTTCCTTCATCGAGACTGCAACTATTTTCTGGATTTTGAGAAATTCTCTCTTCTGCAGATCTTAGAGCTTCCAAGTCATCCATTCTACGTAGGTGTGCAATTCCATCCAGAATTCAAATCCCGGCCAGGGAGACCATCCGCTTTGTTTTTAGGTACTCCTGACTCACATGTTAGCCTTTCATATCTTGTAAACATATAATGAATGAACCAAGAGTCATTTACAACTGTATATTGTTCCTGTTTTGGTTATGTCTATACACTATTAAACATTTTATGATGCTGCACCTGTAGGTCTAATATTGGCAGCAACAGGGAAGTTGGAAACGTATATTAGTAGGCATCAGAATGGAAGTTGATTTATGATTCGTTACTAGAGGACTCCTATAATATTTTTCTAAGGTAAACTGGTTCTCCAAAGGGAAAATAATTAGGGAGAGGAAACGGAGTGAGAACTAAAGGAAGAGATAAGGGAAATCCTGAAGTATGGTGTTTTGTCCAATTGCCCCAAGCTTCTCTAGGTTGGTTGCTAAGTAATATGGTTTCCACCTCCACATTCGTTGTTTAATCGTCAGAACACCTTATATAATTTTTTTATATTAAATTAACTGAATGGTAAGAAGATGCTCAAAGGAGGTTGCAAATACTAGTATATCTGCGGCTATGACTTATGAAATGAGGCATGGCTTCTAGAATAGTAACTTTGTTAAGGGCTCAGAAGGTCATTTCTTTCCTTTGTCGATATAAACAAGTGTTGGTCACGCTCTGTTAAATAAATTTGGGGTATGTTCAAACCTTTCCCGGTAGGTGTAGCTTGCCGTGGACGTAATGCCATGCTTCTAATATAAACATTTCATTCTTTTTATCTTTTTCGACCTTTATTGCAGAACCAAAAAGTATTGATGATTATTCAATATGCAGAGGTCTGAAGCACAGCTCATTTTTTTCTACAATATAAGCAGTCACTTTCCATTTCAAAGCTGACCGTTAACCTAATCTTTACGGACTTCTGTATTACAGATTATGCTACCTAGTTGAGTTCACCATACCCCAAATATACCTGATGCTTTTCATTACTTAGGTTCTATACTCTTTTTCAACAGTTGTAAGTAGAACTAAAGAGGTGATATATGTGCGTCTGTTTTTTTGTCGGGGACTCGCGCTATCCACATGTTCTATTATTTTGAAGCTTTGTTAATGATAACTTTTGAAAAGGATGAAATCATTAAGGATAACATTGCAACTATGGGTTATGACAAGATGGTAAATTTGTATTAGTTTTAAAATTCTGTCAGAAATTTTGGCCGATACTAAAATCGATCATATGGTCCTTACACGTTCCATTTTTTTATACATTTATCTATGTGAAGCCTGCAGAAGAAGAAACATTTAAAAAAACCCGATGACTGAAAATTTGGGGTTTAGCATCTAGGGCAAGTTTTTTATTTTAAAAATTGGTGCCAACCAAAAAACTCCAGTTAATTTGTTGTCATTATTCTTATTATAACAATGCTATTATCTCTGTATAGTTTGGGTACTCGTGGATGAAGAAATTTTTGAACTCCCTATCATCGCTATTTTCTTATCTAATGAAAGTTTACATTATAAATTTAATCATAAGATTTATTAAAATAAAATTAAAAAAATTGATAATTTTTCCGACTTTTTTAATAATAATTTAAAAAGAACTTATTAAATATAACTCAATTTATAAGTTCAAATAAACTCCATAATAACTCTTTCAACTTAGTAAACATGTATTGACTGTAGTAACAGCACATTCTTTTTATTTCAACAATGTGTAGTAGGCCTGTAGTATTTATTGAAAATATATCTAGAAAAAAAATGTAAATACAAGAACTCAAGGATAGCTTCCGGTATTTACAGTCCCGCAGTATATATTGATCTCTCTCTCACGACATCTCATGAATTAAAGGGGTTCTACCAGTGACCATTGCATCAAAACTCCACAGAAAGAGAAGAAAAAATGAAGTTGATTGCAGAAAACAAACAAAATTAAAAAACTAAAAAAAATTAATGAAGCCGCGCTGCAAATATTGTAACCATGCTCAACACCTTCTGTCTCTGTTGTGTGTTTCATTGTATTGCAAAAGAGAAATCTGGCGCTGTAGTTTCATTTGCTGATGGAATTTAGCAATGAACTCCTCGGCTCGCTCATCTATCCCTTGTGCATCTGCTTCTTCTTCTTCACCACCATAAGCCGTTTCTTGCCATCCTTCATAACCATGATTAAATTCTTGGTCTATGAGGGCACTCTTTCTTCCGTTATCATACCCATATTCAACATTGTCGTCGTTATCATCGTTAAAATCATAGTCAAAATCAACATGTGGGTTTATACAGGGAATGTGAGGCAAGTGGAAGCGCATGGAGGATGGACGATACATCTTTACATGGAAAATGGGGGTCTTGTCGAATGAGAGCTCGCGCTCAAAGTAGTGAATGTGGGTGGGTTGCGTTGTGTGTCCAAGGCGCTTCAAGTACTTTGGTACCAGACGCAGCTCCATCGCCACCCTGCGCCTCAACACTCCTCCTTTACGTGCCCACAGCAATGAGACCCGAAGAAGGTTCCACGCCCTATGACCAACGCCACGGTTCTTCAAAGACATTATCTTCAATTTATGTTGCTGAAACACAAACGTGAGGAAAAGTGTATGTAGTAGCTTTAGCAAGTAATATGAAAACTCTTTTCGTAGATGCTTAATAATGCTGATGATGGAAGATAGTGGTTGTTCTTTCCATATATATATATATATATATATATATATATATATATATATATATGTGGCTATGTTGTGGGAATTTTGGACGCGTAGCGTGGTTGGAGAAAGCGACAGATGTTATTCAGTTTTCACTTTCAAAGTTTCAACATCCAATGTGAAGTGTGAACTGTGACCTGTGGGCGGTGCCAAGTGCCAACTCGTTAAGGACACGTCTGTACTGTACGCGGTTGGAATCAAGCTGGGTACACTGCGCATTTACCATTCTACCCTTTACCTTTATCACTTACATGGATTTACCAAACCCTACCCACCAATGTGTACTGATTTTTAAAAGCAATTGAAAGAGTTTGTCCATCATAATGATTAAGAGGTCATATCAATTATATATTAACATATTATAAAAAATTTAGATTGATAATGTAAGGCAATTAAATTTTATCTTTGCTTCATAACAAATGGAGCGTACGATTTAAATATTCTTACATTGGAAGTAAAGTTTGTATTAGTTTTAACGGATTTCACTTTGAGCAACCGCTGTTATGATTAGTCCCTCCTTTCACTTTTGCAGAAAAACTTTCGAAATCTGAAGTTTTTAGCTTTTTAAGGTGGAAAAATTGATTTGGTATGGCTGCTGGGTGGAAGCTTCGCAACTTTACATGACTGAAAAATGATAATTGATATCCACTGGCTTGAAAAGAAACATTTTTGGGAAGTCAGTAACCCATTAGCAAAGGTCACTTTGGTCATTTGACATGATATGCAAAATTAAAATTGAGAGGGGACCCACGGCCACATGAAATTTTAGTTGGAGCATACCTGAATGCCGCTTGTGATTGCTTACAAATTGAAGTCACAAGATTATAAATATTTATATTTTAGAATTTAGACTCAAAAGATTGGGCACTTTGTGCAAGCAAACGATTGCTTAATTAATGTTCTTTATTAACTATTTTCCCAATAGCTCCAACCACTATTTGTTCGTTGAATCTTTTAAAGGAACTTTCTGTCGCATTGCGCTCGCGTTCATCGTTTACCTAATGATATTCTATTCCCTCAACATCTTGTTTTACACCCCTTTCAAAGTCTTACAAATTATTTTGTATGAAAAATGTGACTTTTGAGTTGCTCGAGTTACCAACAGGAAAATCATCTCTAAATTTTAAAATTCGTCATGACAACAATTTCTTTTGGTTGGGTAACTAACAAAATTACAATGATTTCGCATTCCTTCAGAAGGAAGTGATAGCTAATTGGCAATCATGCATATAGAAGACGTTGACTTTGCCAAGTCAACGACAGAAAACTAGCTTAGGAGGGTGATTGAACTAGTAGTATTAGGTACATTTAGCCATAATTAACCAGACTATTATACCGCTCCTCACTATTAATATGATTTTTGTAGGTTCAGGCAATGACAACATTAATTAACGATACATAATCAAAATTATAATTTGTGGATAAAAAATATTTAGAATAATATAGGGATGACAAATACGTGGGGGGAGGGACGATACTTCCAATCTCGACGTCTTTTATGTTCCTCCTTTCTTATTGCCATTTAATAGTTCTCGTAGAGGTTCCTACATAACGAAAACAAAATATCATATCAAATAATGTTATTCCCACTAATTTTTTTAGAATGTTCTTTATAACTTATTTTTTTATGTCATTTGTTTTATCACATTGTTCATCTTATTTCATAATTATTCTTTTCTTTCTATTTATTTTCTTACCGCGGGTAGACATTATTTTAGAATCTTCAAGTGGGAATAAGTCAAACATTCATGTTAGTTAAACTATCCTCAGAGGGCAAAGCCATGTATCTATCTACTTTGGGTATCTTTGATTAAAATTTTGGAAACATATATTATTAGACTAATGATAATATATCACACAAACACTTTCCTTTTTTCTCTTGAAAATCAACTGTTACCATATCATTATTATTTAGAGGGTCATATGCAATTTGTTGTAGGCATGATAGTTACTGGTAAGTCTGTTTGATAAAGTTTATTTTAAAAAAAAAAAACAAGTTATAAAATCTGTTTTTATAAAATGCAAAACAAAAATTAGTTTAAGATATTTAAAAAAAAAAACAATTTTTTAAGAATGATTGAATGAGCTTAGTGGGAAAGCGGTACAAGCGCAAGTTTAAAAAAAAAAAAAACAGTTTTCTCAAATTGTTTAGCTAAACAATTTTTTTCTTAAAAAAAAACTGTTTACTACTAAAATTGTTTTACAAAACAAATTTTGAAAACCAAAAACTAAAATAGAACCAAACAATTTAGCCTTAAAACTTGCTTTACCATATTGTATTGGTAAAATTAAAAAATAGCAATTCTATTGAATTTAGAGGAAGGTTTTAAAATCCTTTTTATCTGCGAGACATGCATGCATAAGAGCCCCACAAAAAATGCAATGCAAGAAATATTATGTGTTGTCAATCATTGAGAGACCCTCTGCTCCATTTATAACTGTGTGAAACTCTAATATATATCATAGTCATAAGCACGCTCAACGTACAATGGTTTTGAAGCTAAAGTCATGGAACTTTCAAACTTTCCAGCTAGCCGTTGCTCTCATGAGATGGAAATAGTGAAATTGCAAATGATGTGGAGGGACTGAACACTCGAATGAAACAAAATGCGAAAGAAACACCGCACCAAGTAGTAGTAAGATAATCAAACACCAGCTGGCATGAAGCTTCATGTTTTTTTCAGTTCACATTTGGATATTATTTTATAACTTTTTTATTTGCATATTAAATTTACTTTGAGTAAAATTACTTATGAGAAGAACATAAATTTTCCTTTTTCATTGAAATAAATCAATTCTGAATATGAGACTAATCAAATATATTTATATTTATACTTCAAAAATTCATTGTTATTATTTCAATAAATTAACTCGATCAATTTCAAAAATATCATCATTTCTAGATATAATATACGGAAAATGATTTTTTCACATTAGTATATTTTTATGTTTGATTTGAATTTTTTATTTAACTTACATTTAACAGTTAGTTAATAATAAATTATAATCGGTTAAATATAAATTAAATAAAAAATTTAGATCAAATGTAAAATTTTTTAAACTTATACTAATACGAAAATCTACCTTGCATACATTATTAACTTTAATTTCTTTAAATTTAATTTTATAAAAATTTAAAACAAGCAGATTATAATTTGTTAGGTGAAATTACATACGAATGGATTTTATTTTAGGTGATGATGATGATTACTGACGATTTAAATTCGTATAAAATTTAAATGAAAAATATTATTGACATTATATTACCCAAGTTTTTTTCAAACTGTTTAATGCTAGTTGCGTACAATGTGTATGCATATTTCCAGCTGTGGTCAAATTGATGCTCAAGTCCCAACAATTATTTTGCAGGTGTCCAGCTGCGTTACTAGTGTAGACAATGGCCTTACTACGAACTTACCAGCAGCAATTTACATATCATGCTCTCTTTTTTCACAAAAATTTTTAGAAATAAAAAATGGTTCACAATTTTAAAGAGAGAAAGTTACGTACTGAGTTTAAAAGTATTTATAAAAACATATGCTTATTTTACTTTAAAAAGGTATCTCAAAATTCAATTTTATAATCTATCAAATACGTAATTTATCTTACTCCATTCAACTCACTGACGGAGTTAATCCATATCATACTTTGTTTGTTTATGCTGATTTTAAGGAAATGCGATCGAAACATTGAGCAAGAGACATGTAGATATGGGAAACTTGTTAGGAACAACTCTTGTCTATAAATATTAATGTTTATGATAAATAAGCAAAGAGAAAACTTTGTTTTTTAATTTATTTTTCAATTCAAATAACTTTAAAATTTATTTATTTTTCTTACTTATTATTACGTACTGCTTTAAATTAACTATGACCCTAAAATAAAATCTAGTAGTTTTATTATTTGAACATTAAATATTTAATATTATATGTATTTAATAACTTTACATGTAATAATAATAATAATAATTTAATAATAATAATAATAATAATAATAATAATAATATGTTTCTTTTATTAAAAATAACGATGGGATTGTGTTAAAAGTTATAGAAAAATATATTAGTAACATTTTCATAAAATATTTTTAATTTTATTCTTTAATTAATATTTTAATGACATTTATTAATTTCTTATATATACATTTCAAAAATAGTTTTTAACTTAAAAAAAGCGACAAAAATCACCCCACTTTATTGATAATAAAAATCTGAAATTCTTGTGCAGTGGACATTGAGTACTGCCAATGCTAAATGGACTCAAACTTAATAGTATTTCTAATTTTTTTGGACACAAAATATAATTTTATTTATTAAATAAGACAGTTTAGATTTGGTTATTCACAAAATTTTATAAGGATGAGAGCAAATGGGAGCATTATAATTCTCATAATTCATAGATTATTGTTAATTTCTTATTATATCAATTTCTTGGCAGCCTAGTTGTTGTTGGGTGTAGGAGAGCGAGGAACAATGTCTTTCTTCGGTCAACGAAAGTTTAATAAGAGAGCAAACAAAAATGAACGGTAGCAGTTATAGTATCCCCAAACAGAAACCCTTACTCCGAATCCTTTGCCTCAAAATGCTCCATTCTTTTGTGATTACCATTCACTCTTCTCACTCTCTCCTATCCTAATATTAGAATTCTCCCCAACAACACTGTCCCCACATTTCTTTCTTCAATTTATTGTACCTCACACGATTCAATTGCTACGCTGGCACCCTTCATTTCTACGCACAATTCACCTGAATTTCTTAGTACTATTTAAACATGTTCCTTTCCTAAGTTTCCCACAACACGCTCTCATTTCCCCTGCTTGTATAGCAAGCAGCGGGGTGGTGAGATATATAATATAATATAATATAATATATCAAACTCACGTTCATTATATTAATTAATTCCTCCTTCTCCGTTCCTAACCAATTCATAACACCTATTATATATTTTATGGAGCAAAAGGCTGCAAACTCTATGATCATTAGCATTAATCCAGAAGCAATTAGGCTTGATCATGAATCTAATAAAACTAAAACCACTCAGCAGCATGGTTCTAATTCCCTTAAGAAGAAGGGTAAAGGATCGAAGAACATTTTCAAGGTGGCGCTGTTCATGATGCGAGGGCGTTCTCGAAAATCAAAAGTGCTCCCAGCAGTGAACGAAGAGTCCAAGAGCGTGTGGAGGAAACTTGTAGGGTCCATGAGACCATTGCACCTACAAAGCAACGAATCTCTACAGCACAATGCTATTACTTCTCAACCAAAAGAGATGATAACCTCATCGCCGTCTGAAAACGGCGAGGACGGGTTTGAATCGTCATCGGAGTTTGGATGCTCGCCTTCTCCGTCTAGTAGCCGTTACGCTTCGGCTGTTGGGCTAAACGAAATGGTGTCGGAGGAGGAGAGTGATCAGAAGGAGAAGGAGGAATTAGAGGTTGTGAAGGACAATGATAATGATGGGGATGACATGATAGATGCAAAGGCTGAAGAATTCATTGCTCAGTTTTACCAACAAATGAGGTTGCAGAATTTGGATATCGTAGATAATCATTACAGAGAGATAAGTATGAGGTCATTAGGCTTACCATTATGACCTTCTAACACGTGCGCTTCCTTCGTCATGTGACGTCTTATTGCACCGAATGCATGCATGCATGCATGGATATTCTACGAGAATTTTCTTTTTTTCTCGTTTTTGTTTCCCATTTTCTAGAAATACGGAGCTTCAAATTAATGCTCCTCTCAAAACATATAAAAAAAAGTATAGATTTATTATTTAATTATATAAAATAGCTAAGAAGGACAACTGATGAAGGAAGTACGGATGAGAAGATGCTGAAAAGATGAAGAGATTTAAGGTGATTTCATAGACTTATTGGCATGTTCGGCAGAAAAATGAAGTTGTATGTGATAACTATTTGTTTCTTTTAGGTTATTTTTTCATGTGCAATAAATTCATTTTTTATGCCTTGTTAATTTCTTCCTTAATTTCGTTTGTTTTATAGTGTTTTGTGTGAATTCAACTTGAAGACCTTTAGTTGTTCGCTCAATATATTTATTTTAACGTCCCCAGATTTGAAAATAAATAATTAAAAAAGATTTTTTATTGAATAAAAAAATCGTAAATGTTGATTTTTTTTTTTAATAAAATGACTATTTCTAATATTTAAACTCAATCTTAAAAAACTTAATTTAATAAAATAATTATTTTAATAATGTTTCAAACTTTAATTTTTAGAATTATATTTAAATAATTCATTATAGTAAAGTTTTATTAAAATTATTTACTATAATTTTATATTTTTAATATAATAAATGTTTTTGATAAAAATATGACTTTAGTTGAATATTTAAACTTAGAATTAAAGACGAAAATTAACATAATTGTTATTTTAATCATCTATTGTTCGTGGAAGGCCGAGGTTGTGGGCGTGAATAGTCTACCCATTTCATCTTATGGTGTTTGTTAAATTGGGTTTCATCTTTTAGCTGCAACTTAAAATTTTCTGTGGTAAACTTGCCTAATTTTTTACTTGGTCAACCATATGTGCGAATCGTTTTAAATGGCTTGAATGTACTTTCACTAACTGAGATTTAAGACAATGATAATATTAATTTGTCTCGCTACAACTTCATGTGATTTATATTCAAATTTTTTTAAGACCATAAAGTGTTTTGAAACTTCACATTACAAATAATTTTATTTACACAGCTCAATTATATGTAGTAATAAAATTACTACTATACGCCAAAATATTTTCTATCCTATTCTAATCTAAATATAATCATGTTTAGCTTCAAATAGTAAAATACAACGAAATAAGAAATTAATTAGTGGGATTTCACGAGTTCAAATTTGAAACTGCTAGCACAAAAACTAATGGTTATGATTTCATGGATCCCTTGATACAAGCAAAAACCATAATCAAACGCAACATATAATGCTCATAAAAAAGCCATTAAATTAACATTTCTGGAAGAAAAGGAAAGAAAAAAAATGATATTGGATGTCACACAACAAAGTGGAAGAGTGAGATTAATTGATATATAAAATGGGTGCAGCTAGTAGCCATGGACGAGCCGAGAACATGTGTGTTTGACCCATCGGATTCCATTTCTGAGCGTAGTCTTAACCTTACCCTCAACGGCGTAAACCTTATACCTTGCAATCCTTTTCCTCCGCTTTGTTTCCGGGTCCCCGAAACTCCAAGGCTTAGCCACCGACGCTGCCCCACTGTGACTCGCCCGGGTCGACTCACCCGGAAGCGCCGCCGCATAGCTCTGACTACAACTGTAGCTTTTCCCGCTCACAATCTCGAGCCTCCTGTCACCGCCGTACGGGCGTTGACCCGACCCGTATCCGTACCCGTCCATTGTGAGGAGCTTTTCAAAGAAGTGGAGGTTTGAAGATAGGGTTTCGAGAAGGAATTGAAGTATGAAATTATGCGTGGGGGGTATATATATGCAGCGAAGCACGGAAACGTGTCTTTGGCGAGGAGTATTTATCAAAATTAGTTAATGGAATAATAATTTTATCTTAGAAAGATTTATATAATTTTATTTACAAAAGTTGATGTAATGTTTTAATTTTATTAGTTTATTTAAGATGGAGTTAAAAAATCCCGACGAGAAATGTGCAATGTTTTGATCTTGGTGAAATGGTCTCTGAGCTGGGGCTTTGTCTGATTAAACTAATACAGAACTTGTTAAATTATTATTGTTATTGAAACTTGAGAGAAATCAGAAGTTAAGAGATAATCAATTTTCTAATGCCTCACATTTGTTTAAGGATTGTTTCCTGCTTATGATGATGATAAAGTAGTAATTCACCAGAAAGAAAAAAAGGAAGCTTGCATATACTTTCTAATTGGAAGTAAATAAAATACACAGAATGTGTGTTTGGATTAGTTATTATCATTGTATTAATTGTAGGTAGGCCAAAGTTTTGTGTAGACAGCCAAGAGACACTGGAAAGTGGAAAGTATGATCATGAGATGTAATGATAAGTTCAAATGGAGGTTTTGGGAGAGAAAAGAAAGGGACAACTAAAAGCTACATTTTGTTTAATGTTCCATGGAGAATAAATATTAATTTCTTTAACTTTGTAATTATATATAAGATTTTATATTAGACTTCTTTACAGTCAGTTTATTTTTAAAGATTGTGTTTATTTCTAAATTTTTAATAAATTATAATCACAATTTACTTTAATTAAATAAATATGAATATTTATGCATGCATTTTAAATTACATCAGGTATTTTGATATCTACGTAACTTTTTATAGTATGAAACTTTATTGAATCTGCATAAATTTTTTTTTTTTGGTATAATGTAGATATTTTTATAATTACAATAAAAAGCTAATCACTTTTAAAAATAAGAATTATTTAATTAAATACAACTTATCCCAATAGAAGAAATATTTTAATCTTTTTCATATTGTTGATATTCAAAAGAAAAAGTGTAATTCACTAAGAATTTAACGTTAGATTGGTCTTTATTAGGACAAGTTTAATTTAATAAAAACTAAGCTATTAGTATATATATTATTTGTTTATATTAATACTAATATTATAGTATACAACAAATAATTTTGTTAGTAAAAGTATTAATATATATTATCTATATATTAAATGTTATATTATTATTACTATTTGTTTGTATAAACATTTAAAGTCTATATTAATGATTTATTTTTAATTAGACAAAAATTATACTAACAAAGATTATCATAATATTTGACATTTCTTATTTGACAGTAAATGACAGTTTTTTTTTTTTTTGGTAGTAGTGAGAATAACACAATATCATCATATTAAAGAGAACAACAGCACTTTATTTTATATAATTTAATAATTAGGAGAACCTACAATAAATTGCAATAAGTTGTTATTTAATAAAAAAAATGTATTTCATTGAAAAAAGAAATTCATAAATATCAGCAATTCCTTATCCCGTTTCTTACGGCTTCATATATTGTTATCAAAGACACGTTTTATAAGGAACATGTCTTAGTATGTTTAGTAAAATCATGTTAAATCACGTTTCAACTTGAAAGCTATGACTAAACGCTGAATTGAATTCACCTAAAACACCATTAATTAGCTAGCAAAATCAACAGGAATAAGATGGGCCGTGCTACAGATTTCTGGGCTACATTGCACTGTTGAAGCCCAAAATAAAATCGTTTGTCTTTGCACATGCATATCGATTCAGATAGCAAATAGCCCAGTCTAAGGGTAAAGGTTAAAAAGCCCAACTTGCAACCTGACACACAAATGGTGAAGCAGTGCCAATAGCAAGTTCAATTGGATTTCAACTCAGAGACCCAACTTTGATTTAGTTCCAAACCCATAAAGGCTTTCAAGATAACTAACGCACTGTGATGAAGTAATGTAATCAAAATTGTTTAATGAATTGTTAAAATGAACAAGACACGTATACTAAATCTGCCATATGTGAAACAAAGGACCCTTGTTTCTCTGCCTCCAACTTTAGAGATATAATACTAGGTTCATTTCAGTTTCAGTAGACAGGAGAAAATGAAAATTACGTACTAATTTCATTACAACAGAATTTGAATAAATCATGACTCGAGTTCAACAAATCGAACGAAACATTGTTACTGATAATTTGGAATAGCCATGTATAAGTAAAACTCTGGCAATCGTCTAAAGTTGGAAATGACCATTGACCAGGCTAAGCTCTCTATTATTTAGCCCTACGTTTCATGATGATCAATTATTCAGCTTCAATTTCATAGCATCGATGATCAATTATTAAACGCTGTATACTGCAAGTTGGATGGATAACATGGAACATATGACAGTCAATTTACTAACTATACTTTGTCTCCTTTCAGTTCTTTAAGGTACATGTACCACTTTTAAACGAGTTAAACGAAAATGATTGCATTAAAAAAGATGAGAAGGTAAATTAAGAAACTTAAGAAGAAAACATTAAATGTACAAGCATTAGCAGAAAGATAGATGTTATTTTAACCACAATATGTCACCTAAGCCAAAATGCTACAATAACGAAATAATATAACAAAACTCCTTACATGACAGAGATACAAATCAGGCTTTAAATTTAATAGATTATAATAGATAACACATAAATTCCATGCACTAAAAGTAGAAAGGTTCATAGGAACATATTTGGAGGTAGTTAATTATCTCTGTTATCAGCAGCCACTGAGACCTTGCTGAGCCTGCTTGGTGATGATGTCTTGGCATCATTACTTTTGGCTTTTCTGCTTCCACTGCGTTGAAAACCAATAGAACCGTAAACTGCTCTGTATGCCAATGCTTTTCCAAAGTGATAGTTTTCAAGATGTTTAGAACTTGATGATGATTGAACTGAATCATCTGAAGTCTCAGCATTGCCTTTCTCAGAAGCCATTTTTACTTTTCTTAATCCTGAATAATTGGAGAAGAGGAAACGGGCTTTTACAGGGTAGTGGATGCATGCCATTATCTTATATAGTTTCTAAAAGAAGAAACCAGAAACAAAATTATTGGGGCAAATTAAGTGTTTCTTTGATGAGTGTTTACTTTTGGAAACGACAAGGCCAGAGTTAAAGTGCCAAAAGAGCCAAAGAAAGAAACAGAACTAATACTTATAGGGAGCTCTTTACTACTTGTAACACTCTTTTACCATCCTGTCTTCTAGTAGAAGTAACCAAATATAGTATAACATATTAGGTCCTTACCAAATATGAACATGTTATTTATATCCTGATTTTTTATTTTATTTTTTTGGTCAACATTATACCCTGAAATTGTATAGCACACAAAGCAGTAGACAAGATTGGATTGCTTTGTTTGTTTCTTTTTATTTGAGCCTGTCTTTTTTTTTTTAATGTTTTTACTATATTGGACTAAGTGTTGTAAAATCAGATTCAAGTATTCAGCATAGCATGAGTTAGAAGTTTGTGCACTTTAGTCTTAAAAGATGAACAAAGCTTAAGTATGATAGATACTTTTAGATTCACTTTTTAATCAAAATCAAAGTTTTATTTTGATAATAAATATTAATCTTTAATTATTTTTCATGTGCAAATTATTGAGATAAATTTTAATTTTAATTTTAAAAACAATACTAAAAATACTTAAAATACTACATTTATAGTTTTGTCCCTTAAATATTATTTTGCCGTAGTGATAATTTGCTAAACAAAACAGAATCTTTCATGACACTATTTTAAGAATTATTATGCCATAAATTTGTTTAAAAATTTCCAAGAATACAAAGTAATTCATCAAATTTGAACCCAACTAGTCTAACTCTTATAAGTCCAAATTAAAACATTAATTTTTTTTTATTATTATTTAATATCTCATTGCCTGCTTATTCCATTTGAAATATTAACGGGATGAAATCTCCGAGAAGGGAGGAATTAAGTTTGCGGTAATCAATATGTTTATTTTTTCTGCTTTTTGGGAAGGAAAGAATTTTAAGAATGTGTGCCACTTTTTCTTTTCTTTTTTTATTCCTTTTCATTTTGGATAAGAGACGATTGACAAGGGGTTATTTTATTTTAAAGTTTTTTATTTTTGTAAATGATTTAAAATCACTATCCTATTTTTACTTTATTTATTATTTTAAAAAATTGCACTATAAATAGTAAAACCATTTTTTTAATTTTACAATTACCTATGTAAGTATTTAAAATAGGAAATAAAGTAAAGAAAATTAGTTACATTTTTATAATTATTTTTAATGCAAAAAATAAAACAAAAATTTATTTTATTAATATAAATCAAACAAATGTTAATGTTTCAAGGGCATTCGAAAGTTAAAACTCATTTCCTTAAAGTTTTGAATGTAATTCACACATGTTCTTACGTGTTCTTCTCTCATCTAATTATGTTTTATACTTTAATCTGGCAAGACGCAAGCATACATTCAATTACTATTTTAGTGTACATGAAAAAAAAAAAATCTCTTTCAACAAAGTTTTCTTATTACACAATTAAAAATTAAACTCTAATCAACACCATAAATATCTCTCAACCAGTCAACCAGCAACCAAAAACTATTTCCTTTCAAAACGTAAAAATTACCGAAATAAACTATTTTTTTTCAACAAAATATTATAAAATATGTTAACCTTTATAAGTATACATTCACATATCAATTTATGTGCTCAATGTAATTTATTATTTTATAAGCGATATTTCTAACGTGTTTAAAGACATATAATAAGAATTTTCATGTTAAATCATTATTATGTTATTAGATACATGTTTAAAAAAATTATTCTAAAGATAATCTCAAATAATAATGATTTTAATAATAGAAAAACCATATTGATCGAAGGATCCCAAACCTTTTAACCCTTCCACCTTTTTCACACCTTGATTTTCGATTGTTGTGCAACTCATTCTGTATTACATAGCATTACTTAATCACAAAGCCAAAATGTTAAGATTCTATCGGTGAAAATTTTCGTGAAATAAATTTGGATAACATATACACTTGATGTGCTTTTTAGTAAAAAATAAAATAAAATACTACACTTTAATACTTTTTATCTACCAATCAATCAAACGGCTTTTAAGAGATCCATAACTTCTTTTCATATGATATAAATAACTTTTTATACAAGATTTTGAATGATTATAAACAAAATTTGCTAATTCGTTAAACTGATTGATTGAGATTGCCACCACTAATCTTTAGTCGTTTCGAGAAAGACTTCCTACAGAGACTTTATTGTATTGTCTCTGTCTTAAAACACATTTTTCAGTGAAAGCGAATGATGAGATTCAAAGATAAAGAAAGAATGCTTGGTGCAGAAACAATGTTATCTCAACTCCTGTCACAATTCTGTACAGCTTGAATGCAACTTTGGGTTCATCAATGAAAAAAATCTAAGCAGAATAAATGTTGATTTTTATTTTCATGAATTTGTCACCTCGCACTTGCAGGGGGGAACCCCTTGCACCTTTATGTAACTCCCCACTAATGGCATATAGTTCTGCAGTAATTTATTTTCATGCAGGATCCTGTTCGCCTTAAGATTGACAAGACACAAATAGTGGAAATGCCTTTCAGAAGTTCCGTAGGTAAAGGTGAGAAAGATAACTTTGGCAGGCTATAGGAAAAAGCATTGCTGGATTCTAATGGAAGATATCTACAAGGAATGTTTTACATATGTACATGTCATTGTCTTTTACATGCTTGCATCATCCATTACAATTTTATATATATCCCTTTCTTGTGAAGGAAACCAGCAAAAAGACCCCAGAATAAAATCTCAATTATTACAAAGGCCATTGTACCCCACTTCTCGGACTGAAACATGGTCTGTATGAAAGCTTCACTGGCGTCAACCTGCATATTAAATTACCTATTGACATCAACTCCCCCCAAAAAAATGAATTCAAGTACCAAAGACAGTGGCGCGGGCAACTCAATACTTGTAACCTTTTAATTTTCACTATTCTCGCCCGTATGAAATCAAATCATGGCTACGTTTGTTCGTAAATGTGAAGACGAATGTATATGAGGCACACTCTACTTTCAGCCTTACCACAATTTTTGTAGTATGAAGCAATAGGGAAGCAATTTTTTATTCCAAATTTTCCACGTACTTAAAAGTATAATCTACTTTGTGGAGAGTAGAATCTACTTATCTTCCATTAAGAAGGTGGCAAACAGTTGATTTAGGTTTAGTTTGGATAAGTTTCTAAATAAATCTTTATAGGTGAAGAAAATCAATATGTTCAAAATAATAAAATTTCTCTCATAAGTTAAAAGTAACATATATTCCTTAAGTTTTAAAGAAGTTAACTGAAAGAGTTTTTAAAAAAATAGAGAAACAAAAATTGATTAACTTATGAGAGGAGATTAATTCATTTTACTACTTAATTTTGTACTCATATAAATACTTATTGATAAGTTTATACAAACTGAGTCTTAACTCTTTACTTGGCAAAACCCCTAGTAGCAGCCTGCCAGGGCCATAGCAATTTAATTCTTAGTTCCAAAGAATAGTTTATAAAAATCAAGGAATGGGAATGATAACTCCTATTCGGTAATAGATTAATCTAATAATCTATAATGCTAAAGGAGATATACAGAACCATTGCAAAAGAAAACATTACCAAGTTATTTTCAGGAGAATGCCAATAGAAACCCTGGATAACTGCTGGAAAAATGTCGCAAGCAGCCAAGGCATATACAACAAGAGCATTCATTCCCATCCATTGTAGTAAGACTGTAGGCTTTCTGAGATGTTCTATGTCAACCTGCAAGAAAATATGTTTGAGGAAATTGCAGGTTTTTAATCAATTTTCAGGAGTTACGGTCACTAACTTGATCAATTAAAAATAGAGCCAGGCAATACATGCAGGCCAACCTATATATATGACCACAGTGATCTCTTTTCATAGAAAACCAGCACAGTAATTTACAAACATGGAAGCACTTTTAACTAGCATATACACCTTAAAGAAGAAATGAGACAAATACCAAAGAAAATAAATCATCATTGTCTAAAAACTAAAAAGTCTATTATAGAATATATGAAAATATCTTATTTTAGTTATCCTCCAAGATTAGTTTTCTTATTTCATCATTATCTCTTGGGACTGGTTACCATATTTCTTTATCTTATCATGATTTGTTTCCTTAATCAATTAGGAACATAATAAGTATAAATAAGAGTTACTGTTCTAGATTTCAAAATAACATCAATATATTGTAATAAATCACAATTAATATCAATTAGTGTCTCATTCTCTTTTTCTCTCAATACCTAAAATCCCATAATTTCCACATCGTATTAGAGTGGTATCATCCTCTGTAACATGTCACTATTATGTTGTCAAGCTCCACATAATGCAAAGCTCCACTTTATTTCTAGAATTGTTTTTCTTCTTTTAAATTAATTGTCTCTCCTGCGAATCAACCCTCTAGCATCTTCCATTTTTTGTGCTCCTTTACTCTGTTTTTTTAATCGAGTAACTCTGGAACTGCCAAGAAGTTGCAGCTCTAAATTCAATCAGCACATAGCTACCATTATCCAATTAACTAGTATTACAATTATGCTCAAGCTCAGGTATTGAGAAGAAAAAAAGTCACCATTGTTTTTCTTTTTTTGTGTTGAGTGGGTTAACAAAGGGGCACCAACGATTGGTGTTTGGCTTCCTATAGGGGCACATTAACTCCCCCTTTCTTTCCCAACATGTTGACTATGTGAGTGCACCAGAGAAGTCTAATTTGGGCTGACAGGGTGATCCCAAAGTATGGCTTCAAATCATATACATTTATCCTTTTGGACCAGGTGATTAACCACCCAAGTTACCACATTTTGCTGATCATGGGAATGCTTATCTTCCTATTATCTATTTCTTTCCTTAGGATATAAATTATGCTTATGAAACAAGGATGAACTTACAATGTAATAGATAGCAATCAATGCCAAGCCTGATGCCCCTGCAGTAATGCACGTGTAGCTTAATGTGTACAGTGCCTTCGATAAAGGAATTCCTGAAAAACATACAGTTATTAGTTAAAGAATGAAATGTATAAATCTTAAAAAATTTAAAATTAGATAGTACCTAAAATCTCTAGAATGTATCCTATTAGCAATAGAGAGAAGGAAAACACAGACCAAAGAAGTACTCTCTGCTTGTGGCCCTGAATGGAGAAGACAGAAGTTGAATCATTAAAAAAAGACACACATGCTTGAGACAAATTTCACACCTTCCACCTCAATATATAAGATAGGTACAAGTATTGGATTCTTATACATCATAAAAGAATCATAATTCAGACCTGCAAAAGTACAATTATGTGCCCATATTGCAAGCCCAAGAAACAAGTAATAGCTGCCATCAGTGAACTGGAAGAATTAAAAAAAAAATGAATTAGCAAACAATGTATTAAAAAAATTATAATGCTGTCAATGTCATTCTAATCTCAAACATGAATATATCCACATGAGAGAACAGTGAAAAAAAATAACGTAACATAAACCAAGTACTCTGTGCCACCCAAAAAAAAAATATCCATACATTAGAGAACAGTGAAAAAAAATAACATGACATAAACCAAGCACTCTGTACAACCACCCAAAAAAAAAAAAAAGAGAAAATATCTACATTATTGGAAATTCAAATTATAAGATGTAATCACAGTTCTCAATGCCACTACAATAATTATAAAAGAAAAGATAAAACAATAGAACAGGGAATGATTTTTTACCTCAAAATACCCTCTGGGTCAAATGGTGCTAGGCACCATCCAGGTGAATCTAGAGGCAGCGGCCCATAATCAGGAGAATTCACACTACACTCCTGAAAATAAAATGACAGTCAAGAATAAGATCATTTAATAGATAAATCAATGAAGTTTGAGGTGGCAGTAGATCCGTGAAGGTAACTAGCCTTTGTTCTTCTGTACACAGGACGCTGGTACATATGATCTTCACCAAGAATTAATCTATCCATAAATCCCACAGCATTGCAAGGAGGCTCAAGACTGCCTCTCACTTCACAATGAACCTTGCAAACAAACATTGTATGTTGAGTTTATTCTCCAAGAAAAATAAAATACAAAAACAACAACCAATGCCTTTTTCCCACTAGGTAGAGAGAAACATTAAAATAAAAATAGAAACATAAAATAATAATAAACAGGAAAAATTAACCCATCATAATAAATGAAGCATGAAATGGAATACCAATCATTATAATGTGTATCACAGGATACATCTATGCCCTGTTACATTTGTCTATGCATATTACTCCATTATTTTCTCAGTTCAGTAAATACAAGTCACCAACCCAATATAGCATGATGCTTTGGTCCTGTTCTATGAAGGTCATCATGTTATGAAATGCAAACCAAAAGCTTAACTTTTGAAAACAGAAAAGTGTTGGATTAGTTGAAGATATTTTATAAGTGAAGCTCACAGGCCATCCAACATTTCAGAACTACTTAATAGTGTAAGCAAACTGTGAATGTATGGTAAATATTTCAACAGTTCTAATGGAGTTTTTAGAATCTAGGATGCATCATGGTAATTAGGTTTTTTATTTTGTAGGAAGTTTTGTCTGGCATCCAGTTTAACTCTATGTAAGCACAGTGTAATCTTGTGAGAATTAACAAGGATTAAGATAATGTCCAATCCATATCCCTATTATTTTCTTTACAACAAAATAGGGGAAGGGGATTCATGAATTATATATTTGACACAGCTTCCGCAAAAGAAGGATTGACTATCAGCAATAGGAAACCAAATTACATGTTGACTTCATCTACTGGAGGTAATGAGTCATAAGTGAAGTCATGTGCACCGAAAATCACAAATCAAAATTTCAGCCAAAAAATTCATGATACATCTTTCAGCTTCAGTGATATGGAGTGACAAAACCATGCCAACTTACATTTTGAATAATTGATGGATGACTGGTCCAAAGCAAGTTAGGATGTTTGAACTTCCAATCTGGAACATAGAGACCATAAAGCAAGCAAAGGTATACTGAGCAAAGCAAGATAGAAAACATCCTGCATAAAGAAAAAAGCAGTTAGCACCAAAGAATATCACGAGGCAAGAATAAGTGGTACCCAAAGAATTTTAATTTTGACATTTAGATGTGGGGAGCTAGTATCTTAGATTTAATGAATTAAACTGACTTTTTTCAGTTTATCTTTTGCAAACAAAGTAGCTTGAAAAGTTTAAAAAGATAAATTTAGACTTCTGTCTATTGTAAAGGTTATGCAGTTGGCCTAACAGCATGAAGGAAAATTTCTTTTGAATCACAACTAGTCACATTACATCAATTTTTCATAACAAAGTTCAGCTGCAAGTTGTAACAGTATTTTATATTAAATTATAAGGTCCAAGTGATGGCAAGATGGGAATTTTGACTCATTTTCATAGAGATTATAATCCAATCAACAAAAGTTGAAACCTATTCAGAATACATTAAAAGAATACATATATCTTCAGGAAGTTTACATCTGAAAATCCATCATATGAACTGTACATCAAAAAGCCCATGACACGAGTGTCATTTCACAGGAGAATATCAAAACAAATTTAAGGGCATTATAGAACTCAAAATAAAATGCATCATTTCATTATTCAGGTCCAAGTAGTTTGGAAAGAATATACACCAATATGTAATGAGAATTGATACAAAATATCTCATCCAAAATACAAACTATGATATAAAAAAATGACAAAGAAACATGGCAATTTTATGTATATTTCATGGAGACAGTCAACATAGAAATTGAAATTTTTAATTGCCATGATCAGTCCCTTGAAAAAATTGAACACCAGACAAGTAAACTAACCATTGAATGGAGTATTTCCTCACAAAAGCTGCTGGTGAGTCAACCAAAATATTATTGTTCACAAGCCAAATCTCTGATATTGAGGCCAAGAAATATCCAATAGATATCCTCTGGATACCATACAAGGAAATTGTGAATCAAACTGTAAACACATTTATAAAACCAAAGCAATGAGTAATTGATTATTTTTTCAACAGCCACCTTTTTTTCTCAGTTGTGATATCAATGCCCTATCCATATTCCACAATGACACTACCACTACCAATGACTAAATCATATTTTAATAAAAAATTTCAATGACTAAATAACTTCTCTACTTGCTGCCAATCTATAACCATCCCTAAGTTAAAATATTAGTCAGAAAATTTTGTATTTACTTCCCCAACACCAAGCATTGACATTAACAGTCAAGAAGTGGCATTATAAAGATATTAAGTGTAAGTCACTTGATAGCCATAGATCAAAGTAAATGATAAAATAACATGTATAATGATAATATCTATTGAATTAGAAATAACCAAAAGAATAAAGTCTAATAAGTTAAACAGCAAGGATAACAACTAACAACTTTACTAGATGCAGTTACCTGGAGCACACCAAGCCAGCGTATCTTGCTCAAATCAACTCCATATGTTAAATTTCCGCGCCCATGGAAATATCCACCTATGAATAAGTTTCGGAAAGAAACATTAAAGCATGACTATCAATTGCATAACTTCAAAAAAATTTAAATATAGTAATGCCACGCTCTCAGCCCACTAACAAAGAACAAGTGAATTATCCATACTGCAGTTACATGGATAAAAACCCGGATTTAATTGCAATGAATGCAAAAGAATACAGGAGAATTTTGCCTCACAAGTTTTGGGGGTAGGTAATGAAATTAATGAATTGCAGGAGAACACACCTTGTAGTAACAGCCCCAGAAGGAAAAGCTTGATTGTCCTCATTATGACTTTTTTGGTTGCATTTGGTTTGCTAGAGACTTTCTGAAAGGTTATCCAAGAATTAGAACAGTGTTCAAAATTACAGTTTTTTCTTTATTCGTAATTCTAAACATACTGCCACTCTGCAATGTCCAAAGTCCAAAACAACACTCCATAAGCGATCGACACAATTGCAGCATAGAACAACATCCTAAAGGGGATGGGGCAGTTAAAAGAAAAGGCATGAATGAGGTTTGGAAGCTTTCATACCTTGAATACGAGACCGATTGAAACGCCAACCACAAAGAGAAAAAACGGCATTACAAAATCGGCAAGTGTCACCCCAAACCATGGAGAATGATTCAAGGATGGGAAAGCTCTTCCAACATTATCAACAAATATCATCAACTGTATCAAAATTAAGAGATTTTAATGCAAGGAGGAGCAACTAGATTCAGCTATTGCAGAGTAGCTTAACTAACACAGCAAAATCACAAACTGGATAAAAGTAACCAATTGACAGTTAAATTAAAAAGTATGTCCAAACATGGTCAAATGGCTAATTTGCTTCCCCTTGATTCGTCGATGGTATGCAATTAATGCTAAGTCATGGAATATTGTTATTTATTTACAACAAAAATGAAGAATTATCAATTAGTAACGGTTTTGAAATAATAAGCACGAAACGATTGAACAGATTCAGGAAACAGTTGAAAAGTGAGGACGAACCGCAACAGTTAGACCGCGGAAGACATCGAGAGAAGCAAGGCGTTGATTAGGAACAGAAGGAGAGGGTAAGGATTTATCTGTATGATTAGATGGTAAAGGAAAGATGGTGTCATCGTTTTGATGAGCGATGGGGATTGAGGAATCAAAATCATGGCCGAGAAGTGGTCTTCCCTGTTCTTCTGCAACCTGAATTGACATTTCCTTGTACACTGTCAACTCCGTTCTAGTCTCCGACGAGGATATTTTAGTATTTTCGTTACTTGCCGGCTGCTCCTGCTTTTGGGCTAAGCCCATTTTTAAGTTGAGTTATTAAGTACGGAAGGATATGTCCAGTACACTTGGCCCGTTTTGACAAAACAAAAAGTGTTTTTTATTTAATAAAAATTTGATTAAAAAAAAAGTCTCCCCCCCCCCCCCTAAAAAAATAAAATAAAATTTATTCCATTTTCTCATCAATTAGAGAATTTTTTATAATCTCCTACAATTGTTTTGCGGTTAATCCATCTTAATTCTTCCGTTGGGTGACCCTTTATTTGTAAACATTCACTAATGTGGTCATTGAACCAAATATTCGTCTCTTAATTTATGTTAGAAAACTGAACTTCAGGGTGCTCTATTGCTTCTCGGAAACTTGATTTATCTACAAAGAGGTGCCGATGAAATTTCACACGACGAAAAAATAGACATGCTTTTATCTCCCACGTTGATTCTTTAAATTGGACAGAAGAATTGCAATTGCATGATTTTGCTAGGATCCAGTCCAAGTGCATGACTTCCAAGGCTGGGTAAAAAGGAAAAAGGTTGAAAGGGGTGGACAAAGGGAATGCGTGGTTATTTATCTCTTGTTGACCAATGAATCAAATATAAACTAGCTTAATTCACAATCTTTGATCGAAGGAATCCGTAATACAAGCTTTATTTATTCTAACAAAATTGTGGTATCCTCAATCTTAGTTGTTCCAGTCATCCATTTTCAGCTAATCTAATGTAGCACAAGATGCCCTGCAGCATCCAAAAGCCTACCTAGTCTTTCTGCAACAGCAGTCAAGGTTGCATCACTCTTGCAGAACGCAAACCTGATGTATCTCTTCTGGTAACAATTTACGTCAGAAACTTCATTCGATGTTAAGTTTGTATGAAAAAATCCTTGTCCTGGAACAGCCACCACCCCTGCTTCTAGTATTAGTTTCTTAATAAATTCTACCTGTGAAAAAAATTATTTATTGTTAGAAAGCAATGGTAGAATAAGGGACATAAGTATTGCATAAAAATCTCAACTTAAATGGAATACTACCATTAAAATTATTTGAAGAGTGCACATACATCTGAAAGGGGGTAATTGTCGGGAAGCTCAGCAAATAAGAAGAACGAACCCTGAGGTATAAACCGTATCTTAAAACCTACTCCTGCAAGCAATTTGATGATAAAGTCCCTTTTTGATTGATAATCCTGCATAGATGGAAAAAACATCAGGAAAAAGACAAGAAACATAGCATTGTTATGACTTCTTTTGTTCTGAGGGAGGAGAGTGAACAATAACATTGAAGTTCTATTTTTACTAGTTGTACAGAAAAACCACTAGTATGATGTCTGCAAATATATTTTTGATCCCTTACTCTTCTCAGCGATTCAAAGTATTCAGGGGGGCTCCTCAAAGCAGTCAGGGCAGCTTCCTGAAAAGGTGCTGGAGCAGAGTCTGTAACTATTACGTGAATATTCCTGATAGCAGATGCAAGAAAAGCTGGTGCGATTGCCCATCCAACCCTCCAACCTGATTATAAAAGACCAACTGAGAGTTAAAGCCCTTCTTTAAAAAAAATAATGAGAAAGATAAAAACAAAACTTCCAGTGTAGCTTGGCTCGTGCAGCTTTGACCTGTTACCTGTGACACTAAATGATTTAGACAAAGAAGATGTCATAATAGTCCGCTCTTGCATTCCAGGAAATGAGGCAAGGGATATATGTTTTAAGTTGTCATATGTTATATGCTCATATACCTGCATAAAGAATCCAAAAGAAGGCAAAACATTATACTATTTAAATACTTCCCTAAAACCACATATATGGCCTCTGGCTTCTAGAGCATATTTCATTTAATTAACCAAATAGCAGCGGCAGAAGAAAATTCATACAAAACATGAGTATTTATTTTCATGGATCCACAGAGATCAAGTTTGGATCCTGAAACTGAAGTTCTAACGGTACGAAGTTAAGGAGTGTCGTACTTCATCTGTTATAGCCAAGCAATTATGGCTGCAGCATGCTCCAGCAATAATCTCAAGTTCCTCTTTTGTGAAAACTTTGCCAGTTGGATTGTGAGGACTGTTTAAACTTTATGTCAGCATTTTGTATTTCATATCATGAGACTAAGCATCTTTTTTCAAACATCTTGATGCATAAAAAAATAGCCGTAGTAAGTGATTGCGAGCATCCAAAACAACGAGACAAAACGATCTCCATTGAAAGAGAATTTTTGAACCGCGGAAAAAATGAAAGATAAACAAAACACATTAAATTCTTCAAGGATTGCAAGTTTCCCTCACCAAATTTGGGCATATCATACGCATAAGCGTAACCCTTGGGAATACCTGACAGCAGAATACACAGAATGGATAATCTGAAACATTTGTAATACACATAATTTCAAACGATTATGAGCTTAAACCATAAATTGATAATACCAGCAATTCTTATTCACATTATTATTTATAAAAATTATTCATTCATCGCTATGCTATTGGTTGAAGGGTTGTCAAGTGAACAATCTGTGATATTCAAAGATGAAGTCTATCTAAAGTGGAGGGAATTATGAATTTGTGTAACTTCTGACCTGTTAAGTATTACGGCTTTAGTTCTCTCACTAAATGATCTCAGTAATTTGCTTGGATCCAGGGTCCATTGAGGCGGGTCAAGCGGCACATGAATCTGTCCAATTAAGTTTAAAAAAGGAAAAAGCAAGGGAACATTACATATATGATAAAATGAAATATCAATAACACTATAAGAGACAATAAACATGCAGGACTGAGATGCATTAAATTGCCAATTGTTGATCATTTTTTACTCAAAAATAGTTCAAAAACCAGAGAGCTAAAGGAATGAAAGCTTACTTCTAATCATTTTCCATAATGACAACATATGATACAAAATTAAACAAGGCTTAAGACGCTTACAGGGACTCCCCTAGCCATGGTAACACATCCTTCATATGTTTCATACGAAGGGTCAAACAATATGACTTCATCACCCGGGTCAATTGCTGTTAGAACGCACAATGTCAATCACACGTTCAGAGAGTACCATCATATATAATCATCTAAGCGTGAACCAACAAGAATAACCGAACATTACTTGCAAATATTGCAGCTGCAAATGCCTCAGTTTGACCACAGCAAATAGCTATGTCAGTGAGAGGATCGATGTCTAAGCCATGCATGTCCTTCACCATCTTGGTCAAGTGATCACACATACCTTGCACGTGCCTCCAATTACAAAATGTAGTTTGCATAAATCGCTGAAAAAACCTAAAGAAGGAGTTGAATTATGGAAGTAGCTGTGTGAAGTGAACACACCTGTACTGGTTGAAATCGGAATTGATTGCGGAAACGGCAGCGTTTTTTATGTGGAGAGGGGCAGGGAAATCGGGGAAGCCCTCGGCGAGGTTGATGGCGTTGGATCTCTGAGCAAGCTGGGAGAGTTCTTGAATGGGTGACGAGGTAAGCTTCTTTGCTGCACCTGACAACTTTTCTTCCATTGTTTTCTCTGTTTTTCTTTCTTCCTTCCTTCTTTCATGCCTTATCCTTGACTCCACGTCGCTGTCTGCAAAAGTAGATAATACACTGTTAAGTGTTGCCATAATCTTTTAAGCAAAATGTTAATGTTAATCAGAATATGCAATAAAAAAAATTATATTTTTATTAATAAGAATATAATAAATATCATATATTTAATAAAAATATTATTTTTATATAGTGAAATTAATAAAATTGATTTTTAAAATATATTTTTTATTATTGACTCTCATTACATATTTTATTTTTCCTTCGACTTTTTCTATCTCGCGCTAGTGTATCATACTTGTTTTTCTAACATGCTAACGGACACACCTACCTTGTTAATTAGCAAGGGTCGCTACTTAAATTTTGGTATCCCATCAAATTTTGTGATTCTCTAGATTTGCACGTGATCAAGACTGTACTATATCGATGCATGCAGCCAATAAAATCTATCTATACGCTTATCTTATGAAGCATAGATAAGCCTCATACATCTACCTTCAGTTTTGTCCATCTCTTGCTATAGAATCAGCTACCAGAAAATGAACACGAAACTATAAGAAACGATATATACAACAAATATCAAATAACATTAAAACAACTTATTCTAAATATTTTAACTGCTGTAATTTTTTTAAAAAATAATATCGTAGAAGATAAAACACCGACAAATGGTGCTGTCACCAATTCACTGCCACATCGTTCTCCCTCAAACCAAAAGAAAATCTTCATTTTCTTGTTCATTTTGCTTCGCGTAGCTTATCCTTTGCTTCGATCGTGGAACAAACGATATCCAACTCAAGAACATGGCTAATTTGTCTCAGCTAATCACCTTGTCCATTATTTTGCTCGTATCAACACTACCCTTCACTATCTCAACCATCACCGAAGCTACTTCAACAGGGACAAAAGACAAAGTTGCGTGCAGAATGTGTGTGGAGTGCGAGAATCCATGCCTACCCCTGCCACCCCCACCACCGCTCATAATAAAGTGTCCGCCGCCACCATCGCCTCCACCAGCGCCCGTAATAAAGTGCCCACCACCACCATCACCACCGCCACCGTCTCCACCGCCACCGCCTGAGGTTGTTAATCGTCCTCCGCCACCAAAACCACCTCCATGTAACCCTTGCGAGACGTTTCCACCACCAAAACCACCGTGTGAAGATTATACTTGTTTGCCATCACTAGAGCCACCTATGCCACCAGGTACACCTGGAGTACCCGGTATTGAAATCTTACCACCAGAAACACCTGATTTTCCACCAGGATCCGGAGCACCTGGCTCTCCAGGATTCTACTTTCTACCAAAAACACCGTTTCTTCCATATGGTGGTCGAAATAACAACTCTGGAAAGATTATGTCACTGCTCCACATTTCCAACCCCACTTCTTACTCCCTCTACTATCACTCATTGCAGTTCTTCACTTTTGTCACCCTTCTTTGCCTTCCCTATTACTTTTTCGTTTGATAGGTCCATTATTTCGCTAGTTCTTATAACGAAGAGAGATAGAGAGATAGTATGTGTTCATCGTAGCTAGGAAGAATAAGATTTCAGTGAAGGAGAAGAGGGAAGAAATTATAATGTTTCTGTTCAGCTCTTTGTGGTATTGTCTACTGCTAATTGTTGTTTAGCTTTGTGTCCTTGATTTTTGAATAAATTATCGATCAAATAATTGGTGAAATTTGTTCACACATTAACATGTATTTTAATTCCATATTGATGATGGCCTCTTTTGTTTTTTATATCTCGCATAAGTAGAGCTTCATTTGCTTAAGTACGTTACTTAATGATAAGCACGCATGCAACGGAGCGATGGTAATAGGATCGATTTGGCTAGGATATTATAATATTTTTTATATTTATATTTTAATAAATTACCCTCATACTTGTTAGTTGGATAATAATTTTGATTTTCAATTTTATACTTGTGGAATATCTAAACTTTTATACTTATCAGTTTAGATAACTAGAATACATGGAAAAAAGTTAAAATATATTTTTTACATTTTTTTGTGAATTATATAAATCATTAATTAAAAACACATAAAACATAGTGCAAAATTATAATTATCATTAAAAAAAAACGTACATATAATATCAACTTCTAATATTAATCCTATTAAAATAATATAATATGTAGTATCATTTATCTAAAGTTAAAAGCAAAATTTTAAATATATTTTGACAAAGTTATTTTTATTGAATTACAAGTTTTGTATTAGTACTTTTTAAGGTTAAAAAAATTATGCTTAACATTAATGAGTATTGTATAGTTAAATTAATACAAATAATTCTTTTTTATCTTATATTTAGAATTAGAGTCACCAAATTTTTATAATAATTTATATTTTATATTCAAGTATTTTTATAATCTTCAAATAATCCTTTATAGTCAAATAATTTATTTAATTAAATACTTATTTTCTAAACCATTTTTAAATATAATTTGTATCATAAACTTAATTATGAGTTTTATTAGAATAAATTAAATATTTTTTATAAATTATATTAAAAATTATTAAAATAAATCAAAATTAGCTTATATTATTTAAAAGCTATTTATCTCCCCACTGTTTAAAGGATTGATTAAAGAAAAAATAAAAGTCAACAATACATTTTCTTTTAACAAACTTCCAACTATTGACTAATATTTATTAAAAATTATAAAAATTGTGTGAATCTCACCTTTTTTTTTCTCTTAAATTAATGTTTCTCTTAATTTATAATCAATTTTAATCAGCTACATTAAAAAGAGTATATAGTCATGAACAAAATTAAAGAATGGGGAAATTTGTAGATTCCTGCTATGAATGCACACTAGAACAAAGGAATACGCGGGATTTGTTTGTTATTTCGAAGAATTGTTTTGTTGGATATGGAGCGATAAAATGGGGGAAAATGAATGGAGATTGGAGTATGAAAAGGACCCGAGAATACGTGTTTTATGGTAAAAATGGCGTTATGCATGCATATATTCAGGTCCACTGAGAGCCTCAGTTTTGTTGAAGAGGACAAGTTTCTATTGCCCACTTGTCATCTCCTTCTGTTGCGACTTGCGATAAGACCTCATTTTATAAAGATACGCGTGATTTCTTTTACGCAGTGAACATATATTTTTCTTTACTTTTATTTTGGTTTATTAATGTAGTTGATACAATAAATTTACGAGTCTAAATCAGCATAGTGACGAGAGATTTCATTTATTAAATTGATTCAGCCAAGACAATTAGAAAAGGTTTTTTTCATATTAAAAAACGAAATTAAGCATCAACTATATAAAGAGCTAGCAAAAGAATTCCATATTTGTGCTCCCTTTTAGAGAAAAGACCAGAACGATGAATGAGAGAAAACTTTGACATTACATTCCAATATAAAAGGCCCCTTGTAGAGGGAAACAGGAACTAGCAAAAGTAAAAGGTGGGGTGACCAGTGATCACCGATTAGTGATCCCTTAACTCCACTGTTAACAAAAAGTAACCATTAGCAACAGAAGCACTTTACTACAATCGCACAACGGCCACGATTTGATGAAAAGTTGCAACTCCTAGAAAAAGAGTTCTTTTTCAAACGGTCCACTTCTATGCTATTTATATTTTTTAATAATAGGCATGGCCCAACGACACCACCAATGGTGAGCCGCCAAAATTAATTGAAAATTGAAATTCAAACTAAGTTAAATTAATCCAAATTCCAAAACTAAATCTTATTCTGTGGCACCGGCACCAAACAGTTTCGCTTCCAAATCCCAACCAGGGGTCAAAAAGGTAACAACATAGCATACACTTGTCAGTTATCTTTATCTCTTTTCATCGTGAATTAAGATATACTTTGTTCTCTCCTCAATTGTGATATCACTCAAAAATGGCAAAAGCAAATGCTAAGAACAAATCCCCCTCCACCGCGCTCCACCCTCCTTACTTCGAGGTCTCTTTCTCTCTCAGACTCACACACACACACCCCATCTCATCAATTTCAAATTTTGATTATGGGTTTTGGTTTTTCAGATGATCGCAGATGCAATAGCAACGTTGAAAGACCGCACGGGTTCGAGCCAACCAGCAATAGCCAAGTTCATCGAGGAGAAGCACAATAAAGTGCTTCCTCCCAACTTCAGGAAACTGCTCTCGCTTCAGTTGAAGAAATTCGTCAAATCAGAAAAGCTCTACAAGGTCAAAAACTCCTACAAGCTTTCTTCTTCACTGGAACACCAAACTCAGAAGACCAAAACCACGCCTAAGCAAAAGGGTGGCGAGAAGATTGCGGAGAAGACCAAGAGGCTGAGTCAGGTGAAGACACCGGAAGCTCTCAAGAAGAAAACCACCAACAACAGCAACAAAAAGAAAAAGGAAGTAACTAAGAAGAAAACATCCTCAGGAGGAAAAGTAAAGCGTTTGAGTCAAGTGAAGACTCCTGAAGCTTTGAAGAAGAAGAAGCCCAATTTGACCCCTACGAAACGCAAGAGTACTCCTAAACCCAATAACTCTTCCAGGCCCATTAGGAAAGCTAGGAAATGAAACCACTTGTGTGTTTGTTAATGGCATATAGCCTAATCTAAATACCTATTTATATGCATATAGAACTCGTGTAATGGGTTAGATTTGTTTCTTAGTTCTGTTTCCCTTCAGTGGATTATTGTTATAATCAACTTATGACTGTGTCCAATGCCAATGTGCTACTTTTCTATGCTTATTGTAGTTTATGATCGATGTTTGCGTTTGTTTTAGTCCAAAAATTGTCCTTAAATTAATCTGAATTGTCTGTTTTGGTACAAGTAGATCAGGGATAGGCGAACATGAAACATGTCATAACATTACTAATTATTTGCAAGGTGCACTTTCTCTCCTGGCTTACTAGTTTCTTTCTTCAGTCAGTTATATGAAATTTATTGTCCATATGTTTTCATTTTCTACCCACCAACAATAAATCTTAAACCTTAATACATGCAATTCATTTTTATATCTCTTCAGTAAATTGCGGACAAGTTGATCGTCTCTATAATTTTATAATTAGTGTAAGTGGTGTTTTAGACTTCTGTAAAGGAACAAGATTCCAAATGTTGTTGCTAGTTCAGGTGGAATTAAGTCTAAAACGTAGGACTTTGCCAAAAATAAAGTTAAATCCAAATTACCCTCTTTTTTGGGTCGAAGCAAATCGTAACTTTTTTCTTTTTGGGTCAAAAAGCATATCACACCTTGACCAAGTCAGTTTAGTCTACCTTTTTTTCATAAGCCCAGTTCAGTCCCGTTTAAAATTCATTTGAAGGAGTACATAGTTAAATTTGCTGTTCCATACAATACAACTTGAGTGATGAGGTACACTTTCTAATCTCTCGTCACTCACTACCATGAAATATTCAAAGTGAAGCATGTTGTCTGACATGTCAATGCATATCTGATTTTGGCAGTAGAGATACATTGCGGTTACTAGGTTTCAAAATAAAAAGATGCCTTTTAAGGATTTTTTTGTAAATTATAGTTTTATTAATAATTTTTTTAAAAATTAAAATATTAAATATAGATAAACATGGATGAAAACTATTAGACAAGATAAAGACACTAATGCCCCTTCAAATTATGAGAGAAGAATTGGGCCATCAAACGACTCCTTCCTTAACAACTCACGAGCTAGCCCAACATTTCATATGGGTTCGGCTCGAGAACGCCAACATTGAGTTGGGCCACAATCAATCCACATTGCGTAAATACACTATCACCCGACAACAACGCAACATTTAAAAAAACAATATTATTTTTTACCTTGACCAAAAAAAACCAAATTTTTCCTAGAGTAAGACAAAAACACTATTTTCCTAGAGAACCCAATAATAAAAATTTCTTATATTTTAAAAATAAAAACTGACCAAAAAGAATAAAAAGCTTACCCAGTGTCTAATTCAGCCAACTTTTACAATCATGATTTTAGATCATTTTAATTTGATAAAACCAAATTTGACATAATCTTTAAATTTTAGATCGATTATTATTAAATCAATAAAATAAACAAATTAAATTTCATTGATGTGAACCTTATTAAACTCAATAATTTTTTAAATAAATATAATGATATGTTAAATAATAATGTAAAAATAATTAAAAAAATTGAAATTTATCATACTATATATACTTTTCAGTATAAAAAATAAAAATTAAAAAAATAAGTCAGTAACTGGATATAATTTAAGTAAAAATTATAAATAACATATTTTAAGTTAGTTACATTTTTAGAGTAATAAAATAAACACATTACATATTACGTAGAAAACTTTTGTATTCAAAATAGAGGTCAACAGTACATTCAACATTTTTAACTTATATTTAGTAATGCTATGTTAATATCTATTTTCAGATAAAAATGAAGCAAGACATGATTCTCGCGTCATTATTAACTAATGACAGCAGTCATTTTTTACAAATTTTTAATATTAAAACTACTTTTTCAATAAATTAAAGTAATATTTAGAATAATTAAAATTTTATTGTATCTGAAAAAATCATATATATATATAATATGTGATGTGTGAGTATGATTTATGGTTCACTTGAGACTCACTCCAATTTAGTTGTTGACGCTAATCTATTCGTAGACGTACTTATCTAATTTATACCTAACGTGAACAGAGAGGTAATAATTGATCGAATTGATGTTAAGCTACCTGAAAAGAACAAAATCCCTTGCGCTTCAACACAGTCGATCAAACATATGCAAACAACAACAACAATCTCATCTATCTTACTCACCTTTCTGTAATACCAACTACCACTCATATATTATCGTCATTTTTACATATCATTAAATGGGTTCCATTATTTTAAATCAAAATTTTAAATAATTTTAAATCAATTCAAAAATTTTAATGTAACTAGCTATGCATATAATAAATAAGTTTGTATTTTATTAATTTATGCTTCAAATGTAAATAATTTTTATATAGAAACAAGTTAAAAATCATGTAAAAAAAAAAAAGTATCCTTCATGATAAATTAAAATCTATAACTACTTAGTTTATGTCGTAACCAATATTGTAGGCGACAATAGTCTCTTAATTATTATTCTTTTGATTTTCGGAAGTCAACAAAACTTTAATGCTACCCCACGTAGCGCTGATGGTCCATTCCATAATTACACTGGTTTTTTTGTTTCCTTTTCCTCCTAAGCAAAAGAAAAGCATGGTTTCCTATATACACTGTTCTTGTTTGTTTAAAATTTAAAGAAAATAATTATTGTACTTTTCAACAAATATATATTTTAAATTAATTTACATGCCTATTTCAAATATATTTACTAAGTTAAAATTAATTTTATTAAACTTAATTATGCTCCATTTTAAATCAGACGAACAAAAAACTGAGTTGGCGAGTTTGAGAACAGTATCCATTATACATGTATCGTATATGTTATTTCCTCTCTCAGTTTGCCGACCAATTAAAGAAAACAACTATTAACATTAATTTTTAAGTTTAGTTTTAATCAAATGAAAGTATACAAAATTATTTAAAACCTAATACATCAGAAATATTATTATGCATTCAATATTTTTATAATAAATATTAACTTTTAACTGCTTCAGATCAATCTTAAAAACTTAAAAAAAAGCTCCAGATAATACACTCTTGAACCTTCAGGAGCACCAATTTTATACGAGTAAGAAACAACTTATACATGGGTCCAAGCCAGGCCTCTAGGTATGCAGTCAATAACTCAAACAAAGCCTCGATATTATTCACTTGTCATTTAAGCTTTATAATATTCAAATGGTGATGGTGATGTGTCTTTTTTTTAATGGCAATTGTTCTTATTGTATATCAATGTCCGTTGGTCCCAGAAATATTTAAGCTTTCAGTTTCCCTTAATAAATTTTATACTTTTTATCTTTTAAATTAAAGCAAAAATTTACTAGAGAAAAGAGTGTTTTGTTTGAGCCTCTTGCTTTTTCTTTGTACTATCGTAGAGTGATAATATGCCTCTATATGGGTAAAATTGATTATGATCTTTACACATATATAGCTTTAGAATGTTGGATGAAATATGTTTATATTTATACAAAATAATTGTAATCTTTCATTTTTAATCATCTAACATATTAAAGTAAATATACAAGTAGTATTAATATACAATTATAAACCGTAAATTGAAATTGTAATTAAAATTATAAAGATAAAGTAGATTATTAGGATTTGGTGTGAATAAAGATTAGGAAGGAAGGGAAATATAACCTTGAGAAGGTTGGCACGTGCGACGTGAGTGAAATAATTAACTAGGGAAAGTGACAGGGATGCTAAATGCAGCTACCAGAGAGGTTGTCGCATTAATTGTACCATCTCTGCCGCACCATCTGTATTCATATATTTTTTATGATTAAATTGAAGAATCAAATTACAACTGCACATAATAATACTATTGCTATTGGATACCCTCCTCGCCCAATCCCATGCCATCTGTTACACATTTCCTCTCCATGCACCTAACATAAATATCCCCCATTTTCTGCACTCTCTCACCCACCCACAGAGAACGAAGAACGAACCATGGAGGGCATCACCGCCACCGTCTACAAGGGTTTCAAGGAGTATTGGAGGAGAAAGGGGTATCAGAGGATAAACGGGTCGTCGTCGGGTCGGAGGAGGAGGAACCGGGTCGAACTGGGAAGCACCCGAACCCGGAGGGGCCGGTTCTGGAGGTGGAAGATCAAGCTCTCACCCAAGATCCGAATCCGAAAAATCCCTTCCCCCAAGAAGATGGTGGTGTGGGTGAGGGACGCGTACGTTAGGATGATGCTTGGGTTAGCCAACTCGCGCGTCATGACCATGGGTTCCTCTGCTTCGGGCTTCGGTGGGGCCCTGCCAGGGGGAGACACTAGCTTTGGTGGGTTCGGGCGGGCCCCACCCAAGGAGTACGATGAGAAGATGATCATTCAGATCTACAAGTCCATCCTCATGGCTCACGGGCAGTTAGTTCCTAACGACGCTGCCAGAATCGCCTCTCAGATTTCTTGCCGACGGTGACGGTGACGGTAAGCCTTCACTCGTGTCAATTGTTCAATACTAATTCTGCCACCTTTCGTCTCCTTCTTACCATTAATTTCCTCATTTTAATTTCCTTCTATCCATTTTTTTCCCTTTTTAGTTAATTTCTTATGGGTTTTATTTTAATTCTTCTTCTCACTCCCCCACTTGGTCTTAAATTACTTGTCAACATCACTGGAGTGGAAGATACAGAGGCAGAAGCATAAGTGTATCATGGTTTACCTTGTTCATAAGTCCCCTTTTCCATGTTATGCGCTGGAAATTCATGTTCTATCTAGCAAGTCAACCAAATAATATAAAATTCATACATAGTAATGCATAAATAATGTCTTCTTTTTTATTTTTATGAAACATACATAAATAACGTTAGATAATTACTATTCAAGTTATTGATAAAATGTTAGAGATTTGTTAGATTATAATAAAATAATCAAGTTTTTTTTATTAAAATTGTATTAGATAGTATTAAAATTATAAAAAGTGAAATGATAATGTTTTTTTAATAATTTGTTTACTTTTAGTTTATTGACCAATGTCGAGAGTTGTGTATTAAAATTAATTTTTATTTTAAATTTCTTAACCAGTCTTCCTGAAGGCAGGTTAGCATTTCCATAATTTTATTTATTATATATTATAAATAAAATATTTAATATTATTAATCCATTACATTTTTTATATTATGTATTTTATGATTAAAAATTATTATAATTAAATATCTATTACTTCTCCTTCGATATGTATTAAAAAAATCGATTTATAATATGATTCTTTGTGCAGAAGTTTTGTAAGTTCAAAGCATGCATGGATGGGTCATACAAACTCAGATGACTTGAATTAGAATTGTTTTTATTAGAAATTGGTAATATTAAGAATTGAATTTGTAATACTTTTGAATTCATGTTTAATTTTGGAAAATCTCATCGGATATATGATAGATTAATTTCTTCAAATTCGCTATACGTATGCAACTTCTCTAAATACATTAATATTAGCACCAAACCTGAAATCATATGCTTAAGGAATACGAGTAGCTTAAATTCATCATGCCAACACATGTTAATTATATTTTAATACCAATTGTGAAGAACATATTAAAAAAAGACATAATGTATGCTAAAATTGAAGAGTTATTTTTTGGGAAAATTAGAGGTGTTACAGTACTATCAAAGATAAATTTGAATTTAAGAGCTTCAAAGTACTTAACTTAGTTTGTTATCTTATGGTTTATGAATATCTTTATAACTAACAAATAAAAAAAAACGCATCAAGTACTTAATATATCACACCTACAAATAAATTGTACATATTTATTCTCTTCCACACAACTTAAAAACTAAGGAAAGGAAAGCTTATATGTTTGGTTTAGCGTTTTTGTCTCGTAGAAGTACGTTAATCCAACTCTAGGTAGAATAGTTTATGGACTTGGCACTTGCGTTAATAATCTCTTAACTACGACGTGATGACAAGATTCTATGCAATAAAACCGTACCGGGGCCCGGATACAACATTGCTTATTTTTCTGGCAACAAGTTGCTACCTATCATCATGTTGTATTTTTTTTTATTTTGGGTAAAGCTTATATATTTTAGTAATTAAAATTATCTGAAATGATAGCATCATATAATGTTCATTGAATATTTTTAGTTACATACTCAATGATTATCCGTTTAACATTATGGGTCACTTTTTAAATGTAAAATTTAACTTATGTATCACATAGCATACTATTTTTAATTAAAACTAAACTCTATCCGGCTGATCATTGTTTTTTAAAATGATTATCACCAAAACATGTAAACAGCTTTTAAGACAAAACTGTATGCAACTCTTCGTTCGTCAACTTGTCATTTTTTTAGTTTTGTCCTTGTTTTGGACAATATTACACTATGTCATTCGATAAATGCTGGTATAGTGGTATTCAATGACAGACACGATCTGATTGTGTGATATTAAAGAATTTTATTAACTCGACTAATTAAGCAATCATGTGCATTTTAATAATGCATAATAATGAATCGGCATCTCATGTGATTCCAATAGACGAGACTCAGATCTCTTAAACACGTAGTCTTAGGTTCAATCTTAATTCAATGTTACGAAAAAAATTGCCAAAAGAGGTACTTACTTTAGCACCTACATGGATTTGGGAAATTAGTCTCCTATCTAATAAATAAATAAATAAAATTAAAAGAACAACAAAATGAAATTTTTTTCGTGAATTTTGTTTTTTTTTTAACTCAATGCATCACATAAAATAGAATTAAGGGGAATGCCAAGGCCCAGAGCCCATAAGGGGTGCTGTGCGGCCCTTCAGATGTTCCAAATTTGCCCTCTACGTGGCAATGTGCTTGAAATACAATTTGGTTTACACTTTCCACACTTTATTGACAAAAAGAGAAATTTGATACTTTTTATATCCTTATTTAATAAATCAACGCAACTATTTTTTAAAAATCGTAGCATCCAACTTCCTTATGGTTAAAGTAGTACAAGAAGAAGTAGTTTACGTTTGAAAAATAATAAAAGGACAAATATTATTTTTCCTCTCATTCAATTTTTCTTTAAAAAAAAAGTGAAATTAAAAGGCCCTAATGAATTCCAGCCATAGCATGAGTCAATTTTCCTAATATGAGAAAAAGCCATGCGGATTGTGAATGATACACTTTTAAGGTCTATTTATTTTAAAGTTGAATTAAATTAAGTTTGAATTAGAATACGTATTTGTTTACTAAAAGATGCAAAATTTGATATTTTAATATTATAACGGCAAGGGGCTTAGTATTTCCATCTTTTATTTGCGTGCCTCTTTTCTACTTGCAACGACAAGGAAACGTGTGATTATCCTCTTCCATTCCATGTGTTGAATAAACTATAAAACCATATTTCTAATCACATGAAGAACAGCACGTCCACAACCACCAGCTTTTAATTCGTTGTCGTATCCCATGGATCTTGTTGTAAAACGACGGCAAATCGACTTTGACTAAACTATTTTATTAGAAAGCTGTGATGAACCACAAATTGAGCGACCACTACCTTATTGTGGCTTGAGCAAACTCTAGGACATCACAGGAAATCTTGTGCTGCATATTAATCATTATTTTTTCCTTCATATCTCTTTTCTTAAGCATCACAGATTTTGCTACCGTCCTCTAGAACACATCCTCCATTTACAGGCCAATCAAATTAACGTTTACTTGTGTGTAGAACTCTTGAATCCGATTTTGTGTACCTCTTAATGTACTTTGTTCAGAAGGATACAATTTTAATTACACGCTAAGAGTTAAAGAAGTGTATCTATTCATGCCCCTTCTTCAATCTCAATCCTAAGTTTAAGTATTTAAAAAAGTTATGTTTTTATTGTTTGCTTAAACTGAGTTCTAAAATTTATGATTTGTTAAACATTTTAAGCTTTATCGCATTTTACTTATTTATCTTCTTTCTACTTTATAAAATAAGCATTAAACAAAAAAATTGCATGTACTTATTCTTTTAAAAAAATTTAATACTTTCTTCGTTCTGTAACTAAAAGATTTTATAAGAATATAAACTAAGAAAATTTAGAATTACTCTAACATTAATTTTTTATAAATCAAAGAACTTTATCATATCCTTCAACATATCTTCTTTAAAAAAAAAGTACTGACAAAGGAGACTATCCAATTCCTTTGGGATAGCTCGCTGTAGGCAGCAGATTTAAGTAAGTTAGGCCAAAAGTATTTGAATAAAATTTAACTTTGCAAAACTAGAGTAAGAAAAGAGTCGAACCAGCATAAAATTTTCCAAATTTAATTTAATTTCAAATTTTAAATATCAAAGATATTTTATTAGTTAAGTTTGGACTAGTTTGGTTGAGGAGAGACCCATTTTATGGACTCTAATTTTTACTTTTTTTTTTGCAAAAGAAACATTATATTACTAAATGCCAATATTGATGTTTAAAAAAGTAATAAAAGATATATGTTAATGCTTAATATTGTTTTTATATTAATAATTATATCACATAAAATTAGTAAAATAAGTTATCTAATCCATTTGGATTAACTTTCCTGAGCTGCGAATTTCAATGAATTAACAAAAAAAAATTGTAAAAATATATTCAAATGTTTCAAAAGTCAAAATTTTTTTTTGGGGATTTTTATGAATTAAGTTTGCAATCGAATCTAAAACTTTTAAAAAGGTGAATTTAATTTGAACTCAAAATTTAAAACTTAAATTTTATATTTTTTAAATAAAATCAATCATGTAAGCCTAATTAGAACCAGCTATAAACAATAATATTTTATTTTTCAAAAAACATTTTAAAGAATTTTTATTCATATACTTGGTACGATCTATTCTTATATGATAAACATAAGAGTCCACTCGTAAATAATTTTTTTAAAAAAATTTATTTTCATTTTTATGGAATCATATGATTTTTTTTACATTAAATATTTTTTTTCTAAAACTGTTACTTAAATTTAGTTTTAATTCTTAAATATTGATACCAATACTGGAATACTAAAACACAATATATTGATAAAAATGATGTATCTTTGTTCAAATGATTTATTTACATAACTTATTTTTAATATTAAAAGTATTATTTTTATTAATATTAAATTGCTATTTTCTTTGATTTATTTTTATTCACAACTTATTTAATTTTCAAATTCCCGTATAATCATCAAGAAACTTGTTAGTTGTTCAACAAAGACCTAACCCTTCCTTTATGCACCTTAACGCAAAAACTGCCGTTGTTAAAAAAAAACAAAAAAACAAAAGCAAAAATTGCGTAGTCACGTATAGATGAAAACAGACACTGAAGAATTCGGGCAGTGTAGACTCGAAAACAAAAGGTTTAACAGTAACAACAAGCCATCAAAATTACAGTCAACAGTCGATTGGTCATTCTGAGGAATTTTTCATTTGATTTAATTATTTGAACGTAAAAATTGATATTGTATATAGTATTTATGTAATTATTTTTTATTTTTTT